GCCAGCATGGGCATTTAACACCCTGTTCCTTATCGACAAGCTTCACTTTAAGGGACACACTGGCTGCTGTGCGGCGTACGACATCAGCTGCTACCCGGAGCTGGCTAAGCTAAACTCGCAAATCGCAGAGCAGAAGGTGCGTCCAGGCGCTTGGATGCATCCTGAACTTGTGCAGAGCTATAACATATACTGTGCTGCAGAACGCGAGGCTTGCAATGCTCAAGTCCCACTGCGCCTATATGTCTCAGCCGATCTTCCTGGTGTACGTGAGGTACTTCCTCCATGCGACAGCCAGGCTGGCCCGTTAGGTGGGTAGGGGCGCCTTTGAGGGTCCTGCCAGTTGCAGCTTTTATGGTATTTCGAGCCACCGATGTTAACCGCTAACTTGATAACACGTTCGTGTTCTGTTGCCATCCTGCCCGACAGCTGCGGAAGTGTGGCGCATGCTATACACTGCTTCGGAGCATCCCGTGTTCCGGGGGTCCGGGCGCGAGTGCAGCGTGGGCGGGAACACGACGGGGAACACGGTGGGGACACGGTAGTAGCATGGGGCGTTTTCCGGGGGTCCAGGTGCGAGTGCAGCGTGGGGTATCACCTGGGTTGGTTTGAAACACTCAGTAGACATGTGTGCCTTTGTGGGCTGCCTAATTGACGCGACGTTGGAAGTAACATGGGCGGGAACACGGTAGAAGCATGGGGCGTGTTCCGGGGGTCCAGGTGCGAGTGCAGCGTGGGGCATCGGCATGGCCATCGTGTAAACACTCAGTAGACATGTGTGCCTTTGAGGGCTGCATAATTGACGCAACGTTGGAGCTTACATGGGCGGGAACACGATGGGAACACGGTAGAAGCATGGGGCGTGTTCCGGGGGTCCAGGTGCGAGTGCAGCGTGGGGCATCGGCATGGCCATCGTGTAAACACTCAGTAGACATGTGTGCCTTTGAGGGCTGCATAATTGACGCAACGTTGGAGCTTACATGGGCGGGAACACGATGGGAACACGGTAGAAGCATGGGGCGTGTTCCGGGGGTCCAGGTGCGAGTGCAGCGTGGGATATCACCTGGGCTGGTTTTAAACACTCAGTAGACATGTGTGCCTTTGAGGGCTGCCTAATTGACGCAACGTTGGAGCTTACATGGGCGGGAACACGATGGGAACACGATAGTAGCATGGGGCGTGTTCCGGGGGTCCAGGTGCGAGTGCAGCGTGGGGCATCGGCATGGCCATCGTGTAAACACTCAGTAGACATGTGTGCCTTTGAGGGCTGCCTAATTGACGCAACGTTGGAGCTTACATGGGCGGGAACACGATGGGAACACGGTAGAAGCATGGGGCGTGTTCCGGGGGTCCAGGTGCGAGTGCAGCGTGGGGCATCGGCATGGCCATCGTGTAAACACTCAGTAGACATGTGTGCCTTTGAGGGCTGCCTAATTGACGCAACGTTGGAGCTTACATGGGCGGGAACACGATGGGAACACGGTAGAAGCATGGGGCGTGTTCCGGGGGTCCAGGTGCGAGTGCAGCGTGGGATATCACCTGGGCTGGTTTTAAACACTCAGTAGACATGTGTGCCTTTGTGGGGTGCCGTATTTACGCCAGTTCGGGGCATGCATGGGCGGGAACACCATGGGAACACGATGGGAACACGGTAGAAGCATGGGGCGTGTTCCGGGGTCCAGGTGCGAGTGCAGCGTGGGATATCACCTGGGCTGGTTTTAAACACTCAGTAGACATGTGTGCCTTTGTGGGGTGCCGTATTTACGCCAGTTCGGGGCATGCATGGGCGGGAACACCATGGGAACACAGTAGTAACATGCAGCGTGTTCCGGGGTTTTGGGCAGGAAACACTGCAGGAACCAGTAGCTAACTAATCATTTCAGCTTTCTCGGTGTATCATTATTACAACTTATCATTTGTAGGCATTTGAGGTGTTTGGAAGGTGGGAACACGGAACATGCTCCTCGCCGGACAGCCGGTATATTTATGGGAACACGGAACACGGCTCCTTACCGGGTTGCCGGTCGGCTCGCTTACTGCGTCTAGAGACATCCACACGCGTTAATCCTAAGTCAGCTCTCTTAGTCAGATCAGCTCAGTCATAAGGAGGCATCCCGGCCTCTCAAGGTCTCGATCATCTTGTCTCCAGGCTCCAGCCAGCCAAGCCTCCTCTCCAGCAGCATCTCCTCACATGTCGCCCTCCTAAACCATGCGAGTAAGGATAATACGCCATAGTAAGCTCTCCAGCCGATGTTAGACAGCCATGGCAAAAGATGACAAGTCGAAATTTTTTAGTTGGGGTGTTTTGTTGCCACAAGTCCGGGGTGTTCCCTAAGGCTTTTCCCTTGCTTCCACGGCGCGGCCTATCGGAGCGCCTAGAATCAAGGGCAGGCCAAAAATGGTTAAATCGCTGGTGCTGGATGTAAGAAGAGTGGCGGGTTGACGACGCAAGTCGGTGATGCTGATGGTGTCGGGAAAAACTAATTGCTGCTGAGTACCTAGGCCGCTGACCAACTCGACGCCGGGAGCCCCCGCTCTGGTCACGCAGACGAGACACCACAATGCTGTGCATGCGTGCGTGCAAACGCGCATTGCGTACCTGCGAGCAAAGACTCCGTAGTCAGCACCAGTACCAGCAACTGCAGTAATGCGAGTAATGATATGCGCAGAAACATGAACCAGAGCGAGGAAAGGGGGACAGAGTTAGAGACAAAATGAACCTATATCGAAGTGCAAAAGGTACGGCAAAGCAGGATGGCATGCGAGACAGGACGCACGCAAGCACAACGCAACATGAATGCAAATGCAGAAAACAAGAACACCACAACCGGCGCGAGTGGTCGATCAGGCGCTGAGCTGTGGCTGCAGCGGTCAGCTGAACCGCACTGAGAAGTAGCGTTGTCTAAGAGCAAGACGACTGTAGCGTTGTCTAGGAGCAAGACGACTGTGCAGGGGCGCCAGCAGCCACTTCCTCCTCCGTGCCGTACCTCGCACGGGCGTAGAGCTCCTGGTCCGTTCGCAGAAGCTGCAAGAACTAGTTGGCCTCCTCCATGGTGCGTGTGTATGTGGTGGTCTGCAGGAGCGCTTCTGGTACACCGTCCGGTAGGCTTTCCAACTGCTGCACGCACTTCCGGTTGCCTGAGAAAGGCTTGGTTGGGCTGGGAGCCGACTGGGCTGTTAAGGAGGTCTTAGGATTTTCTCACAAAGCCATCCGTGGACAGCCATTCGTAAATAGCAGACGAGATATAGGAACACGTTTAGGCGAAAACGTGCGCTGGTGCCGACTGGTTCGGGCCCAATGGCGACAAGCTGCATACGGCGGCATGGCTCCTCCAAGGCTTTAATTTCCCGGCCACCCGGAACACGGCAGCCTGGGAGTTCACCTTGGAACCAGCTCCCTCCCACCAGCTGCACAACTATCCGAATACTTTGCCGCCAACGACAGGAGCTTGCCAGCCACTTCAATCAGTTGTTGGCGCCAGGGCTCACGGAGCAGCATGATCCGAGTGCGCACAGCCCTGTCGTAAACTTCGCCACAGTCATCAACCCCGTGCACGTCGCTTCCAAATCCGACGGCAGCATTCGGCATTTCAACGACTTTTCGGCGTCAGGTGTTAATGGTTGCATGGCTCACATACCCTGCGCGCTGCCCGACCTTAGTACCATCCTCCATCCTCCACCACCTCGAGGTGGCAAGTGAGATCTCGCCAGCGGCTTCCACCATGTCAGGCTAGTATATCTGTATTGACTGTATACGGCCTTCAGGCACCCGGCGACGAACGACCTGCAACGCTGCCTGAGAATGCCCGCCAATCTTCGTGGAACTCACCGATGCCGTGTGCTCCATCTTCCAATCGGAGTGCAACCACCGTGGGCTGCAAGTCCGCATCTTTGTATGTTGACAACTTCATGCTGCTAGGCTGCTTGTGTGGAACCGTGGTGGGGGCTGGACGAGGTGGGCAGCGGGCTGGGGTCGGATTGGAAAGCAGTGAAGGACCGCGGCAGGGAGGCTCGTCTGCAGCAGCTCGAGTTCCTGCGCATGTGGTTCTACACGGTGGCCATGGCGATGCGCGTTGCCCCTGAGAAGCGCTCACGTTATGCTGCCTGCTATGGAGTGGTGCCTCGCGTGGACCCGCAGTCAACCGACGGCAAGCTTACCTTCATCGCCCGCTCCTCTCGTTGGGGCTCATCTTTCGCGCAGGCGATCTACGACTGTTTGTTCGCCCCAGCCGACCACCTTTCAGTGCGCCTGTCCCAGGAGACGCATGAGGACCTGCAGTTCTGGCACTCGGTCCTGGTGGCCGACTCATCCATAGGGGATGGGGTCAAGCGCAGCGCAGACTTAGATCTCGACTTGGTGGCGGGGGGGTGGGGGAATAGATGATAATTGCAGTAACTGGAGTCCCTTCCCATAACCCGACTTGGGGGTGGTGATCTTCACCGACACCAGGGTAATGCCTGGAGGGGGCGGTGATCTTTACCGACACCAGCGGCAGCGGCGGGGGGGGGGGGGGCTCGAAGACCATACCGGGCGGCAGGGGCGTGGGGCCTGCCCGTTTTGCCCGTGGCTACTGCGGCCGTAATGGTTGCTGCACTATAAGGTTGCCCCCCATCCCGCGGAGGTGGTTGGTCTGGGATTCTGCGAGCTCTGCTGGGCCCATCAGCACATCCTGACTGCGTGCCCCTTGCCGTGACGTAGGCCTTGTTGAGGCGGAGGTGGGTAGCTTGAGCCTTCACAGCCTGGCGCCACGCAGCCCGAGCCGCGTCCAAGAGGGGAGCACGGAGGTATGTGTAATTTAAAAGGTCTAAAACAAACGCCTAGGGCCAATCGGCCGTGGCCCTAAGAAAAGGCAGATAAAGCTGGCATTAACGGGCAGAAGGCAACCACGTGAGCAAGCAAGGTAACTCAAACCCGCCGTACATCGAGGGCCACAAGCGCTCCAGGACCACATTATTGCAGTACCAAACCCTTGACAAGTATGTGTATAACCAGAAGTATTACCTTGAAGCAAGTCGGATACATTGTGTCTAACACCACTTGGAGGAAATCATCGGAGACACTTGACGTGGCCTGCCAAACGAGAAGGTAAGCAAGCCGCTGAAGGATGTCTTTTATGTCTTCTCGGCGTTCACTAGCCTTGTTGGCTTCAAATAAGCGCTGCGCTAGGCCCTGACTCTATCCGCATGCTCCCCTTCCGTTATGGATTAGTTATATCTGAGAAAGAAATCCTTTCTGGTTTCTCTCTAATTTGCAGAGGCTTCCCTTCTTGGGCAGAACGTGTCACGGCTATCCTGCTCAAATCGCAGATGCGGAAATCTGGAAGTGCTCGCAAGCGGCCTGCCAGCGGTGTCCGCTGGGACGAACAGAATTTACAAGATAATGAAGTTATCAAGGCCACAATTAGCAAGGTAGATGCTTCGGTCGCAAATACCCCTTCCTTCAATACCACTTCCCGGAACCCTAGGAAGGTTGACCTCGCTGTTAAGGCGCTGTTTGCCTGTTTACCTTTGCTTCATGTCTGGGTTGGGTCTGAGTCCATGTTCTCCTTCACTTTCTGTGCGGCCTGCTGCTCTTAACGTCACAAGCCACTTCACAAGCAAGCTGAAACACCCAGCCATGACTGTCCAGTTTCATGCATCATTCCGTATGCATCCTTGCTTCTGTTGAACTGATTAACCAACCCATTCCCGACAGACCAAGATAAATGAGCCCAAAACTCCGTATCATGGGCCTCTCGGAGAAGAGCACATGCAGGTTAGTGCAGCAGGACGTTAGGGGGGCCAGGGATTTGCGGCATAAACGTTGCATGGATCCGCACGACCGTCTGGCGTTAGCCGCCGGGGAAGCCGCTGCCCACATCAATTATTTGAAACGGGTCGCTAGAGGTAAACTGTGAAATGAACAGGGTGGTCCGGTACTATTCTTAAAGAAGGCATGCCTTGTCTTCCCAATGCGCCCCGCCTTTAACCACCTAAAGTTGTATCGGCTGCAAATCCCTATGACTCCTGCGCTTGCAAACCCCAACATAGGAGGTCGACGCGGGGCTGCTTCCCCTGGAGCTGGACGGCTGTGACAGCGGCCACCCAAGCGATGCACGACAGCATTCGCAGCAGGAACAGGGGCAGCGATTGTATGACATGGACAATGGCAACGGTCAACTGCCGCAGCAAGTGCTACCTGTTATGACAGCAGCGAAAGTACACCACGTGACGACGCCGGCGGGGGACACCGTGCCAACCTCATTGGAACAGTCGGCGCAAGGGGCATCAGAGTCTCACTCCGTCGCGGGTACCGCTGTGGCGTCTGGGGCTGATGCCGCTGTTCCCACTGCCCCTGTCTCAGCTATGGAGGTTGACGGCGAGGAAGAAGATGATAGGGAGGGAGCTGCTGGACCCATCGGCCATGTGCCAACTTCCCATGGCGCATTGTCGTCCTCTGTCTCCGCCCCCAGGCTTCCTCCGCAGCATCGTGACCCTTCCCCCGCGCTGCTTCTAGACTCCTCTGGTTCCTCTCACCAGCAACACCCCCATTCGGGCTTACATGCGCACTTCCAGGAGGGGTCCTACTCCCCTTCTCATCAACCGGCAGCGACAGCGGTGGTGGAGGGGACCGCAGCACGGACGGCGGCAGCGGGGCCAGCTGTCGCACCCCAACCGCTGGAGGTACCGGACGTGGTTAGGTCAGGCTTCAGCTCGGATTCAGAGCCGCGGGTGGGTTCCTTGGGGGAATGGAAAGGGGAAAGCGGAGGAAGGCAGAGAAAGGAAGCACGGAAAGGATGGGTGCCAAATGGTCCAGAGACAGACACTATTGGAGTCAAGTATATTTGTCAGGAGAGGAGCACGAGCAGTGCATGCCAGGCGGGTGTAGAGAGGACCGATGATTGGGGCAGCCTTTTTTCGCCTAGTTCAGGCAATCCCGTCATGAACACAGCCGCACCAAATGCTGCTCCCCAACACACCAGAATCCTTCTTTCAGTCCGTATTTGCATGCACACCGCCATCTCAACTGTCGGGCCTGCCCTCTTCCTTGACCAGGCGTCCTGGACGGGCGGCAGTGACGGGGAGGGAGTGGACGAGGAGGCGCACAGGCAGTTTGAGAAGGTGGGGTAGCAAGCATGGGAAACCCAGGGTACGGGGGCCAAGATGCTGGGAGTCGTAGTCTGGGAACGTAGGCTCAAGGCGGAAACCTGGACATGGGCTTGGGATGGAGTGGGTTAACGGGGCGGAGAGACGGGTATGCGATCTCTGCCGGTGGAAAGGGGAATACCGGTACATCAATTTAATTCAATGCCCGGTCTACGTAGATTCCATTCATCATCACTGGCTTCCATAACCGCCTCGTCACGCCCCCTCCCGCGCCTTTTCGCACTCCTCCATACCTCAACAGCGGCGTAGGGCCCACTACAACATGCGCGCGGCTCTGCAGCAGGCACGACTGTTACTGTCATCTGAGGACGGGGAGGATGAGGGCGAGGAGGATGTGGAGGAGCAGGAGCAGCAGTGCGCCCCGAGCGGAGAGCAGGGCCAGGAGCAGGTGGAGAGCGGAAGCGGGGAGGTCGGGCATGGGCGAGACGTGGACCTGCCAGACGTGATGGCCGGCAACGACCGAGGGTGCATTGGGTGCGCGAGCGGAGGCAGTGGCGGTGGCATTGCAGCTGGCGATGTGAGCGGCGGCCCCGGGAATGCGGCCGGAAGTGCGCCGGAAGGGAATGGTAGTGATTGGGGTAGCGTGATGGCTGAGTGATAGCTGCGCAACATGCACGGCAGGGGATGGCTTGCGGCTTGGGAACTATGGGCGGCTTCGGAGTCAGCATGGGGAGGGGCGCGTGTTTGGCTGGAGGGGACGGGGTGCGGAACTTGCATGTGGACGACGCAGGAGGAAAGCAGGATTAATGGTGCGGTAGCAGGCTGGGCAAGTGGGCTTGGTGAGAGTAGGTGCTGGGAGGCAGGCATGTGTTACTGCGCATTCGCAAGGGATACATGTCGGCGCGCAGCCGCCGCCCCGGGTTCCAAGTGGCAGGCGTTAAAGCAGGTGGACGGGTCAGGGGGATCTCACACAGGAAGTCACGCAGGGGTTGGTCTGTGGTCATCACGCAAACAGCGGGTTATTGACTGTGCGACAAGAGAGGCGGAAATGGGCACCAGGACTCCCATCCAAATGCCGTCTGTCGCTGGTTGCAGGCTATAGATTGCCATGTCAGGCCGCGGGAATAGGCTGCGCCAGGCTTCGTGTGCGGATGCAGGTGTTTTAAGCCGAATGATCAACAACCGCATTGAGGGAGGGGTGTTGCTTGGGTTCAGGTGTAGCGGGCGGCTGTAATAGGCCCTAGAGTAGTACATGGGCGGGCGTCGGATCACATGCATGTGGATGTCAGGCACAAGCAGAGATGGAATAAGGGCTTCAGAGCCAGATGCAATTTGAGGAGTCCGAATGGAATTGCGGGTTAGCGATACAACCCGTGGGTCAGAGCCTGGTGAGTCGCGGGTATTGCAGTTGCTTCCAGGTTGCCATTGATGACGGTCTTGCGAAGGAAGGGACAATGCCTTGAAGACGGTCGCAAGGAGTGCACGAGCGTCTCGATGCTAAGGCTGGTGATAGAAAGTTGCAGCTAGAAGGGAAGGCAAGGAAGAAGTGGCGGCGTTGGTGATAGTTTCTGCCACTTACTGATGCAGGCACTCGCACAGTGGTTAACGCAGTTTCTGCCACTTACTGATGCAGGCACTCGCACAGTGGTTAACGCACCATGCTCTGCAGGTGCCGTGATGTCCGGTTAAGACGAGGTCGCTGCTGGCATACCCTTTACGATGTCACGTGCTCAAACCTCGCCATCCTTCAGGCGGTTGCCTTTCCGTGGCGGGGAATGTCTCATGGAATGCCAAGAAGTCTTCATTTTCTTGGCAACATGTCTAAGATATGTATGTCGCGTCGCGCACGCGGACATCCACCCCAAAAAACGATTGCAGTTTGCGGGGTAAGGGTAACCCATTCGAGACGTGCGTCTTAATGCCGCAGGTGGCAGTAATCAACTTCCTTCGTTGCAGGAAAGTCGCTCTGCATGCCGTCTGCAGCTTTCGGTGAAGCGGCTTAGTGTGAACGAGGGCATCGCAGTGGTGGTGGACATTGAAGACGAGTAGACAGTCATCGGCTTCCGCGCTGACGGTAGGATGTATGCCTCAAACGTTTGCCGTAACTTACAATTCCGTAGTTTTGTAAAATTACGGTATAGACGGTGGTCCATCGGCCGTTTGAGCCAGCTTGCAAGCCACGCCACGAAATGTACACCCCAAAAGCATGCACACCCGGATACATTGGTAGGGGGAACGCCTCAGACTGGCAAAGGCTATAAAGACAAAGCGATGACTTGCTGCAATCATTTAATCAATTGTACGGCAGTCGCGTGTCTCGGTAGGATTGCAAGGACGCATGATGCTTTCAATTAAAAGGAACCTGGAAGGTTAATCGGAGATTTTCCTTGGGAAAACCTTACTTCAGTGCTGAGATTTTACGTCGGCCCAGGGGCCGCAACCAAAGTGGGTATTATGGCCGAGCTATAGGGAACGGCAATTGCTTTTTCAGTATCTGAGGAGCCCCATTTCGGGGGCGTCCGTATTCCGCGCTTGCCTGTGGCGCAGGCGGCCGCAGGAGCTGTCGAATGAAGGTAAGAACTGTTCTCGGGTCTTTTTTACCCCAGCTAGCAAATTTATTGTTATATAATAATAATTGTACCAGATAATGCTGCAATCGGGTCCCCCTATGCCGAAGCAGATAGGTCATTTTCGCACACCGTATGCGAGCGTATGCGGGGAGCTGTCCTGCACCATAGCAGCAACGTATTGCGCCTTGCAAAACCCTTGCAGTATCGCTCGTAACCCGACTCTGCTCGAACGGCCTTCACCCCAGCCACTAAGTGCGATGGCGGTCCCACCCAACACATGCATGCCAGCAACAAGAAAGTGGCCTGGCTAGTCCTCATTCGCATAACCAGTGTCAGGGCTAGCTACTATTAACAACTCCCTGCCTCTTTCCTCCTACATCGCACCCCATGCCAGGCTGCCGGCCTGCCGGGCCTGCCGGCTCGGGGCTTGCGGGAACAGCCGCTGCTGCTGGGGTCGCCAGTGGGAGGAGGGTCTTGCGGACCCCGCCGGCCTGTGGTTCCAGCGGCGTCCTTGCATGGTAATAGCATTGCTACTGTCAGTAGCAGCTACCATGGTGGCGGCAGCGGCCGTGGCGTTGGCAGCACCACTACTAGTAGTAGCAGCAACAGGGCCGTCTTAGTGCCCCAGCAACAACTACGGAGGAGGGCTGCAGGAGTGGTAGTGCGGGCTGGGGCGGCGGCGGAGGCAGCTCTGGAGGTATCCCCGCAGGTGGGGCTGGCATGCACCGAGTGAGGAGGAGCGATCTGTGCACGCGGGGGAGGCATATCGGCTTACTGTCGGGGCCGGCAGGGGGCATGCTGGGTTGGATGGAGGGGGCGCCTCGCGGCGGCGAACGAGCCTGCGTGCCGGCCGACTCGCCCTTGGTTGTTGTCTGCTCGTATCGACGTATCGTGTCCTACAGCCCCACCCGCCCAAACCTGCTGCAAACACAAACGATCCCCAGCATGTTCCTGTGGCACTAGGCCGGGACAGGGTGGGTGGAGATGCCAGGGTGATCAGTGGCGAGGCGTCTCCTCCTTACTACCGGCGGCTTGGGGTGACCGGATAGTCATAGGTTCGTCAGTTTCCTATAGGTTCGTCAGTTTCCTCCTTTCTCCCCTGTTCTTGTCCTTCACCTAACGCGTGAACCGCGGGTACCGCAACCATCACAAATTCTGTCACATTCGTTGACCCCTTCCTTCCGGTTCCCGCACCGCGCCTCCAGACCCCTCATCTCACCATGCCGCCTCACCGCTCCGAGCGCCTCCCTACTCCACGGCAAGCCGCCCGGCCGACCGTTTCGCCTCACCCCTTCCGGTCTTGCCATGCTACCGCGCAGGCCTCTGAGCAACCGGCAGCAGTGGAGGTCGTACAACAAATGGCAGCTGCCGCACCTACCTCCACAGCAATCGCAACCGCACCAACGACAACCACAACGGCGGGGTCGGCAGCAGCAGTGGTGGTGGCCCCTCTGCCTGAGAAGAACTTTGGCATCCTGAGGGGCGGGCGCTACCCCTTCCTGTATGACAATGTATACGGACTCCCGATTGTACGGCAGGTGGCCAGCTACGGAGAGGTGCTGGAGGGCCTCAGGTGGGCAGTGGGGAGAGCGAGGTGCGGGGTTTGACGTCCGCTTGCGGCTAAAAGGCAATTCAAGCGGCCGTGAGTGGGGTAGGGTGCGTGTATGGCTCGGAAAGAGGAGAACAAGGTGCATAGAGCCTCCATCTTCCCCTCCACTGATACCTCTTTACAGTCGCACTCCCGTGCATTCCCCTCCGACCAACCAGGACTGGCCGTATCGTGGAGGTGTTGTGGTTCCAGGACCCCCCCGGGGTTACCCCCACCACCGCTGCACCCCGTGCCTCGGCAGATGGCAGGTGCCTGCTGCGCTACGCGAGCGGGCAGGTAAGAGGAACGGGAGGGAGGCGGGGGGAGGAGTGCTACGGGTCGTGGCTACATGCGGAAGTGTTAGGGAGAAGTGCGACGGCCTAATGGCGCCTCCACTACTTAACACCTGCGAGGCCCAGTTGGGTTGGTGGCCCTACGCGCCACCACACCTCATACACTGCGCCCCCGCTGCCCACTACCACCGCCCCGGACCCCACGTCTCATCTCTTTGCACCCAATTTGCCCCTCCCTGCGCACGCCCCCTCCAGGTGAAGCAGTCTGTCATTCCTGCAGGGGAGCCCCGGATTATGCAGGTGAGTTTAAGAAGGAATGGATATTCCGCACAGGCGGGGGAAAAGAAGATTCCCAATGGGAGGAGCGGAGTCGGAGAGGTTACAAGGTGTAAGGCGGGGGAATGCGATGAATCGGCGGGGGGAATGCGATGAATCGGCGGGGGAAAGGGGAATGGTGTTTAAAACCGGTGTTGAGGGCCGCCTCCCTGGCATGGATCCCTCCTTACTGCATCCCTCGCTACAGCCTCCCTCCCTCCTGACCCCGTACACGTGTTGACCCGGTCAGGCCATAGAGGAGCACGGCGCCCTGGCCTCCCTCATCCCGCTGGAGCCGCGCCACGTGCCCGAGCTAGCCCTGATGGCGGAGGAGGTACGGCAGCAGAGGGCGCTGTACGGCGCTGCGGAGGCGGCTGGCGGCGGTGATGGTACGGCGGCGCTGGAGCGGGAGCCGTACACCGGCGTCCCGGTGGAGGCACCCGAGGTGGGTTTGTGGTATGCATGTGTGTTTTCTTGGGATAAAGACGGAACTCTTGGTAAAACCTGTGCTTGGGTTTGCCGGAGTTCGATCAACTAGGCAATACTGTGGGCGTTTCCTAATCTACACCTGCCCCGCCTAAACCTCCATCCCCGGCCAAAACATTCCCGCTCTGTGCATTATAGCCCCTCAGCTCCAACCCCGATACACACACGATGTCTCCCCCCCCCATCCCCTTCACAGGGTTTGCGCCGCGGCCCCGCAGTTGCCCCCACCCCTCTGGAAGCGGTGATGGTGTATGGCACTCGGGAGCAGCTGCAGGAAACCCTGCAGGACAACTTTGAGGTGAGCAAAGCACTGTTGTTTGTGAAGTATTTGCTTTGGTTGCTGCTGGCCTGAGTAGTGCTGCTTGAATAGTGCTCCCTGGGAGCACTATGTAGCTGCCCGGTCCATTTTGCTGATGGGAAGAAGCCGCCTCACCTCATCCCTGTCATCCCTCTCACGATGATATGCATGGTATCGTTCATGCGTGTCGTACACCAATACTCTTGCCATCCAGTACCTAAACATGCTCCCAATTGAAACATGCCGTATTTATCGCACACAACCCCGCCCAGTCTGCTGCTGATGACGTGGCGGAGCTGCTAGCCCGGCGGCAGGCGCTGCTGCAGGCGCAAGCCGACATGGCCGCCGCAGCGGAGGCGGACGCCAGTCGGCGGAGGTCAGATGGCGATGCGGTCGGTACTGCCGCGGGAGGCGGCGGGCTGCTGGGCTCTGGTTTCGGAGTGGGCGCCTGGCTGGACAACATCCGACTGAGCAACGAGCAGCAGGCTCTGGTGCTGAAGACGGTTCCGCTGCTGGGCCCCGTGGTGGGCAGCGCCTTCATCATCGGACTGTACCTGCTGGCGCGGCTGGTCAAGGTGGGGAGGGGAGGGGAGAGGAAACATGCAGTAGGGAGAGGGGTAGAGTGGGAGAGGAGAGGCGGGGAGGTAAGAGGAAGAAGCTAAACTAAGCGTGTGACACGGCTCCGCCATGGGGCGCATCATGGCTGCCGTCTCAGCCCGCCCAGCCTGAGCGGAACGGGGAGAGGGGGGGGGAGCGGCAATGGGTAGGTTGCGACCGGGGGGAACAAGGTTTCATGTGATGCGGCTTAGGTCACGAGTTTACAGCATCTTCTTCATAACTCCCTCCCTCCCTGTCCCGCGCTGTCCCTCCTTCCCCCTTTCTTCCTTCCCCGCACTCCCCTCCCACCCCCTCCCAGGGTGACCTGACGGACCGCCTGAAGATGATGGACTCGGAGGCGGAGAAGAAGAAGAAGCTGGCACTCAAGGTGGGAGGGGAGGGAGGGAGATGCGGGATCAGCAGCGTGCTAGGGGCTGCACCCCGTCGTACGGAGGGCGCTTTGGCACGCCCCTCCCCGCCACGTGCACTGTTGCTTCCTTCCCCATCCTCAAACCCATCACCCCCTCCTCCTAACCCCACTTCCCCCCTCAGGAGGCCCGCATTGCGTTCCTAGAGGAGGAGGTGCCGGGGCTGGTGGTCAAGGGGGCCACACTGGGTGAGAGGGCAGGAGGGAGGGAGGCAGGGAGCAGGATGGCTGCGAAGGACAGAAGGGAAATGAGTCTAGGGCTTGGAAAAAGGGATGTACGAACCTGTTCCCAAGAGTGGCGAAGGTACACGGGGAGATGAGACGAAGGGGGTGGGTGTGTTTCGGGCAGCACGCGCTTGGTGGGGGTGCTGTACAAGAACAGGACGGGAAGTGGCGCGTGGTGGTGCTCGATGAATGGGGGTTGGATGCGGAGGTCGGGGCGGGGTAACGGGTGCTACTATCCTGTCCTATCCTGACCATTGTAACCATATGTGCGCCTTTTCCACGTTCCCCCTTTCCTTTCCTTCACGCCTCTCCACCCCCTCCGCCCCCAGATGACATCCGCAAGCGCTGTGCCGCCGTCAACTCCCGGTTGGGGCCTAAGCTGGAGATCGCGGATTCGGAGGTAACGGAGGATGGGGGAGGGGCGGGGGGGGCGCGTTGGGGTAACTGCACCGGGCTATCATCGTTCGAGAAATGAAAGGTCACCAAGGTCACACCTGCATCATTAGCTGTAACAAACAATCTATACACCAGCAACCAACCGGCGGCAAGGGGCGGGTTTATCGTTGGTTGTGTAGTCGGTGCAAGCAACTGCATGAAGTCCAAGCGGCGTAACTACATGCCTGACTTGTAATTGTTCATTCGTCGTTACGGGCACGTCCGCAGGGGCAGTTAATTACGCCGTACTTGCACTCCTTACCCGTGCCCGCCCAGGTTGTCTCGACCTACGAGGCGTGTCGTGCGCTGCTGTCGGAGGGAGTGGACCTGTCGGCCGCCTCCTCCTCCGCTGCCACCGCGTCATTAGCACAGATGGAGTGAGTAGGGGAGTAGGGAGGGTGGAGGATGGGCTGGGAATGTTGTGACCCGTGGGTCGTTCGGCGGTTCGCATGCCCACGTTGGCTCCAAGGGGTAACTCACACGCATGGAGGGGCCGGACACCACAAGAGTGCGTTCAAAGTGTGCAGCTGCGCACGTGCATGTGCGTCCATGCGTGTGCACTTGTGGTTTTTTTGTTTGCTTTGTCTCTGAACCTCCTTTGCTTTTCGATGCCTCGTCACCCTGCGTGAGCTTGCGGCTCCTCGGCTCCTCGCAGGAGTGACGAGCGGCTGGCTGCTGCCACGGCCGGTGAGGGCGGCGGCGAGGACGGCGGTGTGAACGCGCTGATGGAGATGAGCAAACTCAACACGGCGCGCATCCGCAAGGTACGCAGGGGGTGGTGTGACTGGGGTTGCTCGAAACGGGCTGTTAGTGTCGCATGAATCCAACGCCGTTACTGGTGCCCTGGGGGTGGAGGGCTGGGGAGGTTATAGGGGGAGCCGATTGTAGACTCCTGCGGGGGGATACTCGCCCTTCAGGTTGGGAGTCAAGGGCTGCAAAGTATTGCTAGTGTGTATTTGAAGGGTGGGGGAAGAAAACGCTCTTAGGTGGTCTGTTACCGCTACCGCACACCCCACCTACGCAAGCCCACCTACACTTTTACCTCATGTCACCCCCCCATGGCTAAGCCTCGTCGTACAGCTCGTCAGTTTCCTCCTTTTACCTCTTATCCTGTCCATCCCCTTCCCCCTCCTCCCCCTCAGGCTACCGACACCAAGATCCTGGACGTCAAGAAGCGCGTGCGGGAGGCGCGGCGCAAGCTCAAGCGCGACTCCAAGGTGCAGATGAGCGACGAAATCATCTTCTTTGATGACGTGGCGGGCAACGCGCAGGCAAAGGTACGACAGGGGTGCTGTACGGTTATATACAGGGCATTTAATAGAATGTAGGTGAAATGCTTTGCGTGTCGTCCCGGCTTTGCTCGTCCCGGGTAGCAGCCTCCATCGTGTTTGACACCCACCACCCACCATCCTACTCGCCCACCCACTCAGGTTGAGTTGATGGAGGTGGTGGACTTCTTCAAGACGCCGGAGAAGTTCAAGGCGTGCGGGGCGCGGCCGCCCAAGGGAGTGCTGCTGGTGAGGGGGAGGGGGGAGGATTAGGGGGTCCAGGGTGTCCAGCTGGGGGGCTGCTTGATGGTTGCTGTTGGGTTGCGTGCAGTCGAGTCACCTGTTAATCTCCTGTAATTGGTTTCCACCCACGACGCCACCTCTCTCTCCCTCCCCCTCCGTCGGGGAATAACCCAACGAATTTGACTATGCGCAATCCTAAAATCCAGCTTAATGCGGAATCTTCATCCATATTAACCCCCTCCGTCGGGCCATGGGCTTGGGTTTCTAGTGCTTCACTTTCGTTTATACCCCCTTTCCCTTTCGAACGCCCTGCCCCCCCAGGTGGGTCCTCCCGGCAACGGCAAGACGCTGATGGCGCGCGCGGTGGCGGGCGAGAGCGGCGTGGCCTTCATCTCCTCCTCGGCAGCCGAGTTCATCGAGATGTACATGGGGCTGGGGGCGGCCCGAGTGAGGGACCTGTTCAACACGGTAGGTGGCAGGGTGTACGGCACACAGACAATGAGGGGTGTACGACAGGCAATGCTTGCGTGGCTTGGATGCATGCATGGGATGTGTGTAGATGATGGGCTGATGGCTACATTGTTGCCATCCACAGATTGTGTCCGACGCCAGCAGCGTAACAAGCACAGTGGGCGGCACGTGTGTCAAGAGGGAACCCCTCCGAGCATGGTTACATCAGCTGCGGCAGCGCTAAACCTTTCCCTTTGTGTGTCGATTACGCACATGGTTCCGACTCGCGGCCAGCTTTCTTCACACATGGTTGTTCCCCCTCCTAACACCAATCCCCACCCGCCCCCACCCTAGGCCCGCTCCGTGGCCCCCTGCATCATCTTCATTGACGAGCTGGACGCGGTGGGGCGGCAGCGGCAGGGCGGCGGCAAGAGCAATGACGAGCGCGACAACACCGTCAACCAGCTGCTCACGGAAATGGACGGGTTCGAGGCGGAGCAACAGGTATGCAGGGGAGAGGGCGGTGTATAGGGCTGAACGGCACACCTTTTCCAGACCCCTCCTCACGTGCCCCTCACTTTCCCTGTTCTTCCTGTAAGCCCCTCAAACGCACGGCCCTTTTCGGGATAGGTCGGCTACCCCTGGTAAAGCCCCTTCATACGGTTAGTTGAATAGTTCCTCCCTCCTTACCCCCTCCCCCTGCTAGGGTATCGTTGTGATGGGCGCCACCAACCGCAAGGACGTGCTGGACACCGCCCTCACGCGACCCGGCCGCTTCGACCGCTCCATAGAAGTGCGCCGACCCGACTTCCAAGGCCGGCTGGAGGCCGTCAAGGTGGGCGCGGTTGGGTGCTCGGTTGGCTGGGAGGGGGGGTAAAAATAATGTGAAGCTGACGAGGCGACTAACGAGCTGTAGGATAAAGCTTCACCTCTGTTGGCTGGAAGAGGGGGGGGGGGTTGAAGCGGGCTGAAACAAGAAAAACGCGTGAGCCGGTTGTGATAGGAGGTAAGGGTGTAAGGTAGGGACCCGGGGAAGGCATTTCACGCCTTCTTGCCGTTGTTCCGTACAGGTATACCAGCACGAGTGTTTCCTAGCCGTCTCCTTAACTCCCAGTCCTACCTCCCCTCCCCTCCCCGTCATCACCCTCCACACACCCCTCCCCGCTCAGGTCCACCTGCGCGACAAGCCCATTGCGGCCGACATCGACTACTTCAGTCTGGCGGGGCTGATGGGCGGCATGAGCGGCGCGCAGATCGCAGGGGTGACCAACTCCGCATGCTTCCTAGCCAGCAGGGAGGGCCGGCCGGAGGTGTCACAGGTGGGAAGCACCTCCTTGAAGCACCTTCGGCTGCTTCCCTAGCCGTGCCGTACGGTTACAACTACGTCCAACTACGTCGTTGTTGCGCACGCCCTCCCCATCGCTTCTGCCCTAGTATGCGTTTATCATCTCCCCCCTTCGCACAGGCGGATCTGGAGCTGGCGATCGAGCAGGCCAAGTACGGCCGCTCCGTGGACCAGCACCGCTTCGTGGGTGCCGCACGGCGGCGCCGGTTCGCGGTGATGGAGGCGGGCATCTCGCTGGCCGCCACCCTGCTGCCCGCCATAGAGCCGGTGGAGTACGTCACCATTGCGCCGTCCACCAGGAGCCCGCTGGGCAGGACGGTGCTGGAGGTGAGGGGGAGGGAGGGGGGCACGGAGGGTACGACATGGGGAAAACACACACGCCAGGGGCGCCCACGCAAGCACAGTACACACACATTTCTTTCCCAGGGCCTACCCACTTCCCCCATTCCTCACCCGCTTACCGCCTCGCACCTGTTACTGTAGGCAACAATGCAGCATGCTACCTGCCCCACCGCACCCAACCCCCCGTGCTGGAACACACACGTGTCCCCGCGTCGCTTTATCCCTCCCTCCCCTTCCTCCTTCCCCGCCCCCCCTTCCAGCCCCACATCGGGCGCTACACCACGGGCGTGTGGACTGCTCGCTACCTGCGCGAGCAGCTGCTGGTGCAGCTGGCGGGTCGCGGCGCGGAGGAGGTGGTGCTGGGGCGCGAGGAGCTGAGCAGCCTGCAGCAGCACCGGCTGCAGTTCGCCAGGCAGATCGCGTACAAGATGGTCAACGCGGGTGAGGAAGGGGGGATGGGGGTACCAGTGGGTGCAGCGGTGGTTGCGTTGAGTGGGATTGTGTGCATGGGAAGGGTTGACGTGTGCTGACGTGTAGTTGAGTGTTGATGTTTTACCCCGCATCCCAAGCACCCCACCGCCCTCCACGCTTCCTAGGCATGCCTGATGGTCCCCCGCTTCCGGTCTCATCCAGTGCCCCAGTTAAACCTCATGTCACCCTGCGCCACCAAAAAGCACAATCCTCTCCCTCCGTCCCCCATCCGCCCTGCACCCCTCCCCTCCATTCCTCCTCCCAGGCATGTCCGAGCACCCCGACTATCAGCACATCCGCGGCCTGGGCCAGAACTACCTGGACCCCTCCTCCGAGCCCGGCAGGTTCACGCAGGTGGGGGCGTCCTCCTCACTACATGCACGTCTGCGCACTTTCCCGCCTGCCTGCCCGCATGCATGCAAGGAGCTACTGTGCTCCCTTGCCGTACCGCCGCTGCCGCCCTCCGGCTGCCGTACTGATGTCCTTGCTGCTGCTGTCGTACTGCTCCTGCAGTACACCATCACCACCGAGTTCAACCAGACGCGCTCCGAGGCGGTGGATGTGGACATGGAGGTGGAGGCGAGCCTCAACGGGGGGTACCAGGAGGTGGGGAGAGGGGGGGAGACGGGGATGCGGAGGGTTGAACAGGCTCAATGTGCCCGTTTGGCAAGGCTCCTCCTTGGGAAGGAGGGAGAGGGATAAGGAGGAAGGGCCTATTAAAACGGTAGGAGGGAGGGAGGAAAAGGAGGGCGCCTTTCGTCACGACATCGGTGGCAAGGCTCCTCCTTGGGAAGGAGGGAGAGGGATAAGGAGGAAGGGCCTATTAAAACGGTAGGAGGGAGGGAGGAAAAGGAGGGCGCCTTTCATCACGACATCGGCGGCCGCATGCTACTTGCCACTGCGTTAGCTGTGACATGACCTGTCCTTCTTTGCCCGGAACTTATCTCCTTGTCGTTCCGCTCCTTCTCCCTCTCACCCCTGCCCTGCCGCGGCGTGGAATTGAGGTGCGGTTCCTCACCCGCACGTGCCCGATGCCCTGGCTGGCTCCCTCACATGCCAACTCGGAGCGCCTCCTCTCACCCCTGCCTGGCCCTCCCTCCCCCCTCCCCTCCCCTCAGGTGGTCGCCCTGCTGCGCCGCAACCGAGCCGCCCTGGACGCGCTGATCGAGCTGCTGCTGGAGCGGGAGAAGGTGTCGGGGCGGGAGGTAGTGGAGGTGAGCCCGGGTGCATGTGTTGCGTGTGCATGGGGGGGGCGTAAAGGAGGATTAGACTAACCGGTCCGTGTTGGGGGTGGGATACTGAAGGTGAGCGAGGGTCAAGGAGGCGCATACATGTGAGGATCAGCCAGCTGGATGTGTTCCAATCTGGGCAGCCCGCTCTCTCAGCTAAGCCCTGTACGGTGCGGCTCTCCACTCCTTTCCCTCCCGCTCTCCCATCATTTTCCTTGCTGCACCCCTCCGGAACCGAACCGCGTTTCTTTGTGCCCACCTCGCCCGCACACCCCCGCCCGCAGGTTGTGGAGCGGTTAGGTCACCCAGACGACCTGGCCCGGAGGGCGAAATGGGCGGGGTACCAGCTGCTGTGATGAGGGAGGGGAAGGGGACGGTTGGGAGGGGTGCAGGCGCTGTGAGGAGAAAATATGGCAGGTGGGCCAGGGGGTGAAAAAGAAACCTGGGGTCATCAAGTGAGGAAGGGGTGAAGGTAAGAGGAGGGGAAATGATACATCGCGACTTGACCGACGGCACGGAGGGAGATAGAAAGATGAGGAGGCTCAGGTAGTACTGAGAGTGGAGCACACTGCATGACTGGCGATGGCGTCGTGTCTTGTGACCTAACTTTTACGCACGCCGTGCCTGTCCTGAACGCAGTGACGGTCTCTCGGTTTGGTAAGAAACTTGGCTTATTGCGTTGCATTACGGCGAGTGGTCTGCAATCGTGCGTCCTTAGGAGGGGAGCGTGGCAAAGCGGGCAGGTGCATGCCACCGTAGCCTAGGGAGTGACCCTGGGTCTCACAGGGACCACATGGTGGCTTATGAAAAGAAGGACCGTACGCCCACAGTGCTGAGTGTCCACCGTGTTCCAGCGAGCTGTTGCAGGTTATACTTACGAGGGGCTGTGTAAGCCCCGCTATCCAAGTTGCGTCAAAGTTGCGTTTCTTTGGGGTGGTGGGAAGGGGACATCCTATTTGTTGCAACCCATACCAAAGACTACAAGCTCTTCGCGTACTCTCTCCCATCCAGCCACAACATTACCTGATATGAATCCCATCTGCATCAGGCTTCAAGAAATGTTGCTGAAGCGGGGTGCAATAGAACTCGCCCAGCCGGGGCGCTTCGCAAGCATGCTCCAATGTATTTAATTAAGCGCACGCTTGCGCCCAGCATGCCCGTCCATGCGGCAGCCATGTACGCCGGTAGCCATGTACGCAAGTGTGGCCGGCGATACGTCTGCGTATCTCTTTTGAAAACTTGCCTTGCTTACCTGCACATAGACGGGCTATGCCTTCTGTTCGATACCGGTACCTCCCTACACATTTTGCTGCTCTGCTTCCGCGACAACATTGAACTATGCATTGAAGGCGTGCGAAGTTCTGTATCTATTGTACACTGTAAGAAATGCTTATCTATTGAAGGCGTCTGTACCTATTGTACACTAATAAATTGTACACTAAATCACCGAAGGCCCATTTAGTTCTGTTTAACTCAGGTTTAATGCCGATTCAAACGTTGAATCAGACACCAAACCTGAATGGAAACAGGCTGTGAGCTGCAGGAGACATATCCACACGCGAGCACTTTCTTTTCCCTCTTCGTCACCGCCAGTAAGCTGGCGGATGGCGGCTTCCCAGTATAAATATGGTTAGCTGAAATAACGGTTTTGCCATAAACCAAGAGAAAACGGAATGAGGTTGCCGTTTCTGGATCGGGGTCGGTTAGTCAAGCAACGTTCGTTCATTACGAACCGGACGGTTCAGGCTAGCTACCATTACGAACCACCCATGCTCCCAGTAACGCACTGCCAGCACAGCCTTACATATATATTGTCCAATAACCAGGTCGAACTATGAGTAGTTTCCTCAATTTCTTAGTTTAGACCCATTGACAGGTCGTCGTCCTTACTAAGGAAACGAAACCACTTGTTAGGTGGCAGCAGAGCATATTAAGCAAGCCTACATCTGCAACAACGCTGTTAAAATGACGCGACGCATTCTTGCCGTAGCTGTTTTAGTGTTGTCCATCTCGGCGGCATGCTGCAGTGTGACAGGTACACAGGGCCACAACTGCGAGCTTTCTGATTGCACATATGACGCTCTGCGTGAAGCGCTTATGTTTATTTCCCGCGACGACTTTCCTTCTGAACCGTTAATGTGCAGTTTCGAGCCAGAAGCTGGCCCCTCCTCCAACCAACGGAACAAGCCCAGCGCACACAACAAGCCCTGCAACCACACCCAGCCCCTCGCCCAAGGCTAGCCCCTCTCCGTCGCCCAGCCCCTCGCCTAAGGCTAGCCCTTCTCCGTCGCCCAGCCCCTCGCCCAAGGCAAGCCCCTCTCCGTCACCCAGCCCCTCGCCCAAGGCTAGCCCTTCGCCGTCGCCCAGCCCCTCGCCCAAGGCTAGCCCTTCTCCGTCGCCCAGCCCCTCGCCCAAGGCTAGCCCCTCTCCGTCGCCCAGCCCCTCGCCCAAGGCTAGCCCTTCGCCGTCGCCCAGCCCTTCGCCCAAGGCTAGCCCTTCGCCGTCACCCAGCCCTTCACCCAAGGCTAGCCCTTCGCCGTCACCCAGCCCTTCACCCAAGGCTAGCCCTTCACCGTCACCCAGCCCCTCGCCCAAGGCTAGTCCCTCGCCGTCGCCCAGCCCCTCGCCCAAGGCTAGCCCTTCTCCGTCGCCCAGCCCCTCGCCCAAGGCTAGCCCTTCGCCGTCGCCCAGCCCCTCCCCCAAGGCTAGCCCCTCTCCCTCCCCCAAGGCCGGCCCTGCTAATGGGCGGCATCTGCGTAAGTCCGGTGGACTTGAGGTCAAGCCTGCTTGCGGTGCTCATATGCTGCCGTGAAATTGGCGTTCTCAGCGATCCCGGGTGGCACAACTCAATAGCACACAACTTGAGGGGAGCAACCGCTTGTGCGTGGCTCGCACACCCGCTGCATGGGGCACCTAAACTTGCCATCAACTTACATGAATGCTTGTTGTCTGAGGTTTATCCAGCTTTGTGCAACTCGTTTATGTCGCCCTAGGCAGCTACGGGTTTTGTGTCTAACTCTAGATGCACTCCTGTGTATCGCAGTGACTACCACCACCACCACCAAGTCCCCTAGCCCGGCGCCATCTCCCAAGAAGAGCCCTCGCAAGTCGCAGCCCAAGCTTGGCGAGCCGCCCCTGCCCATCAAGTAAAGCACCAGCCAGCTAGCAACCAGCCTGGCAGCACCTCCACCTGTGAGCAAGGTGTCATGACGTACGGTATCACGTGCTGTTGCGACGGAGGCCTGGCAGTACAACTAACATGGGTGCCACACGTGTCCTCGATAACCTGATCTGCGTGTGCATTTGGTTACTGGGATTTGACTGGCGCGCTTCCGTTGCGGCTGAGGGCACACTCACGTGTACCTGTTTGCCTGTCCTCAGGAACAGTTTGTGTGCTGCTAAAACTGGCCACGATACAGAGTGTTGTGTGCGAGGCGCGCTGTATGTTGTTGCAGGTATGCTTCGTAGAGTGTGTGCATAGAGTTGTACCGATCGCTGATCCCGGGAATACCCTTACTGGGCTTCTTACCTGTTGCTTTTCTAACTATAGATCACGGTTAGAAATGTGCCGTTGAACTACATTACTGCTGCTGCAATGCTGCTTAGTTGGTTGAATACTGCAGGCTGTTGCATAACCACGTGGTCTTTGTCCGTAGATTGTGGAATGGATGTTTGCTGTGCTTGACAGTTCTTTGTATTGGATACAGATAGGTGTCGTGCTAGAACAGGAGGTCTTGGCTTTCGAGTGTGGTTTATCTGCGAGTTGCTTAGGTAGGACATAGCTGCTTTACGGCTGCATAGTTGTATGTGTACGATGCAGAGGACGCGCAAACAGCGCTCCATTTACCTTGTAATGCTCTTCATTCCGGATTAAGTATTCACTGAAGAAGGTTATGTTCGAGATACGGAAGGCAGCCAAACCGTACAACTAAGCGAAGTCCCCATGTCCTGCACCCAAGCCAAGCCCTCACCCCATCCAAGTCCCAAAGCCCCGCCCTCGCCCCACCTGCTCCCAACCTGGCGCCCAGCCCTGCACTCCAGCCCCCTCCTGCACCCAAGCTTGGCCCTGCGCCCCAGCCTACTCCCGCTTCCATGCCCTCCCAGAGATGAACACCTGCGTAGTCTGGTCGGATATCGGAGGGCTTAGATTGCCAACACCTCTTCCAGTGCGGGCTAAGCCGTGTTTCCATGCAGCCATACCCAACCGTAGACGGCACGCATCTTTGACATTCGGAGCTTGTTTCCAGTAAGGTTTAGTGCGATTGAGGTCGAATTTAACTCAAGTCGCTCCGACTAAGCGCCAACTCAACCCAAATGTACACCACATTGCTCATAAACCTTGCCGAACAAGTTTGGGTAGGGTGCACGGCTACAGCGGTAGTGTAAGGCCGAAACCATGCTGGTGGGTCGGATGCGCAAGCGCACCCATTGACCACACCCCCTGAAAATATTGAAGTTAATCGCAGGTCCTCAATGAGGACCATGTAAGCGATTAGACTTACAAGAACAGATACTACACATGATCTGAGCCAAAAGGCCGAGAAAGGTATGAAGTTTAGGGAAATGATGCTTGCAACCATATTCAGAGCGTTTTAAGGGCCCAAATCATGTTGGTGATGGTGGGTCAGTAGTGTCCTTGGATGGACACCACACAATTCCTGGCCCAGGCCTGTGACGCCAGCAATCGTGAGGGGTTTTTAAATCCAAGCCTCCGGCCTAGGCACCGCGTATGAATTGAAGCCTGTGCCCGCAACCACATGGCATGAAGCATAATGATTGGGAGGGCAGGGCATGCAGCGAGTAGCAAGTTCGAATGAGATTGAATGCAGCAGGCGCATGGAGGGCAGACCTCACAGTGTCCACAGATGGTGCCCCCACCGCGAGGCTGAATGTGCGTACACGCGACATGTTGCGTACACGCAACTTTTGCGCACACACTCTACTAAAGGCACTCACTTCCATTGCCTCAGTTACATGCCATCAAGCGTGCGCCCTAACATATAATCCTACACGGCCTTTCGCAAGGCGTTGCGGGAGCGCAATGCCACAAGTCTGTTTCCTGCACGGCAGCGGTTGGCGGTTGGTGCAGCCTGGTTGCTTTCCAGATCCTTTCGCGAAGACTCGTATCGTCTTCAAGAGCTGTAGTGGCCGCTGTTAACGCGCAAATAGAGCAAACAACAGTTATCACGTAATGTTGTCAAGAAGCATGTGTTGACTGGCAAATTACAGTAAACCATTGATCCTAAAACTTTGTTATCATGTCTAGCGACGAAGATGCCGAGGAGCTGGCCGCTTTGCGGGCACAGCGGGCTGCTCGGACAGGTGGCGCAGCAACGCTGGTAAGTCATTCATTTTGTGGACCTTTTCGATAAACATAGTAAACATGCGCTATTGTTTACGTTTGCTATACTAAGTATACCGAGCAAAGGGCGCATTGCAGCTTCGCCTCTGCAATCCCTACCTTTGTTCCAATTCTTTTTCGTATTTGTTTCTCTGTATACACATCTTCTGCAAGCTTGTGCCATTAGTCTCGAGTTAGGTTACATTAGCCCGGCTGACCCAATGGACCGGTATCTGTGCCGCAGTCCCAATTACGAGAGCTTCAGCGACGCGCGGAGGCCGCATCAATAGATGGAGGCGACTACTTTGAGGTTGCCGGCGGGTAACGAGATGAGGGTGGTTGAGGGTGTTGTTGGCACCTCTTCTTTAGGTATGGTGGCGACAATAAAAGGCATAGTCCACTGCGGGGTTGCGATATCTTACTTACCTGGGTGGACTTCCCCTCACTAATGCCCGGTGCGACCCTCTTCTGTCCCCCCCCTCCCTCCTTGCAAACCAGTGGTGCTGCTGTTGGCCCTCCGAAACCACCGGCTGCTGCCCCGCAAGGAGCTAGCGGAAGCAGTGCAGGAGTAGCCGCAGGAGGCTCTCATGGGCCGCCTAGGCCCCCTGGCATGGGAGGTGGAGGAGGGGGGTCGGACGGGCCTCCCCGGCCTCCATCACAGCAGCAGGGACAGCAGCAGGCGTTGGTGGGGCCGCCTCGTCCGCCGCCTCGCCAGGTAGATGGGGCCGTATGTGGGGTTTAGGGTGTACAACACTCGGAGGTCCGTAGAGTGGGCATAGGCGGTTAGGTGTCACAGCGCCTTGTGGGCGTGGGAGGGCGCGGGGAAGCGGTGCGGACTTGCTTGTCCGCCGCTTGGACATGACCAATGGCGGGGCAGGGCGGGAGGCTACGGTTGGTAGAGGTGGTGTCAGCTCCTGAACAGGCTCTGGGTAAGACCAGGCAGCGCCCGAGTCAGGGTCGTCATAGCGGGGTTGGAGAAGAGGGCTGCACCGTCCTTGTCCCCTCTCTCCCGGGCTCACCCCGATCCCCGAACTCAAGCCTTACCCCGACCCCTTTCCAAACCTACCTTCTTGTCGCCACCGCCGCCGCAGCAGCAGCAGGAAGAGGAGGGTGGTAGCGGGGAGGAGGGCGAGGCGGAGAAGGAGGCGGATGGCGGACGCGGGTGGTCGGAGGAGCCGGACCGCATGGACGACCCCGTGCGGGCCTGCCTGCCCATGTCCTTTGGTGAGGGCCGGGGAGGGGAGGGGTATGTGTGTGAAGAAATGCTGGGACCACGTGGGAACGGCAAACAGTGTGGGAGGGGGGAGCTATCTGCGGCACGTCTATATCGTACGACAGCACATGCCGGCCTCTGTCTGTGTGCCCGCCGCGAAGTATTGTCGCCCTGGAGAAGGGTGAGTTGTTGCGGCGGCAACCCCACCACCACCCCCACCACCACCTTTCCCGTCTCTTCCCGTCACTCCCCTCCCTCCCCAGGCGCCCAGGAGAAGAAGGTGGCCAACCCTATCATCTCCCACAACGCCTTCCGCAGGGGCGGCTCGGGCTCCCCCCCGCCGCCCTCAGCAGCAGCACGGCGCGGGGCGGCAGCAGCAGGAGGGAGGGGCGGAGGAGGCGGCGGAGGGGGGTCGTTCGGACCGCCAAGACCGCCTTCAGCTGCAGCGCAGCGGCAGGCGGAGGGGGGCGAGGAGGCGGGGCCGTCAGTGCGGGGTCCGGGGGGCGGCGAGGAGGAGGGCGAAGAAGGAGATGGGCTGGTGGGTCCCCCGAGGCCGCCGCCAGGTGAGGAGTGGGAGTGCGGGCAGGTGGCCGCACAACTGGTGCTTCTATGATACGTGGAGCTGGGGTACGGGTGTGGAGGGATATGAGCAGCTTGGGGGGCACCAGGGGGCGGGGGTTATGGGGCTGGGGCTGCAGGAGGGGGTCGGGGGTTGCGGAGATAGCGGCAGCAGCGCAGATGCGATCTAAGCTCTTATCCGTCGTGTGGCTCCTGCGACACACTTTCGCCCTGGCTGCCTGGGTTACCTTGGCACAGGCTCAGATGAAGAGGAGGAGGAGGAGGGCGATGAGGGTGCTGCGATGGCGGGTCAGGAGGAGGAGGAAGATGACCCGTACGGACTGCCCATAACGCATGAGGTGCGTGCTGTTGCCCCACCAGATGACATCCACCGTACGGCACACAGGTGGTGCAATGCTAGTCGCACTTGCTCACACGTGCCTGTGTTCCGACGCTCCTGTGCGTTGTGACGTCTGCTCCCAGCGTCAGGACGGACGGGTGCGGTGGGGTGCAATCCTGCGCTGGCTTTAAAACCCCGGCATTTCTTGTGCCGTGTTGTACTGCCGTGTTGTACGTCAACGCAGCAGACCCTCCTGGGGGTTCACTAACGCAGGTGGCTTTGCGGCTCGACCCGCCTCCCCACTCCTACTCCCCGCCCCGGTGCTCCTTCCCAGTAATCGCCTCCCTTGCTTCCCCGCATCACAGGCCTTGTAGCTGGTTTTCTCTTTACCCCCTTCATCCCCCCTCCCCCCGGCTCCCCCCCATTCCCAATAGCCACCTCCCTCGCTTGCCCGCTCTTCCTCCTCCTCCCCCCACCATCCCTCTCCCGCCGGCTCCTCCCGCCCCCCAGGCCATCCTGCGCGGCCACACCAAGGCAGTCACCTGTCTGGACGTGGAGCACAGCGGCACGCGCATGGTAGGGGGCTGGGGTGGGATGGGGTGGGGTGGGGTGGGGGTGGGGGGGGGTAGGGGTAGGCGAAATGGAGGGAACTCAAGAGCTGTATGACGAGGCTTCACCATGGGGCAGGGAGTGGGCTGGGGTTGTCGGGGTGCCTTAATTGCGTGCGGGCGTCTGCCTGTGTGTGTTTGGGTGCTGGGGTTGCAGGCTGGGCTGGAGGAAGGGGGGCAGCGGCACTCGTACGGCAGGCGGCGGCTCCGCTTGTGACCCCTTGACCCGACTGACACGGTACCTCTCTGGCATTACGACCCCGGTGCACCCCTGCCTCGCCGCCCTACCTTCCTCCCCCTGTCCCCCCTCCTTCCCCTTCCCCCCCCCAGGTGACCGGCTCGCACGACTACACGGTTCGCATCTACGACTTCCACGGCATGAAGTCCGACATGCGCAGCTTCAGGTGGGGGGGCGGGGGGCCGGGTAAAAATGAGGAAACTGACGAGCTGTATAACAAGGCTACACGATGGGGTGCAAAAATGGTAGCCAGCCCATCCCGCCCTGCCCGAATATGTCAATCCGTAACAACAAGTGGACTTTCCGCAGCCGGTGTAGCAGTAATAGAGCGGGGGATAGACTAAAGGGGGGTGGTTGTAAGGGGTAGGAGGGAGGCTTGAGGCCGGATGGGGGAGGGGACACGTTGGAATGGTTCCTTTGCCCGCATAGTTTAGTTGCCCCAATCCGTCATCCGACATCAGGATAGGGTTCATGCATGCTGGTAGGGTTCATGCATGGTTGGCTGTGCACCCCCGACCCCCACCACCCCCCGTAACGGCCATCTATTCTCCCGCCCCCCACCCCACCCCTCACCTCTCCTTCCGCAGGGACGTGGAGGCCTCCGAGGGCCACCCCGTGCTGTCGGTGTCCTGGTCGCCCTCGGGGGAGGCGTTCCTGGTGGTCACAGGGGCGGCGCAGGTGGGGGGGCGGGGGAAGAAATAAGGAGGAGGGGGAAGGTGCGTGTGGGTGCCAGCGCGCGCACGGTTGATGCACAGAGCAGGGGCGGGGTCGGCCTACCTGTTCCTACCATGCAAAGTCGGCAGCATCGCACAGGTTATGGTTCCGGTGCATGTGAGCAACCAAACGCCCCTCAATGCCCCCCTCCCTGCCCGCCGAGTTCCCCAAGACCTCGGCCCCCCAACCGCCCGCCCCACCACCTGCCTCCCCGCAGGCCAAGCTGTACGACCGCGACGGGCGGTGTCAGGGCGAGTTTGTGCGCGGGGACATGTACATCCGCGACGCGCGCAACACGCGGGGTCACGTGAGCGGGCTGACGGGCGGCTGGTGGCACCCGACCGACCGCTACACCGCCCTCACCAGCAGCGAAGACGGCACGGTGGGGGCGGGGGGGGGGGTTGGGATGGGAAGGAGGGGGGGGCGAGGAGGTGGGGGTATAAGGGATTGCGCACGGGCTGGCATTCAGGATTGCGATTAGTCGTACTGATTTGTTGGGTTAGGTGCAGTAAACATAGTACAAACCGTGTTTTAGTTTTATAATTTGGCGGCTGGTGACATCATACCGTTGGACGACCCTTTGTCGCGAATGGCTGGCGGGCGCGCGCGCTCCTCTGCGTTACTGAGCACCATACGGGATGAGAGCAGATGGGAATGATGAAGAACTGGAAAGAGGAGAAGCTGACGGATGCTAATTCTGTCTGCCCCTTTGCTGTCTCTCTACTTGCCCTTTCTCGAACGCTGACTTGAATGTACCGTGTTAAGTAACTGTCCTTGGCTCATTTCTTCCTGTCTTCCCTCCCCGCTCCTCCCTGCCCCCTGCCCCTTCCCCCCTCCCAGGTCCGCATCTGGGACACGCACAACGTGCTGCAGAAGACCGTCATCAAGCCCTCCCTGGCGCGACCCGTGCGTACGGCGGTAACTGCGGTGTCGTACAACACCACCGGCTCCCTCATCGGGGCGGGGCTGGCAGACGGCACGGTGCAGGTGTGGAGCGTGGGAGGTAAGCAGAGCAGCAGGAGGAGGAGCACTTCGCGTGAGGGTTTCATGGCGGCTCCGGGTGCTGCAGGGTTTGGAACACGGTGCGTCGGCACCGAACCACTCACTTCTGCCACCCCTCCAACCTCCCAACCCCTGCCCCTAACCCCCGACCCCGCCCCAGGCAAGTTTGGCGTGTCTGCGGCAGTGGGGCAGGTGCTACCACCCAAGCCGCAGGTGAGGACCAGTGACCCATGGGTCGGATGTTGCTGCCTTCGAGGGTGCCTCCTTCCGTGCTTGAACTCCATTCCGCATGTAGGCACACGCTTTCCCTTCCGTGCCGTCCTGTTGCATGCCCAAACAGCCCCCACTTACAGCCTGTGGCTTTCTCTCTCCATCGCCTCTCGTCCCCCGTCCGTTTCTTGTCGCGTCTAGTGCCGCACTTTCTTCCATCGTGTCGTGCTCGCAATCCCCCAAACCCTCACCGCCACTCCTCCCCCCCCCGCCTCCTGCCCTCTCCCCCCTTCCTCCCCAGATGGTTGAGAAGCAGGGCTGGACGTACGTGAGCCGACCCAACCAGCTCATCCGGGATGCGCACGTTGCGGTGAGGGGGAGGGGCCGGGGTCGGGGATATGCTTTCGGGTTTTGACGGTGCAGAGTGGATATCTGTACTGTTTGGATGCATGTTATCCATTCAAATGGGGTGCAAAAGGAGAACCGGGGGCGTATCTTGTACCTGTTATTTACCCCTCACAGCTTGCCCACCATGCCCCGCCGCTACACCCCTCCCCCGGCCCCCCCCCGCTCTCCCCACCGCTCTCCCCAGGGTACCGAGATCTCCTCGCTGTGCTTCAGCTCCGACAACACCACCCTGCTCAGCCGGGGCACCGACGGAACGCTCAAGATATGGGACCTGCGCAGGTGGGGTGGGGGCGGGGGCGGGAGGAAAGGCGCGAAGCGAATAGCTAGATACTGGGAATTGTTGCATCGAGCTTGGGCACGCTCTCAAGGTGCGGTATCGTACCCACACTAACACTGCTCCCCCCCTATGGTTCGGTATGGTCTTTGACCCCCCTCCTTGCCTCCGCGCGCCTCCTGCCCCAGGTTCCAGACCCCCGTGCACGTGCACTCCAACCTGCCAGCCCCCTACGCGCAGACCCGAGCCATCTTCAGCCCGGATGAGTCCCTCATCCTCACAGGTGGGGGGTGCGGTGCGGGTAACTTGCGTACAGGATAATCCGCAAGAGGGGGGGATGGGGGCGGTGGGGCTGGGCGTCGAAAAGTACCTGACCCACAAGCCTACGCGCATAAAGAGGTGCTGGCGGGGTCGTGGTACAGCACGCGTCGCAGAGCATGTGTGTAAAGAGACCAAGGGCCTTACTTCAACCCGTGCATCCACCCCTTTCCTGCTTATCACTTCGGGCTTCAGTGCAGCTTCTTTCTCCTAGGCCAAAGCCCGGTGCGCCTGTCCACCTGAGTCCTCCATGCTATCCCACGCCTTCCCCTCCCCCTCCCCTCACCTTATCGACAGGCACGGGTGCCGCGGGTGAGAGCGGCGCGGAGGGCGGCTCGGAGGGTGCACTGGTGTTCTTCAGTCGGGCTAAGAACGAACTCATACGCAAGGTGTGCGGGTGGGGGGTGGGTGGGCAGTCCTTGTTCTTAATCCCCTGAAATCCTCAATGCGCCTGGACAACATGGCTAAACACCCTACACAAGCTCCCAGTCACTAACCCTACCTGAACTTGCAACCCTCCCAACACCTCCCCCTCCCCGCTCCCCAGGTTGGCATGCCCGGCAACGTGACGGCGCTGTCCTGGCACCCGCGACTGAACCAGATATTCGTGGGGATCGGTGAGGGGGGGAGGGGTGTGGGGTGTAGGAAGTGGGGTTGAGAAAGGTCATAGGGGAATCACTGATGCCCCGGTCGGGCTTGGGGTACGTAGGTTGCGGTGGACTGCACGCGATCGCGATTCCACCGCCCGGCAGCTAGTAGGCAGCTATCCATGCCGCACAGGCACACAACAACTCCTCCTCCTCCTTTCCCCTGCTGCCCCCTCCCTCTCCCTCCCCCTCCCCTCCCCTCTAGGCAGCCGCAAGATGGGCGAGACGCACGCGCTGTACGACCTCACTCGCAGCGAGAAGGGCGTGCTGGGGGCGGCATCGCGGCGGCCCCGCGCGCCCAACCCGCTGGACTTCACCCCCCCGCTGCTCATCAAGACGCCGCATGCGCTACCCATGTATAGGTGGGGGCGGGGAAGTGGGATGGGGGCAGGGGGCCACCGCATGTGAGACTGGCGGGTGTCTTGGGTTGCATGGACCCCCTTGTGACGGCCCTACCGTGTGTAGCCCTCCTACCCCGTCCCCGCACCCTGCCGCTTCCTATTGTTTTGCCCCAACTTATGGTCTCCTATTGTTGGGTATGGTCGTTGACCCGCCCCGCAGGGATGACCCCGTCAAGAAGCGCAAGGCGGAGCGCGAGGCCGCCAAGCAGCGGCGCCCCGACCTCGGCATGGTGGCGGGGCGCGGCAAGCAGGGCCGGCTGGGGGCCACCGGGGGCACCCTGCTCACACAGCACCTGCTGAAGCAGGTGGGGGGGTGGGGGAGGGGGAGTGGGAGGGACCTAGGAGGAAGGGGGCGCAGCGGGAGGGCAGGGAGCCCAGCACGTTCCACATTGTCTGCCTGCACCACCTGTGCCCTGCCTGCACCCCGCCCTGCCGCTTGCTGGTCTGCGCGCTTGCTGCAACCGAGCTGCGCGTTGGCGAGGTCATGGTGCCCTGTGCGGGTGTTTAGGCTCACCTCCTGAACACAACCCCTGCCTCAACCTCCCTACCGCACCCGCGCCTGCCCCGCCCCTCCCCCTCCCTCGCTCCTATGTCTGTCGTCTGGCCCTCACCTCTGGTTTGGTTGTTCTCCCTCCCCTCTTCCCTCCCTCCCCCCCCAGCGCGGCGGCCTGATGGCTCCCGAGCAGGAGATGGACCCGCGGGAGGCCATCCTGCGGCATGCGGACAAGGTGGGCGGGGGGGACAGGCGGGAGCAGGGCGGAGGCTGGTTGTGGCCTACCGGTAGCATGAAGACCGTAGGGGGTAGCGGGGGTGAAGGCTGTTTGCACCGGGTTTGGGAAATCCCGGGAAGGAGGCCTTGTCGGTGCAGGTCGGGGTTGGCTTCAAAGCACGAAAGCGTGATAGCAGCTTGAGAAATGAACCTCTGCCTCTCCCCAACCACCGCTACCCTCCACGCTACCCTCCACCTGCCTTACACCAACCACCCCTACCCCCCACCCCCCTCGTAGGCTAAGGACGAGTTCGCTGCATGGACGGCCGCCTACCGCGCCACCCAGCCCAAGCCCGTGTATGCGCAGGAGGAGCAGGAGGAGGAGGGAGAGGAGTGAGATGCAGGAGGGGGAAGGGGTAACTTGTGTAAGGGGCTGGATGCAAGAGGAAGCGAAGGGTTGTGTGGAGTTAGGCGGTGGCGGAAGCGTGTGGCCAGGAGCTGGCGGAGGAAGAGGGAGGGTCTGGGTGGGGTGGAGAGCGGCAAGAGAGGAGTACGAGGATGAGGAGCGCTGCTGACGCACTGGGGTTTGCCAATGGGCTACAACGCTCGTGAGTGGGCCAGACGCTGTAATGTGAGCAAGTGGCCTGAATTGCTGATTTGCCGTTAGGAGGTTGTCGTACGCTCTGTCCACCGGTCCGCCAGCAGCGCTTTGTCGTCGCCGGGCTGATTTCACAACCAAGCATGTGGCACGTCCACACGCTTTGCCAACAAGCCCTGCCCTCTGCCCACGGGGCGTAGCTGCATACGGCTTGGCCTATGGAACGCTTGCCCGCAAATGCGCTATGTGAAATGTCAAGCTAAACATCGTAAGCACTACTTTCCTTTTCCAGTTACAGGCCGACGACACGTATAGCTCTTACTTGGATGGAAAACATGCGTGCTTAACCGCAACTGAAACTACGCTTCCAGATTATGCATGCATAGGAGTAGGGTCCTCAAGCTTTATTAGGAAGCTTTCTTAGGCCGTGTACTACATCAGATTCCCGACCAAGGTATGCGCACTCGCGCGAAATGCTGGCAGTCGACGGTTGGCGAATGGGTATGACATTTCACGCAACATTGCAGCTATAATTTCAAAATTTCTGGTTATAATTAGCGCTACTGAACTGTTTCATCAACTGTTGTAGACTGTCGCTTTGACGTGAGCGCGCGTTCAGCGATTAACGGTTAACACTTTTTCCTGTTTCTTCATCGCTACGCTACCATTTGGATTTTTTTGACAACTTAAGCACAGGCAAGCTTGTTTCCTGGCAAGCGCTCGGGGCCAGGCTCAGGAGTGGCATTGGTTACTTACGACTGGGAAGGTGCGTTGCCGGTGCGAGCGACCTGTCGCGGTAGATGTAGGCGAAATACTAGCGTTGTTGCCTGCGTAGCGCTACAGTAGCCGCTTCGGTAAAAAGAAAAAACGTGTATCGTGAACCAGGGTTGTTTCGCGCCCCAGCGGCCCCACTGAGAATGACGCCGCTGTACTACTTGAGTTTATACAGTGCCATCATGCGTATCTAGTGCGCCTGTCGTCGATTACGGTTTACCTCACCGGCTTTCCCCCCGGTGGGGGATGGACAGCTTGCTATGCTCATTAATATGGCTGGCCTCGATGGCCGTTCTGGCTGCCAACCGAACTTTGCTGTCCCTTGGTGTCGCCTCGGTCCAACAGAACGCTGCATTACCCAAGGGGGGTCGAAGCAAAGGGCGAGCGCTGAGCAACCAGGGGATAGGGAAATTGTAACAAAAAGAGAGAAAGGCAAACCACCAGCCGCCCAGCCCGTTGTCCCTGTGTGCGTTGCATCCCTGCCAGCTGCAAATTATATACTGCAGTCATCCCCCCTGACTCCGGCATGGCAGTCCTACACACCAATGATTATCACTTCGCAAACCCTTGTGCCGCCTCCTCCCTTCTTCCTGGCATACCTTCCGCCGTACAGGTCCCTGACGTCACGTTTCGGGTCTGGAACCAAAGCTGCACAGCAGGGCTTACGCGCCACAGGCACAGCCAGACCCCGAAGAAGTCCACTAGTGTTACGGGACCCACAATGTTGCTGCCCAGGCGACCTCTTCTGCAGCCATCCCACCGGGACGGCCGCTGCAGTGTCTCCAACTGCACCACCACAGCCTCCTCCTCCTCCCCACCCTGCTCGTCAGCGCCCCCTGCCCACTCCTCATCACCACTGCTGCTGCTGAGGGCTCGCGGCTATCGTGTCCTCGCAGCGCCCCTCCAGCAGCACAACGAGGGGACCACACTGCGGAGTTGGAGGAGCAGCTACAGCCGGGGGTGCTCCGCACCTCCATCTCGTCCCTTCCTCGCCCCGGCTCCCACTTGCTGCTACTTGCCCTTCGCCTCAACTCCCGGCATCTCCCCACCTCCTCCTTGCGAGCGGCTGCTCTGCGCTCCTGCTGTCGTACGGTTACATAAGGCTCATCTGTACATCGGCCCGAGTACGGCGACATGCTGTCAGCGGTCGTACCTGGCACCCCTGCACCCCACGCGGCCCTCACGGCTTTCCATCTTGAGCCGTGCCTCCGCTTCCTCCTCCTCGTCTTCCCGCTTTGCCTCCGCTGGCGACGCCGCCGCTGCTGGGGATGGGGTTGGCGGTGGTGGCGGGGGAGGGGCGTACGGGACTGGGATGCGGCGGCAGCGGAGGCGCGGCGAAAGGTAGGCAGGAGAGAGGATAGGGGATTTGGGAGGGACGAGAGGGTGCACGCGTGGGAGTGGGGCGGCGAGAGGGTGCGCTTGCAAGGGTGGTGCCCTCCGATCCGATCCGGTTGCGGCTGTGTGAAGCCACTGAGTGCAGCCGGCACTGGGAACATGAGGGCCATGGCAAGGAAGCGGGTACTCCTCCCAGGAGTGGCTGCGCTGTCCTCAATCGCGGCCCTCCGCATACCGGTAATCCCACAGTGCCTCTGTTGCTAGCACCCGATGTGTTCGCCCTTCTGGTTCATACCTTCTTACCCTCCGCTGCGGCGCCAGTAGCGCCGCCTTCACTTGCCCACCCTCAGCTTGGAAGCCCCTCCCTCAGCCCCCCTCAGTAGCCCTGACCTGACTGCTACCTCCCCCCTCTTGTCCGCCCCCGCCCCCCACCCACACACACACACTCGCCGCACTCAGGCGCGCTGTCAAGCCAGAGCGTCTGGGCAGCGGGGCCGGGGCCACCCCTGCCGTGCTCTCCACCACTGCTAGCGCTACCACTGCTGCTGGCGGCGGCGCCAGCTGTGGAGGTAGGGTTATCGGCGGCGGTTGCGGTCTTGTCACCACCGGTAGTAGCAGTGTCGCCAGCGGAGGCACTACCGGCAGCAGCAGCAGTGGGGCTGGTGGGGCGGTTGCGGCGGTGGCAGCGGCCGCGGCGGCCTTGTCGGCTGAGATGATGGCTGCTTCATCTGCGGAAGCAGGGCAGGTGCGTGTCGGGTTGGGTCGAGGGAGGGTTGAGAGGACAAACTGCATCATCATCTGCTGCATACCTTGCTCCTGCATGGCATGGAGTTGCATCCATCGAGTGGGCGGGGGTGGGGTCAGAGGTATACCTAAATCGCAGGCGAGGGCAAAGCAACTGGGATAGAGGGGAACAGTTTGTCATGAAGCAGAATAGGGTTATTGGCCCCTACCGATACCGAGTCCGCGGGGGAAAACAAGTGTAAAGTGAAGCAACTGGAGGGGAGGCGACCGGTGTCGATGTCATGCACGTTCAGGACGCCAGCCCAGCGGCATCTGCAGCAGGTACGGCGCATGGATTGACATGACTGCAACGTCATGGAGTCCCCGGTCGCCTCAATACATACCTACTATGCTCATTCCGGCGTCTAAACGCTCGAGAGCTTCATCCTACCTGCCATCGTAACCTAGAGCCCTACCCCACCTGCCCTGTCGCACCCCCCTGATCGCAGGCCGGGGAGTACGACACGGACCGTAACGGCTACCCCGGCAGCGCCAGCAGCGCCACCAGCAGCAACCGCAGCAACAGCAGCAACAGCAGCAGCGGTGGTGGTGTTGCCGACGGGTTGGGACCCGCCGGTGGTGTGGCTCGGGTTGAGCAGCGGCGGCGGCGCCGCCCCGCCTCCGCCTCCTACAACCACATCGTGCCCTTCCACCACCACCGCTCGCCCGCTGCTGCCGCCGCTGCTGCTGCTGCCCTGCCTGCTCGCCCCCCTCCCGCGCTGCTGTCCGCTGCCGCTGCTGCCGCCTCCCCCCACCGGCAGCCGCGGGCGCTGGTTCTGGACTGCGCCTACCGCCCCATCAACGTGTGGGTGTGGGTTGGGGGGTGCGGAGGGGGAAGCGGGGAGGGGGTGCTGGGGCCAAAGTTGGGTTCAGCCGTGTGTTATCAATGCCATTTTCGAGCTGTTTGCGCTCCCTGTAACAATGGGATCGACAGTTCCAGGTGCTCACCCTTCCGGCTAGCAGTGCCCAAACCAGGCAAATTGGAGCAAGTTCGTCCAGCCAGCCAGCGCCCTAGGGGCTGCCCCTCTCCACCTTCCTCGCACCCTCCTGCCTACCCCACACAGGCTCACCTGGTACAAGGCGTTCCACTTTGAGTACTTTGGAAAGGTGGGTGCACATAAGGAGACTGACGAAATGTGTGACGAAGGAGCGTAGGGGGTGTTGGGCCGGTGAAGGGAGCGAGCAGGGGGGTGGGGCTCGGAGGGAGGCAGGAAGATGGGCTAGGTGCGGAGGCCAGAGGCACGGCAAGTAGGAGTCGGAACGGGATAGCACTGGGAAGGGATATCGCAGAAGGAGAAGGGTTTTCCCTGGCCCCTCCCTCCTACCTACCGGTAAGCTGCATCTGGCGCCTTATTCGGTTGGATGCTGGTCTGGATTGTTTGCTTCGTACAGCTCATGCAGTACAATTCCATGCGTATTTACCTCCCACCCAACACACATACAGCTCGCCAGTTTCCTTATTTTTACACCCCCTCCGCCCTCCCCCACGCACCCCAGGGCGAGGTGCTGGAGTACTACCCTCCCCCCGCCTGCTGCACCACCGGGGCGGGGCACTTCCCGCTGCCTGCCGTACTGCGAGTGCCGCAGTACACCGCAGACATGCAGGTGGGGGCGGGGGCGGGTGATGGGGGAGGGGAGGGGAGGGGTCTTGATCATCGTCGTGCGTGTGTGTATGCCGCCTGCCTAAACTCCGGCACCCATGCGTGTCGACTCGACACTGTCGAGCCCCCTCACCTCACCCCTCACCCGCCCCTCCCCCTCTCACCCCCCTCACCCCTCCGTTGATGCACGTCACACGTTTTCCCCTCACCCCCCAGGACCTGTGCTCCCGGGTGCCCTGCTCGCGGCGCAATGTGATGGTGCGGGACGGGTTCTGCTGCCAGTGAGTGCCCGCTGTAGGGGTTAGCGTACGGCAGGGGTTGGCGTACGGCAGCAGTACAGTGGGAGAGGGCGGGAGGGGACCCAGATGTCGGGAGGGAGGGAGTTGAGTGCGATGGGTAGGTGTGCGGCCTAGGCCCCTCCATTCCCCATCATTTGTATTGTGACACCCTTGCCCCTGGCGTGCAGCTCTCCTGTTGTCGCTTTCAAACCATGCGTGCAGTTGTCGTACAGCGCCTCTCCACTGTTTCCCGTACAACTCCTCTCCACCTCCTCTCTTGCGGTGTCCGCACGCGGCTGCAGGTACTGCGGCGGTCGTCGCGAGCTCACCATCGACCACGTGCACCCGGTCAGCCGGGGCGGCGGGGAGAGCTGGAACAACCTGGTGGGGGTGGGGGTGGGGTGGGAGGGGTGGCGGTGGGGGTGGGGGTGCGATGGCTTCAGGGGTTGGGCCTGGTGCGGTTGTGTGTTGCTGATGTTGTTGTTCCGGTGGTGGGGGTGGTGCCGGTGGTGGGGGCGGTGGGGGCGGTGGTACAGCAGCTCCCGCCACACCACCATTGCCACCGACACAGGACAGCATGTGCCTACTGGTACTGTTGACGTACGGTGAGGATTGTGGGGGCTGTAATGTGGTCCACCTTGTACGAGATGCATGGCGCGCCCTCGTCACGATAACCCCCCCCCACATTGATTGGGACTCCGTTGCTGCAATTATTCAATCCCCCCCCATCATCCCTTCCTCCCCCGGCCGCCGCCAGGTGACCGCCTGCATGCGCTGCAACCAGAAGAAGAGCGACCGCACGCTGCGGGAGCTGGGCTGGAAGCTGAGGAGGCAACCCAGGGTGGGCGGGAGGGGTGCGGCGGGAAGAGCTGCGGATTGCGGCTGGTATGCCTTGATAAGGGAGCTATCTCCGCTGTGCGTGTTGGCACAGAATCATGAACTCACGTGTGCAGACAAAGTACTGATGTATAATTAGGACCTAACCGCACGACAGGACGGTACGCCGACCAACCCCAACCGCGTGTCCTTTCATCTGCTGAACATGCACAAAACGTACGACATGTGCTATGCACCAAACCCAGCCGGCTGTACGGCATATCCGCACATGCCCGTACGGCGCACTTGAACCTCCGGCGGGATCTGCCCACTCGCAGGAGCCCACCGCGTATGAGATCGGGCTCGTGGCGGGTATCGCGTTGCGCGACCTGCTGCGTCCGCCGGCGGAGTGGGCGGGCTACCTGGCGCCGTACCGCGAGAGGCTGGAGGCACACCGGCGGGCGGCGCGGGAGGCGGCGCTGGGCAGCATGCTGGAGGAGGGGGCGGGTAGTGGTGAGGAGCTGCACCCCTCAGGAGGAGGTGTGTGGGCACTGAGTGATGTGTAAGGGACGAGGGAGCTGTCTTGATGTCACTGGGACACCGGTTGCCTGTCGTATGCTGCATGCTCGTACGCTGCGGTGGCTGCTGGTTGCGGTTGAGGAAAGGGCCGCAGCGGTGCTTTCCTGTCACCCGTCACCCGGCCCCGTGCGCATTTCGTTTGGTTGGGATTCGAATTACTTGACAAGCAGCGCTACCGTACGATTTTGTTGTTGTTTGGGTTGGTTTGGGCTCGGTTGGGAAGACATTGGAGAGTGATGCTTATGTGTTGCTAGGTTAGCACGGAGGAATGTGCATGTCTTTGCGTGGACCAGAGAAAGGTTATACTCTCCATCCATGAGGCCGAAAACGAGTTAGTTCTGCAGTACGACGTGACGGTAGGCGAGATGTCCTGGTGGCGATCTCCCGGATATCCCAGCTTCTTCTCTAACCATATATCATGTACGTTTAGATGCGTGTGTGGTTGACGTTCTTGCCGTACGCGGGATGCGAAACCGGCTTTGCAAGCAATGTGTTTGGCACGCATATGCAAGTAATTGTTGATTTTCGTAATTGTTCCTTGTGGCTGGGGGTGCCTGAGAGTTGAGCGCAAGCAAGGCCCTTATGCTGTTGTGGCTTGGCGGCTTTGGTCCTGTCGTGCAGCAAAGGACATACCCCCCCGCGTGTACTACTATAACAAACGATTTCCAGCAGGGCAGATTAGTAGGCTTAGGCGAGGGCGTAGTATGGTGTTGGCCAAATAATGGTCTAATCGTTAGTGCGTCAATACGGCTTGGCCATTTGCGTGGTTGGGAGAAATCACTTACAAATATAATTATTAACGTCTCGGTTTTATTTCATTATTCAATTCTGTTATGGCGTGGTTCGGTAATAACCCTCACAACGTGGCTTGCCGTACGATCTAAATCCTTGGTGGTGAAGGTGGTTTCAGCGCGTGGCCCCTCCTATGACCAATCTCTCTCTTTGAAAGCCCCTAAAGCCTGCTGAACACGCCTGAAAAACAAAAAGCGTGCACCTGGGCTCTCTTGGCATGTTGAGCTTGGAGGACATGTGTGTGCTCTTGGGGATTCCGAGGGAGCTATGGGGAAGGCCGGCGACGTCCCATTGCCTGCGCTCTCCACATACGTCCATTACCACTGCCAATTTTGGTTTCACAAGTCCACACGGCATACGGTAATATGTACAAGAAGGTACAGAGCTGAACACTCATGTTGATTAAAATCTTGGCACAGCATGCATATGGCCTATCTAGGAAGACTATGTGCGTTGGTACTCCAATGCGCAATATGTACCAGCAGCAAGCGTGTTAGTAGAATTGGCGGTTCAATTGAGACTTGATTTTTGGCTACAACTCCAATAGGACGTTCCTGCATTTCCTCGTATGCTCGACAACCGGTAGTTTGGCCTTGCATGCATGTTTGGGTTGCTTGTTCAGGCAAATAATTCGGTCGCAAAACCATATGAACACGCTGCTGCCATAGCTTTCAATGGAGGATACCAGGATTACATGTTGTGGATCAGACAGGATCATGACAGCACCGTTTGCAGGTGGAGCAGAAGGAAAAAGAAACAGCTTTAAAACCATCACCAAGGGCGACGTAAAAAGTAATGAGAAACAAATGCGCGCCCTCCAAAGCTGTCAGCACAGACACGCACATCAGTACCTCGTGTAGGCGTCTTCTAGCAGGCCCGTGGCTAGACCGACTCGCCTTCAGCTAACTAAGAAGCTCAGAAAAAGAGGATCTATCTATTTGACATACCGGGCGTATATGCTTTTGAGTATGCAGTATTGGTGAGCCGCGTCTGTCAACCGCCGTCTGTGCCTGAGCAATGAACCCTTCGTCCATCCCACATCCAAAGCCTTCGTCCCAAGGCGTCAGCGTTCTAGATCTAATTCCGAGATTCGAAAATTCTAGATGCGAAGAAGTCTACCGCCACGTATCCGGGCGTCCCGCAATGAAACAGACTTATGACGGCACCGCCACGAAATAGGAAGGTACTGGCTGCTGTTCCGACGCCCGACAGAGTGGCGTTGGTGTCACACCATAGGGCATAAAGCAATAATGATGTACGCGCACAATAGCACATACCCTAGTTGCTACGAAGTTCAGGAGAGAATAACAAGACAAGGCAGCCACATGGTCGCCTGGTAAAGGCGTTAATTGCGGCCAGGTTTTGGGGGCCACCCCAAACCAACCATAGTACATGGTTATAGCCATATTGGCAACAGGCTATGTAACACGAAGAATATTTTGTTCATGTTCATTTAGCCGACCTGTATCAGTGGGGACATTATCCATTGCTGCGTACGATAAGAATGTAAGGCTGCTGCCACAAGAAGGGCGCCACGTCTTACTGGTGGGTGTCAGCCGGAAAGAATAATAAAACCCATACATAAGAGGTTACGAGCCTGCCCTGTACAAATGGACTGCAACATAACAACCGATATGCTACGGCCTAGAAAGGATCGACTTAATCAGTTTCCCAACAGTCTTTGCTGCATGATAATTCAGTTCTGCATAACACGCATTGCTACCACGCAACACCGACTCCCCTTGTCGCCAGTGTTCTTATATATGGCAGTTCGTTTGCGATACCTTCATTAGTCATAACCAATTTGTACAGCTATGTTCCCAGTTCCTACGCTCAGACAGCAGATGACACAATTCGTCCAGCTGCTTAGGAGGTTTCCACGGTGTTCCCTCCTCCTTGCCTCCCTCCCCGTCCCCGTCCCGCTGCCCCGTTGCGCTTTAACACCCCCCTCACATGCGCCCGCACGTCCATCTCCGCGGGTACCAGGCTGAGCAGCGCGCCCTGCCGGGCCGCGTCGCGCTGCAGCCGGGCGTTGTGCGGCCACAACACGAAGAGGAAGAAGCCCAACACCAGGCCGATGGAAACCATCAGCAGGATCTGCAAACAGAGCACATATAGAAGGGGCGGCTTTAGCTTTCCGAGGAAAGGTTCGGTTTAGAGTGCAGCTATCTAAAGGCGCATACTAGCTTTCTGTCATGTACCGTAGGGAACATCTGCCCTTACGCCACCGATGGTGCTGCAAAACATAACATCCGTACCGTAAGCCAAGCATGCGCGTGTCGCTTACCGTGTGCATCTTGGTGACAGCGTTGAACTGGTTAATAGAGTAGTCGACAAAGAGCTGCGCCCCTTGCTGCAGCCCGTCGTACAGGTCGTTTGGACCGACCGCACTCATGAAAGCAGTCCTGAAACCACCAACAGGCAGGACAGATCAGCATGCGACGGTAAGTATGACACCCCATCCAATGGACAAGCCTGCTGCCAGTGCGTGAAGGTACGGCAGCCTGAACATGTTTTTGACACGAGACGGATACGGCCAGGCCACATTTGATGGCCAAAGCAGCATTTCAGTTACGCCTTGTGTTAGCGCATAAGGCCCCCGTGATAGGCTGGCTTGTAACCGGACACGGGTACAACAAGCAGCCTTCACATATCCATCCATTCCCACCGTGTGCTGTTGTAGGTTGCGTCGGCGTCGGCGTCGTCGGTAAGCAGCCGCATTTCGGTTATCATGCGGCGAACCATGGTGTCAATGCCGTTGTGCGTCACCTACACCACAAAGGGTGAGAGGTGCGCGCACGTGTTACCCGCACACCTAATGGTTCTCTTCCTTGAAACACCGGTAGCTAAAAGTGGAGTGTCAAGAACGCATAAGTAGAGCTTAAGCACAAACACCCAAGGGTATTCCTGGACGCTTGCTTTCCCGAGCTACCATTTGGGCGCGTAGGCCTCAGCCAACCCGACCTCATGTTGCTTAAGCGGCATCCCTACTGCCTACCTCATAGTAACGGTGTCCCGGTTTGAAGCAGCCCGTGGGGTCCGCTCGCATACAGCCCTTGGCCCGGAAGAAGGCTTGCGCAAAGGATGAGGACGCAAAGGTCCCCGCCGGCACCTCGTGGCGGAAGGTGCCGTTTACCTGCGTAGACGGCGTGCGTCACTTAACAAGATGGTATACGCGGCAAGGCGTTGAGGACATGCGGCACTGGACCTCGGATGAGCAAGTAATCGAAAAATGATAACGCGCGCATACTCTTTATCCGTCATACATGGTCACATACATGGTCATTGAGGTACCGCTGCATGGGTCAACGCGTGCAGTGTTCTGTGCGCTGCTCAACCGCACCCGGCCGGCTCTTACCATAGATGTCGGCACACCTCCGTACATCAGCGCATTGTACTCGCTCTCAAATGTGCTTATTTCCGCTGACAGCAGCTGGCGGACTAAAGGACGCATGGACGGCGAAATGACCAAAGCTACAGAGAGCGCTCGCACGCGGGTGTAGCGGTAGGTGACACGTGAGGCCATGTTGAGGGAGGCCAGCGGCGCCTGCATGCCGTTCAGCTTGGCCAGCGTGATCACGTACACCAGCACCACCGCCAGGTTCCACAGCAAGAAGGGAACCTGCGCGCCGGTCATGAAGTGTGCATGAGGTAAGGTAAGGACTCATTCAAGCATGTCTGAGACGACATTTGCGGGTCTGGTTGACAACAATCCGGCGTCCATGCTGGTCCATTAAACAACTTATTCACAAGCTTCTGAGAAAGCAGCCACGCAACCGACACGGAGCCAAACATGGATGAAGCGCCCATTCATGCCCCACGTTCTTCTTACCGTAAACTTGGATATGTTCCATCGAGATGGCAGCAAGACCTTGCCGTTAATGCGAAGCCGCTGGTTGCCACTGCCGCCGTCAGCCGCCTTGCGGCCGTTGGCTGACCCACGGGTCGCTGTCCTCTTCGAGCCTTGCATCTGCAGTGCTTTGAAGGTGCGGCACGCCAGACCACCCTACAAAAGACAAAACTCAATTAGGTAGGGCATACGCAAAGAATTTGGTCGTAGTTACTTGTCTTGTGGTGTGTCCAGGTTACCTTTCTTGTGTTACCGCTGTCGCTGCCAGGCTCGTCCTCGTCCCCGGACACCGCAGAGCGCCCCGTGCCGGCCTTGTTTCCGCCTCCCTCCGCGGTAGGCATTCTGCTGTCGGGTGGCGTCGTCATTTCCTGAGCCCTGGTGTCCGTGTTACTGCGGGAGCCTGGCTCGGGCAACCCCGCCGCTGGCAGCTGCAGTCTGCGGGATTCCATACCACCGGTCCCGTTTCCACCAACTCTAGCGCCGCCAGCTGGGGCCATCCGGGCGTCGTCATCTGACCCAGCCAGGCTGCTCCCGCCATCCCCTTCGTCGTCACTGTCGAAGCTAACCTGTACGGAGTGGAAGGAGATGATGATCCGTGCTTGGTAAATTGCAGCGTATGTCCATGGGCATGGACTTAAGTAACCCACGTAAATCCATGCAAATCAGCGATGGGAGCCCATACTCATGTATGCATGTGCGACGGCGTGCGATGTTAAACCACGATATGGAATGGCAACATGAGCGTCGTCTGTGTACTGCAAGGGGACCTTTCGACGGACCCCACACGCGCGTGCATACCTTGATTTCGGAGGTCGCTAGTTGCCGCAACACGGGCCCCGGCAGGCCCACGATCGCCAGGATACCAAGTGAACGAGCTGTCTCGGTTCTTTGCACCAATAGAAGCTCGCACGCTGTACAACAGGCTTGTACTAGCAATGCCTCGACGATCAAGAGGATGATAAGGTCTGTCAAGGACGGCGAAACAGGTGACACGGGAAACATTCAGGTTGAGAAATGTACCGTACTCCTGCTGATAAGGAGCATCCTTGCTCCTTCTAATAGCCCATGGCCGAGTTGTTTTGGTCGGTCAGCCCCCTCACGCCACCCGGGGTAGCGTAACTCACCCGTGCGCAGGACTCTGACGCTCTCCCAGGCCGCATCTACGAGGTGGTCCAAGCTGTCAGCGTATACTGTGAAGAGCGGTCCAAGACCGTTATAAACTAGAAAGGAGAACGTACGGTGGTACCTGCTCGGCAGTTGGCGTTGCATGGGGTTGCTATATGGGCTGTAAACGATATTGATCTAGTCCAGTGTGCGAAGTCTGGCTCCGCTCAGCACCCTCAATTGGCATTCCGCGACTCCGGTTAAAATCACAAACGCAAGTCGCCAGCCGCATCCACTTACGTGTAATTTGCCTTGTGTATTGGGAGCAGGTACAGCGACTCCCTGGCTGCGGCGAGGAAGCGGTTGCCCAAACTCCAGGCGCCGGCCCGCTGCGTGACGACCTCAGGCGTCTGGGTGTCCAGGAACACTGTGCAAAGGGAGAAAAGAGGTCGCGCGGCGGGTAAACATAAGACATGCCCAGCTGCATTCTGTTGGGCCTTGGCCTTAGTGACGCCTAATGGGCTACATTTCTGTGACAAGCAATGCACGACGCACCCTGGTAGTCGACCGCGGGCGTTGTCCAGATCTTGTACACCTCCGGTGCAAGCGGGGTTACGCGGGAGGTATCCAGGCCCAAGTAGACACCCTCTGCATGGCATAACGCATGCGGGTGGTTTCGGTGAATGTAATGGATTGGTGCTGAGCCAATGTAAGCAGCCAGCGGCCACTAGAAGGCTTTCACAATGTGGGGCATGTCAATGCATGTAACTAGCATCACATGCGCATTGCAATGCCCATAAGCCCTAAGCCGTCACTTACGGTGATAGCTTTCCATCGAATTAATGTATTTGACCAGACGAGCAATCGTGTAATTAAGGTTGTTGGCGCAGAGTGCTACACGCAACACGCCGTTGGTCTCACAGAAGGTACCCGACAGAATCCGCACGACAATGAGCTGACTCCTGCATGCATGGGGACGCCATGCAGGGCAAGACAAACATTAAAACAGCGGCGCATTCTGAAGGTGCCAACGTGACCTGGTCAAACTGAACATTTCACCAGAGGCCCAACGCACCAATGGTTACTACGGTAGCCGTTGGCTCCTTAGGGAAGCGCGGCCGCATTTTGTTACATCACCATCGGTCACAAAAGAGTGCGCTCGGCTGTTTGGTGTAAAGCATGACAGAGCCTTGAGCACTGAGCATTCCGACCTTACCTGTCCATTGCCCTGGCCTGCTGATACACTATGTTGACGTTGCTGCAAGGACAGGGAAAGGCGTTAGCAACCGGCAGCACTCCTTGTCTCATTAAGGGAGGAGCAAAACCAGAGAACTGACAGTTACACGCCCAAACACAAACACACAATTGTCAGCATGGCTACCGGTAATCTTCAGTCAAGCCAACATCCCGCATCCAGGATAAGCTTTACCCGTGCTGCTTCTTGACAAGGCCCGTGATGGCGATATACGAGATGACGTGCGCCAGGAACATGATGGCAATGATCAGGTAGCTGGCCAGGCGGAGGCGGTTAAGGTGCGTCATCAGCGAGGGCCCCAGCAGCAGCTTGTTCAGAGCCCGCAGCAGACGTCCGCGCCGGGCATCCACAACCACCTCCGTGACAGATGTTTGGTCAGACGTGCCTGCACAGTGGTCAACACGCAGGATAAAACCGCAATAACTTCAGCGCAGATTGACACCATGTGGAAAGCTGCTATGCCACCAGACCGATTGAGATGTGGTACCGGTAGCGTCCAAGCGTGGTGTAACGAGGACTGGAAAGGGTTGCCTTAGGAAGACACGACACACCCAAGAAGAAGTGGCAGGAGCCCCTAAGCGTGGCATGATTCAACCTAAGAGCAAACCTACATCTGCCAGGCCGTACTCGCGGCCAATATAGCATGACATGCAACGGTGTCATACCTGAATACGCGCTGGCAGCCTGGCTTCCATCCCCAACGCTTGACGCGTCGTTCTCGCTCGCCAGGTCGCTCTTATCATCGTCGTCCTCCGCCCCTTTTCGGCCGCCACTTGGAACTTTCCCATTGCCATCTCTCCCATCCGCCGGAGGCTCCACGATATCCCGCGAGGGAAGCTTGGTGACGAGACCGTCAATTGCCACGGTGGCGCCGCTGACGGTGCGCCGTGCTTGCTCGGCGTCAGCCCTCTTGCCTTTCACCCCGCCGGCTGCGGCTATCCCGTCGACGTCAGGCAACGCAAACGCTTCAGGAATGGCCGCCAACTGGGACGAGGCGCCTGCTTGCGGCAGGGACATGGGCAATGCGAACATGCCGTCCAGGCCGTCACTCCTTCCGCAATCAGGTCGAGCAGGTTCAGCAGCAGGAACTGGCGCTGCAGCAGTAGCAGCGGAGTCGGTATGCGCCCCACTGCCGGGCCTGGACTGGGGCGCGGGCTGTGGAATGCCCGAGTCCTGGTGCGGGTGTGCGTGATGATGGCCGTGGTGGTGTCGGCCTGCGTTGGCGCCTGCGCCGCTCATCTGGCTGGTCAGCGAGCGCACCCACTGCTCCACAAACTCAGACTTGGAGGTCGCCTGGCGGTGCAAGCTGACGTGTGGCTCGGCGTCATCCCCCGCTTCCTCCGCGTCGTTATCGCCGTCATTGGCGTCGCCCTCGCCTTCCGCACCGCCGCCAGCGCCGGTGCCCTCTCCGACCCCGTCGCCGTCACCACTAGCACCCTCTGCCACCCGGAGCCCCTTGCTCTTCACCGCCACCACTCCCATGGGGGACACCGCCCGCGTGCTGCGGCCGCACATCACTGAAGTCGCGCCATCCGTGCTACGGCGGTGGCGGTGGCTGTCATCCGCGCCACCCTCCAGCCGCAATACTCGCATGAGGTTGGCATGCGCGCCCACGTACAGCGTGTCCGGGTGCACGGTGAGCGCAACCTTGGGCCTGCCGCCGGGCCCAAGCGTCTGCACGCCCTGCACGATCAGCCGCATGGTGCCGCTGTCGGGATGCGGCCCAATGAAGGCCATGACCGGGCTGATGCTGCCGCGGTCGCTGGTGGCCTTAAGCGCGCTCTTCTTGTGCACGTGCTGGTGCTGGTGCGCATGTGTGTGTGGGTGCGCAACGGCCACGAGGGCATCCCAGGTAGGTGCGCGAGGCGGCAGGTCCAGGAAGCGGCTGAGCGGCTTGCGCAGCAGCGCCGAGGTGGGCAGCCCCGTGATGAGGCCCGCCAGCGGAGAAGCGCGCCGCACCACCAGATCCTCGTCCAGCTCCAACACGCCGCTCAGCAGGTCGCGACGCCATAGGGTGATGTGCAGCCGGCTGCCGCCGCTGGTGCTGGGGGGGCTGGGGCCGGAGGGGACGACAACGGACTCTTCCGTGGACGAGGTTTGGTTGTTGCTGTCGTCGCCAAGGGCTCCCATTGTACTGCTGTCAGCAATGGCGCCACCGTCCCCGTCTTCATCAAGCTCCACCTTGGATGGGATAAAGGCGGAGGGTGAACGAAGGGAGGAGAGCACGGTCATTAAGGACAGGCGTTGTCGTACCGGCCCTGGTGGACAAGCCGTTCCGGTCCCACAGGGTGCCTCCGGATGGAGGTGATAGGCGCACGCAAAAGCAAAAACATGACACGGTCTGAAACGGGCACCCCGCGGCATTACCAATACAAGCATCCGCACATGCATTCGCACCTGCAGGCAGGCGGAGCAGGACAGCTTGGCCTTGGCGGTTCGTACATGGCCCGGCAGCGGCGGCAGCTCTCCCTCGTGAGCAGATGGTGGCGCATGCACTCGCACACGCCAGGACGTGCCTGCGAGGTAGAGGGAAAACATGTAGAATGCAGAGATGCGGCGACAGCATAACAGGTTACTATCACTGAACCAGCCGATCATCCCCCTTACCCGGCATCTCCTGCTCCTTGTCCAGCAGGGCCAGCAGCAGCATCTGCATCTGCCCCTCGCCGCTGCGCTCCCGCCAGTCCGCGAACAGGTCGACCGAGTCCGCCAGGCAGCTGCCCAGCAGCTCGGAGCCGGGGAAGCCAAACAGGGTGGACTGCGGCGCCGACACCGCCAGCACTCGCCCCGTGAAATCGGCAGTCAGCACCAGCCGCTTCTCAACGAACATCTCCTCCGCCGGTACCTTGGTCACCTGGATTTGTAACGGAATGCCTAAGAAAGCCTGATCATAAAATGCTTGTGCATGAGCAATCCATAACTTATTGATAAACCGTAAGCATGGGACACGCCTGCTGCCCCGCCGTCATCGCCTACCTGCACGAGGTAGAGGGTGCCGGCGCCGGTCATTCCTCTAACAGCAGCAGCGGCGGCGGCCGTGGCAGCCTCCACGTCGGTCTTGATGTTGAGCCGCACCGGGACCTGGGTGCCAGTCTCGGACAGCAGGTGTACGACAGCTCCAGAGCGGCAACTGGTAGGCGGCGCGTGGTGGGGAGGGTCCTGTGGGAGGGACGAGTGGGTGTGCGCATGTTAGGTACGTGCACTTGGACGGTAATGCGCCTTCCACAGTGTGCCTTCCTCGCCGCTCCCCATGTCAAGTCCCCTCTCTTGGCCCGGCTCGCACACAGCATGCCCAGTGCGCCGCCCGCACCCGTTGCCCCCGCTCTGATCCACGCACCCTCAGCCACTTTGCGTGCATGGTGTTGAACGGCTGCGGCAGCAGTGCGTCCAGCCGCATGCTGGCCAGCTTGCGCATGGAGTAGCCGAGCAGCACCGCCACCTCGGCGGAGGCGAAGCGGATGCGCATGTGGCTGTCCACCGCCAGCAATCCGCCCTCCAGACCGTCGCAGCGACGGCAGTGCAGCACTAGGATGCGCTGCGCATCGGAGCCTTTCCAAGGGGAGGAAGCAAGTGGAGGGGTGCAGAGGGAGGGGATACAACAATGGAACCCAATTTCAAGCCTAGGGCCAGACGGGGCCAGCATTCTGGCAAGTATAGCAAGGCACTACGGTATTCGCTGGGTAAGTACACATCCGTCACTGTACCACATGACCTCCTCCAAGGTTCCCAAACTCCCAACCCCTTTCTTCATAACTCCCCACCCCCAGTTCCTCCCTCCCTCTCCCCCCCGCCCTCACCTGCTATGCGCACGGTGATGTCCATGAGCACCGGCTCCAGGAAGCGATGCGCCAGCAGCAGCTGCGCGGCGACGCACTCGCCCTCCCGCTGCGAGGCCAGCTGCTCGGGGCTGGCGGCGCGGCAGCTCTCCAGCAGCGACTCCAACGCCTCGGGGGAACCCGACACCAGCGAGGACAGGGTGTGGCCCACCTGGGGAGGCAAGGAGGTTTGAGGAATTGAGACGCAAGGGGTTGGTGCAACGTCGCGGGGCGGCACAATAGGAGGAGAGGGTCTGAAGGATTGAACCGAACAGCACATGCCAGAGATAGAACCCTTGCTGCATTGATGCCCCTTGCACTGAGCAAACCTCACCAGGTCTCCCTCCACGAAGCCCACTGCGCTGGAAAACGCCTGGTCGGTGCAAAGGATGACTCCGTTAGGGGACAACCAGACGCGCAGGGTTGTGAAGCTGCGCGGCTGTGGCCGGATCACGCCCAGGAACACACTGCAAGGATGGATATTGGGAAGGTGGTGAGTCAAGCCGGACGGGTTTAGCTGAACACTAGTGCATGTTTAGAGGGACGGCCAGAGGGGTCGCCAGATGCGGAGGGCCCACCGCTCGCCGGCACCCACAGTGCGCAGCCGACCCCCCTCACTCACCCGTCCGCCCCCATCCCACTGAGCTTGGTGACGCCCAGATGTATAGGGAGCACGTATCGGTCCTGCAGGATGTACCGGAAGTGATTCGGACGTAATAGCCGGCCATTTCAAACCCAACAAGATGCATGGGTTAACGGGGTAGACTCTAACCCCGCTGCCCCTGCTATGCTCGAGACAACCTGGCTCCAACCATTCCCCAGTCCCCCGCCCCCTTCCCCGCCTTCCACCTTGTGCAGCGCCACGAGCTCCCTGACGGTGTCTAGGATGTGCGGCTCCCCGCTGCTGACGTAGCGCTGCATGTAGCCCGGGTGGCGCTGACAGAAGGGCTGGGGCATCAGCACGCTCACGTTGGCGCCCTCCAGCTCGCTCTTGGAGTAGCCAAACACAGACTGAACCGCCTGTGTAAGGAGGGGAATACGGACCACGAGGGCAGCAACGGCAAGGTAAGTGGAATACGGCGTTCCGGACAATGACCCCGCACGCGAATTGCACGCAACGTCAAAGGGATTCGGTAGCGTGGATCGCTACCTCTCCTGCGAATCCCATCCGCCCCGTCTACCCTAGCCCCTGCCCTACCTGGCTGACCATCATGATGGTTCCCTCCGCGTCAATCACTACCACCGCATCGTCCTCGATAGACATGGAGGTCACAAACTCGGGCCGCTTGGGACCGCCCACGTTCGCTCCTGCCTCGGCCCCGCAAGCCAGGTCCAGGGAAAGCAGCGCATTGCCGACGCTGCGGCTGGCCTCGGCGTAGGCGCGAGCAGCCGCAGCCTGCAGGGGTAAGACGTAGGTATACACGCATGAAACGAGGAGGCGCGGTGATCCCGGGGATGCAGACAAACCCATGCGCACGCTGGTTCGGGGAGAAGCATAAAGAGAGTTAACAGACAGCGTGTTGGCAAGGAAACGCGAAACCCCTGCATCACAGCTGACAACAAATGTGCGCAGGCACCGTTACCCCCCTCCTTCGAACCATTCACCTGGTCATGCCGCACGTCCTCCAGAAACTTGCCGTAGCAGCGCAAGAGCTTGCCGTTGGCGGGGTAGCGTTCCAAGACCCTGTATACACACAAGAGGTCTCGGTACGGCGTGTCCTTGTCTGCACGCTTCGGTGGCTAGTCATCATGCCCTTTACTTGCGGCCCACGCAAGCGCTGTCTGCATGGACCGAGCCCTCCTGGCTGAACTCCCGATTTCGTGCATGCAATCCCCACCTACCTCTTGTACACCTGGTGCGCCCTGCCCGCGGCCGCATCCAGCCCCTCTAGCGCATCATCCACCTGCGGGGCAGCAGGACAACAGCGGCAAGCATGGAATTACATGGAGAAAGCAAAGCTTCGGACAAGGGAACATGGCCTTATGCGCTGATCCAGCAATGCGCCCCCTCTGAGTCGGTTGGTTGGTTTACTATGGACGTCAAAGCCCCCCTTCCCCCCACCTGCGCCACCCGGAGCGAGGAGCGCATGCACATCTGCCAGAGCTCTGCCTGCAGCGCCAACACCTCCCGGTGCACCCGCAGCACGGCCCTGCAGGGAGGAGGGGAGGCGGGACGTGAAGGAGGGAGACAGCCGGATGGAGGAGGGCGGGAAGCAAGAGGGGACGGCGCAGATGGTGAAAACGTCGCATATAACGTCACATAAACGTAGCTTACAGGGATGTTGCGTTACGTTTACAGGGATGTTGCGCCCGCGTGTGCAATGTTACGTCCACCTGACGCCCTACCGCCTTTCTCTATCCTGCCCCTCGCTTGCCCCCGCCCTCAAGGCACTGGGGCCTAAACCCGCCCTCTCGGCACCTGAAGTTCCTCTTGAACTCGATGTAGGCCTGCATGTCCATGCCGCCCTCCTGGCTGTCCTTGAGGCGCTTCGAGGCCTCGTTCGTGCAGAACACCTTCAGAAAGATGGGAAAAGGACAGGACAGTGAGAACAACAGTGAGGCGCGGAAGACAAAAGGGACGGGAGGAGACACTGAAGGCAATCTGATGTGGGTCAGCAGCAGAGGGCAGGATGCGAACACGTACGCGCGCATGCCAAGGGCGATGATGCGGGTCTCCCTTATGAAACCGCCGCCCCAGCCTCCAAAGTACAATTCAACCCAATCCCAAGGCCCCCAAGACCGCAATCTCTGCACCCACCGGCACGTGCACATGGAATACGCATCATGTTTCATCACAATGCCCAACCACCTCGCCCCATGCCCCCTCTTCCCATCACCTCAGCCGCTCCCACCTGGTATTTCTCCACAAGGCCCGGCGCCTGCTTGCCCGCCAGCTGCAGCTGCGTGCGCGCCGCGGGGCCGTCCTTGTGCACCTCCAGCATGAAGTTGGCGTAGAGGATGAGCAGGAACGGCGAGTTGGGGAACACCTGCATGCCGGCCTTGATGATGGTTTCGCCCAGCGCCGCGGACGTCTCGTCCACCACCCCGTCGATGTCAAACCGCCGCATCACCCGAGCCAGCCGCTCCACCTCATGCACCGACTCAAAGCGGTGTATCTTCCGCAGCTTCGCACCCGGGGGCAGTCCAACGAACTTGCGCGCGGGGCGGGAGGACAGCCGCACGATGATGTAGCAGAGGCATAAGGATCCCAGGATGACCGGGAAGATGCCATACAACACGTTCTGGGGTTCGGAAGTAGCAAGAATTATCGAATGTTGCATTATTGTATGCATTTTGGGTTCTGGAGGGGGGGATGCGAAAGGCGGGCGAAAAGCATAGCTACACATGCAATGGACAGTACATACCGAAGTGGGGTAATTAGGTGACAGTCCGGAATGCGTTGGGATGATAAGGATTAAAGCTGGTACGTGAACGACAAAAGGGTCACCACCCTCGCCCCTAACCCCCTTCTCGAACTCGTGTTTCTTCTTCTATAGCCCGCCCCCGAACTCGCCCGCGTCATGGCTTTGCGGTGCGGCACAGTGTCATTATTGTCGTACGTCAGCATCACCAGCAGCACGACCGTGTACAACACGCCGCACCACAGAGCAGTCCAAACCACGTTGACAGCACGCCGGTAGAATGGCATCTGCATGCGGGGGAGGGTTGGGCGGACGGCACGACATCAATACTCGTTTAGGAAGGGCAAGGCATCAATTCATACTGCGATTTTGTATGAGGAAAACGCATACATGCATTCGCGGAGAAAGCGGCTAAGCAGCAATGCCTCCCGCTCTTGCCCACCCCGCCTCCTACTCCTCCCTCACCTCCTTAAGGTTCCAGTAGCAAATAAGCCCCACTGCAATCAGCATGCCGATGCTCTGTAGCTTGGGGTTGCTATCGACGCAGTTGGCGAGCACAACAAACACGGCCTTGGCGATGAGGATCCGCAGTCGCGCATATGCTGCCGGTGAAGAGAGGTATCCCTTGGACACGGGGTTAAGGTCGCAGGACGCCACCATCATCAGCGCCGTCACGCACAGAAACAGCAAAGCTGTGCCCAGCGATACAAGCATGTGTAGGAGGTGGGGCATCGCCAGGCAGTCTGAGGAGGGAGAAAGGTTGAGGGGTGGAGGGCTAAGGGAAAAGGCTGATGAAGGTCAAAGGGGTGGGTGCGGGATGGGAATGCGGGATGCGGGTGAGCAGGATACTGGTGGGCGACTCAACTCCATGCTGCATCGGCGATGGAGTTATCTGTGGCAGGGCACCGGCCGTTATTAAGTACCACGGACGCTTATAATCACCCTTCACTACCTTCCGACTTACCCACGTCTTGAAAGAACATGTGTTTTCTGGTGTGCAGAAAGTTGCAGTCCGCCATGAAAGTGAAGTAGTCTGTTCACAGCGTTGCGGCACGGAGGGGCGTAAAGACCGTTATACTTGCTTTACACTGATAGACTGTTGCCGCTACCATGGCGCGTATTACAGTCGGTAAATCGCTGCCATGTACTTTTGCCTCACTTTCCAGGGGGGGAGGTCAAGAGGAGGACAAGCGCTTGCCCTAGAAGACAGGGGTCACGCTAAACCTGCCTCCCAGTCGCTGCATGACCCGCCCTGTGCCCGCGTCTCACGGTATGCGCATTTCCACGACGGTCCCTTTCATTAACTCACCAAAGAATGCTGCGTAGCACATGATGTACATTACGTCGTACACAACATGCAGGCCGGTGGCTGCCGTACGCAGCCATTTGGATTGCTCTTGCTTGCGCATTGCCAGGGTCAGCCACGCCAGTCCCACTACAGAGACTAGGACGGACACCGCCATGAGGTACATAACAGACACTGGAGGGGGCGTGTATGATCGGCATTTTGGAAAGGTAGGGGAACATTCCGTGCGTTGTTAAGGTTAAATGTAAGGATTGTAACTTAACGGTAAAAGGGCGAAAGGAAAGGGCAAGAAGCCGTTAAGCTGGCGAACGGTGTAGCGACATGCACGAGTAGAGAGGGATCATACGGAGCCTACATAAGGTTAGGAGCTCGCGAACGACTAGCGACAGCATTATTCCTGCAACTATCTACAACATCTTTATCACGGTAAACTCAACGGGACGCACCATAAGTACGATAGCCATGCAGTCGGACAATGGGGACTCGCCAAATCGTCCATCTCATAACCTGGTAAAGCGGCGAGTTGGTGTCTATATGCCATACAGGCATTGTTGGGTTAAAGGCCACAGCGAAGTTCATCTGCATAGCATAGCGGTTGGTGTGAAGTAAGAATTTGACTCATCACGTTGCTTTCCTTAAGATGGACATATAGTTCAAAGGACAGCAAGACGGTGATCCAATAATTCGGAAAGGAACCCTGACAGGAACCAGGAAATTGGAGACGCACCAGGAATTCCAAGGTAATCTTCAACACAGCATACTTCCAATGAGATAGCGCCGTCTGTCGAACCAATGTGTACATGCCTGCAAAAATTACAAGCGTAAACGGCTAAAGCCCGATCCCCGACCAGACCAACATGGCTGGCTGCGAGGAATTCTTTAGTGGGGACTTACAAGCAAATACTCCTTCTTGGACATTCCTTCTCTGCTCCAAGAGATCTGTTTCGTCCCCTTCAGCACCACGTGGTCCAAGAGTCCTGGCCGTGCAAACCGCGTTTCGATGTCGACAGCTGTCTATCTATACATGCGCACACATAGGGAATCCACAGCTTACCGCTTCTTCAAGAACTTTGAGTCGGACCGCCTAGAAGAAGAATCACTTAGGCCGCTAGCCCCGCTAGCTCCACTCCTCTGGCTGCCACCATCGCAGTTATCGTCTAACATTATGCCTACGACACCCCTAAAGCGTAACCTCCCTACGTTAATCACCGTAGTATGGACATGGTTGTTTCACGAGATCACAATATTGGGTCAAGTGAATAAGTGTTGCCAGCTACCAAGACGCCTACCGGTTTTACATATAACGCTGACCCCGCATGGTGCGAAAACCTCACGTATAAGCCAGCTATAGGTGTTCGACTAACAGGCAAAACACTTTACTTAAGTCTTAGGTGAAAAGGAGCAGGTCGAAGAGCAGGTGTACGGCGGAGGTCTGTGAGGTGACTCACCAGTGACCAGGCATGTGACTAAAGGGACGCCTTTAGGACCGTTTGTAACGCAAACGCCAGTATATTGAAATGATCGGCATTGGTTGCGTAAATAATACCAACCTGGTTGAAGTTGAGGATACATGTTCCCGTCTTCCTCGCTTTAACGGTAATTTTTGGTAAAGCAAGTAACGGATTCCGTGTTCCGGCCACCAAAGGCATCCAGTGCCTACTTCTATAACTCCATTCCATACTTGCAACCAGTTTTACCCAGAATTAACCATTCGGTGTCGGATGCCACTCCCGTACAAGGCCATGGTCCCAGCACTCCTGTGGAGCCAACGCATGATGAACTGTGATTGTATAACCCATGACTTTCCAGCCGTTGTTGCAGCCGCCCAAGCAGCAAAGGTGGAACTTACAGGAACAAGGGTTCATGTATAACTGGAGTATGGTCACCCATGCCGAAACTAGTCATGGCACGCTTACAACCGAGGTACGCGGCATGAGCAGTCGCAGGGAAGGGCGTCGAATAGCTATTTAGCGGAGCCAGCTAGTTGGCTGGCGTCCGGATTGCGAACAGCAGGACTCAGCTACCGGTATGCCCTAAAACACGCAAATCAGAAGGGGAAGGGCCCCAGCTATCGACTCGTGCTCAGATCCTTTTGTTTGCCACCCGCATCTGCAACGACCAGGACACGATTCCTGCAGCTGAGTTAAGGAAGGAAATCAGCAGCAAGGAAACAATAGGTCCGCCTGCACTCTACATAAGCTGCCTACGCCTAAGCTATCCACACCCTGCAAGCCATGCCGTACGTCCTTACGAACACGTACTACAGCAATTCTCTACCGGTATTGACTGTTCTCAACCTGCAATGCTTCTTAGCTGGATATCACAGCTCTTGACGACCTAAATGTAGCAGTTATAGTGCTTACAACCGCTTCAAGCCTTTAGTCAATTTCTCCACGGGATTCCTGCCACTACCGAACTAAATACGTTTATCATTAGCTTGCTACTGCAGCTCGGCTCCATTCTCATCACCAAACAACCAACAACTAACAACATCAGCCACCAGACTGCTGCATTGTCAAGCCAGTGGCCCACATATGCCCCCCTTAACAGTCCGCATATCCAGTCGTTCTGGATACTACATAACGCCTGCACGCAACGCAATGAACTGCCAACCCCTGCGACAAAGTAAATTCTCAACCGCTGCCGGCGCCGTCATCACGGATGGCACAACAATGAAGCAATACGACCGTCTCGCCAGTAACAGTACAAACCGTACACTAGGCAGCTGGCTCGAGGTCACCCTACAAACCAGTGCAAACCTTGCACATGCTCCTTGTCACACTACCTTCGGAAATCCTCTTGTCTAAATAGTCCATAAGCTCTGAACGTCCCCTTAAATACGATTAATTCCTCGGGTGTATAAGCTAAGAAACGTCATGTTCCAGACGTATGACTCATGATGCTTACACGACAGGCACGCCAGCTCGACAAGGGCCTCAGCGATGGAAGGCAGAGTTTGATAGACGAGCCACCACTGCCGGCTGTAACATTAGAGCTGACACCGTAATCAAGCACCACACGATTGGCTACCATCGGCCGCCCAACCCCAATGCGCACCGTGCATCAGCCGGCCTGTCGTTGTGAAGCCGGAAACCACTTCCTGGATACCCGTTGTCGCTGCTGGCTCCTTCAGCTTGCCTGACACACTGCGGGCGACAACAATGTTGCCGCATGCAGCTGCATTTTGCATTTTGCTAATATTTTTAATAGGCACGTTAGGTGCTTGTAAAACCCCGCGCCCTGGTGAGCTGCAACCCAAAGGCACGAGCGGGGAAGCACTTTCTTTGTTCCATAGAGGACAGGCAACGGCCCTGAGGCCTAACATTCCAACTGCGGAAGGATGATTCAGGGGTCACCCACGTTGCTCACACGGGTCCCGCTCCGCATACTCCAGCCGTTGTGTTGCTGCTGTTGTGAATGCTGCCAAGGAGGAACGCAGCCACTGTTGCGATGCGGGTCGGACCCACCAGCGCACAATGCCATAATGCCGCCAAGTAAGAGGATGACAGTCTACACGGCAGGCGGCGCCGCTCAAGCCATGCCACCACCGTTTTCAGGTCTGATCGGACCCTGCTGCTGTTGTTGTTGCCATCATGACTGGGACTGCGGTGGCGGTTGCCGCTGCGGTTGCCGCCGCCTGCCGTACCTGTAGGCAGGCAGATACAGGCCCGAAACGGAGAACGTGAAGAAGCTACGAGGCGCTGTGTACAACGAGCCCTCTCTAAACGCCGAGTTGCATACAACCTGCCATGCCACAATGTGGGGGTTGGGTGAACCGAAAAGACTGATCCACGTTTGCTGGACAAAGCTGTCAACCCTAACAGAAACCAACCCTAACCGCAGTAAATCGCTCACCTGCATCTCCACCAACTGCTCGAAGTTGCAGACGCCCAGTTGGTCGCACTTACAAGCATCATCCCCGAGCTGCTGCGACGGCAACACAGCAAGCGCTTGGGCTCCGTCACCCCTAATTGCGCCGCCTTCACGCCCGCTTGCGCCTTCCCCATGCAAGCTGGCGCCTCCGCCTGCACCTCCTGTACGCCCAGCGGCACCTTCGCCGCCGACGGGACCTCCTGCAGGATTGTCGCCGCCGCCAGCACCAGTGCCGCCAGCAGCGGACAAGGTAGCGCTCCCAGCCGCCCCCGCAGGCACCGTTGCAGCGCCTAGGGAAGTCAATCCGCCGCCGCCTACCACGCTAATGCCGTGCACACATCCGTTGTCTACGCTCCAACGCCGCGCCTTAGCCTGCCGGATGCCACAGAAGAGAGGGGGCCGGCCAACCAGCATCAGTGGGTGGTTTCTGAGGTTTGCATAACGTCAGTGGCTTCAGAACAGCCACGTCACCTTAGCACCTCATCACGGATAAGGTAACTGACGTGCACACACCACCAAGTCGAGCGCGTTGCTGGGACGCATACCGTACAATGTTATGCCGCGGACCAGCGCATCCGCGCATTGGGAATCAGGATGGACACAGCAGCGAGCAGGGGCACGGGAGGACTGCAGTTGACTAGATACCGAGCCTGCTCTACAAACATGCACTTGTTGTAGCGGTGCGGATCTCCGGATCCGCATCACGTCCGCACCTGCCGTTCACCCGTCAACGGGTTTTGTTGCAGGTTGTGGTGGTACTGCTGCGGGCAATGCCATTGCTGCTGCTGATGCTGCGATTGATTCATTGGCCACAACATTGCCACCGGATGCGCCGGCAACGCTGACTGTGGCCGCGACACCAGTAGCTGCTGCTGTTGACAAAGTTGCCGCGAAAGCTGCTGCTGCTGCCACAAGGACTGTTGCTGCGTCTGCTGTGAGGGAGGCTGTAACCGCTGGAAAGCCAGGGGAGGAGGAGAAGCAACGCCATGAGCAGGTGGATGAGCCGACAGCGCTGCGCCGGGGCATTGCGAATGGAGTGGCGCCTCAGGGCAACATGTCCCTGTTGGGTGGGGAGGTAGCAGCAGCTCAGGGTAGCTTGCTGGGCGGGGAGGCATCTGCAGCGGCAAGGGAGCGCTGTGTAGTGAGGGCAAGGCGGCGGCCGCAGGGGGCTGCCGCAGGAGTAAGGATGGTCGTGCCGGCAGTGGGGCGCTGTAGGAATGGCACAACGTGTTTGATGAGCCGGGCAGGCTGCCCAAGGGTCCGTTTGGCCGCCATAACGCAGGCGCGTGCGGCAGAGGCGCTAGGGGAACCGCCGAAGCAAATTCGTGCTGGGTAACAGGGCTGCTTTCCCGGTCGGCGCTGGCTGCGGCGGCTGGGGGCAGGCTGGCAGCGCGGCGCATGGCTGGCGACAGCAGACGTCCCTCCTGGTGCTGACATTGATGATGGGGGGCATGATGCTGCATGCCAGGTCCAGTAAATGCCTGCATCTGCGGGTGTGGCTGAGTTACTTGTGGCTGCAGCTGCGGCGGTTGCCGTGGAGGGGGACCTCCGGCATGTCTTGAGGTTGGCGGGGGCTGCAAGGAAGGGCGCAGGAGTGCCAGTGGCAGGGGAACTGAGGCGGCATGGGTAGCGGCGGGAGTGAGCCGCGGTGCCGACAACGCCACCTTTGATGACGGCGGCGACAAACACCGGAAGCCGCTAAAGGTCCGTGCGCGCAAACGTTGTGGAACTCGAGCAGCCAGGGTAGCCGCTGCAGTAGCCGCTGAGGTGTCACCATGCTGCTGCTGCGGCGGTGCTTCGTTGTGCAGGGTTGCTGCACCGCCGCTACGCGCCTTCGTGCCCATCGCAGGTACAGCTGGGTTAAACACCGCTGGCGTCAGCTGCGGCGGCACGGTGGCCATCGCCGCTTGCGCCATGACCCCCATGGGAGGATGGCTGCCGCGCCTCCAAAAGGCCGCTGCGCCGCTGCCATTGCTGCCACCATGCACCCCGCCGTCCTGCACACTGGCTCCTGCCCTGCCACCACCCGCAGCGTCCTCTGTTGTCTCTAGCCTGGTGCTGTCGAGTCCTGCTGAACCGGACACCTCACGAGGGGCCCGAGAAGGCCCTAGCAGCTGGCACGTGGGCTCTGGCTGGGGGCGATCTTGGCACAGCGGCGTTTGCTGTGGCTGTTGTTGTAGTAGGGTGCAAAAATGGTTCCAGCATAAGACGGGCATCGGATGCGGGCAAAAAGTGGGACAAGGTAAATAATGAAGGTCGCCGGCCAGGCCGGGGGCCCCAGCAGAGCAACATCATTGACTCCTCCTTACGTGCCCCATATGTTGCGCTACGACTCCGCGCACCCGTAACTTGACCCATTAGAAGGAAATACCCTCTAATGACCGTGTTGCTGCATCGACCCATGCCTAGGGTATTCCCTCCCCTCTTCCTGTCCACCCGACCCATATCCATCCGCACCCCTAACACCCACCAATCCGCCTTCAAATCCAAGCAATACTTGCGTCTGTTGAAATTGTACGACGCTACCGAAGAAGAGGCACTGCGGAAGTACGGCGTGCTCTTGTAACTGCAGCGGCGGTTGCAGGTGCTTATCGTACGTCGACGGCTCGCGCTGATGCTGTCCTTCGTCGTCATGCCCCTCGCAGCGTTGCGCTCCGTTTGGAGACATGTGGCCATCACAGCAGCATTGCCGCGAGGAGCCGCAACCAGCAGCGGTCATTCCTGACGGCGTGGAGCAGGATCCCTGCCCTGAATCGAAGCTCGACCGTTCCTCTTGAAGCTCGACCTCATCCTGGTTCTCCTGATCTGCCTGAGTTTGAATCTGAAGTTGCGTGAAGTCCTGCTGGGGAATCTCGTTCCTGGCATCTCCTTGCTCCTCAACAGCGGTCTGGGGTGGTCGGTACGATAGAGTCGAGTAGGGAAGAGAGGAAAAACAGAGCCGTATTGGGGACCGTGCTGGAAACCGACCTAGCTAGAAAAACACATGGAACCGCTGCCGTACAGTGAGCCAACCGCAAATAAAGCAGAAGGCGCCTAACCCTGTATGTAACCCAGCATGCCGCTGGCCCTAGACCCTTACCCCAAATCCGATGACTCCCCTATCCGGATGGTGGTCGTATATACCTCATGCACCGGGCCCATACCCACCAGGCTCATCATGCTAAGCTCTGCTCCAGGGGCGTGTCTAGGCTCCCATTCTGCAAGCGGGGGCCAACAGGCGCAGTTATACCAGTGCCTTCTGCTAAACGTTTAGCAGCATGTGTTGGCTTTGGTAAAGGATTGCGCCGTGAAAGGAATAGGGAACGGCGGACTCATGCGGACGGGCCAACGTTTGCGGCCGGGTGCATCAACTCGCAATGTTGCCATGTGAGCAGACAAACGCACCTCCTGTGACCGTCACCGCAGTGGACTGCAGGAGCTCTGCCCGCAGCGTGGTGGATCTTGAGCCCATAGTGGTGAAGTATTGCTCCTGTGTGAGACAGGTACGTCGGGGGCACGGCACGATCGTGTAAGCCTCACGACATCCATTGCAAGGCAAGATTACTGTACAACGGTTTCGCAAGGATATGGCAAACCGAATTAGTATTGCCAAATTGCCAATAATGTAGGAGAAGTACGAGGTACGACACCCACTAGGGTGCAGCGTGTAGCCCGCATATATCGTGCAGGTGGATATAAGCGCATGCAATATCAAATGCATGTCAACCATGGGGAAGTGTGGGAGGCAATGCGGAGTCGCGAGGTCATGGGCGCCCCTTGAAGGTCCTAGAACCATCACCAAGCAGATGCGGGGGCGATAGAACATCCAACGTGCCGTGCCGACGACTCAGCTGTTACTGCTGCCATATGCAGACGAACGGCCCTGCCAGCCATTGCTCAATACCGGTACATAGTCGCTTTCCTCTCGCTAATATCTGTGTTCCGATCTTATACCTTCCTACACTGGGGGAGGCGCCAGGAGGGCCTCCCTCAATGGGCGGCCCTCCCATGTACCACCACAACTAAGGCCATAGGGCCCCTAAGCCAAGCCAAGCCTCCCAAGCCAAGCGGAGATACTACCAAGTCGAATTCGTCATCCCGCAATGCCCACCAAAGCGTCCTATGGTATTCTGTTGGAAAGTTCCGGGGAGCTATGAGCAGCTTGCTAAAGCAGGCCATAGCCACAACTGTAGACGGTCTGCAATTGCAGACCGCCATGCTCCCAACCTGCAGCGAGTTGACATACGATATGTGCTGCTCCATCCAAAAGTTCCGGTACCGGTGCCCGCAGGAGAGCAACGGCGATTCGCGAAACACCTAGTACTCCGCAATCAGATACCTTAATCCACGTTAAGCTAGGTCGACGAGCATCAGAGATGGCGACCCAATTCAGTGAAGCATAGACTCCGAAGCGGGCCGCAACAAAGCGCGCAGCGCATGGCACTCGGTAGGATGCGGCTGCATAACGCAGGCTGGCTGCCCGGCGAGCCGCATCCGCGCATCAGGAATGTAGAGGTTTTAAGTGAGCGTTTCGGAAGGAAACTGCGCCCGCAGCTGCAGAAACGAACTGTAATAAACGTTCCCTAGCCACCGACATACCGGTACATATGACGGCATCTTAAGTATGCCCCTTCTGCAAAGTATACCTAAACGTAATGAAAGGCTGCCGAGCGATTGCCGGATTAATTGGCACAAATAAAGCATGCGATGAAGCCTCACCACGTTGCTGGCCGACGCATAGACCTCATCCTCCAGTTGCTCGATCCGACATTGCAGTTCCTCATTGCTACCCGCGAAGATTTGCTGCAGCTCGTCGACTCTGCAAGCCGCAGGTCGGCAATGCCAGGCGGTAGCCGCGCCAAAAGCGGCGTTTATTGGAACCATCGACATTAAGTCTTACAGAATCATACACAGTGCAGCTTACATTTTGCGCACCAGCAGGATGCGCCTATTAGTCGTCAGCTCGTCCAGATGGCCATGGTACATATTGCCTCGCTATGCAGCAGGAGATTGTGCCTTAGCATGCAATATAGTGTAGCGATCTACAAGCCGCACCAGAAATACTACATGAGATAGCTCCCGCGTATCAGACATTCAACATACCGGTACCGTGGCGCGCACATACGCCCAGGTATAACTATTTTCCTATAAGGGCATCTATAAGTAAATAGCTTACAAGGAGCATAAGCGTTTCACCCTGCTCTTGCAGTCACTGTACCGTACGGCTAATGTAGATAGTCTTACGGGAGCAACGGTAATGCATTGAAGACTACAAGAATGTTCACATAGCCTTCACGTTTGGCTTTAAAACCCTGTTAAATAGCTATCATTTGCACGTGCTTGCCAACTTTGGCAAGCACATACGACACTCGCATTTGCAGGGACATATTGTAATCAAAACGGTGTCTTTTGCTGCTATTTAATTAACTGTAAGAAGGGTGCTCACGACCTGTACGTACAGCCTTGCGACCGACATGGAACCTATGCACCAGTACAAGCAGGGCACAGAGACGCTCCCGGTGACCTACATTAGAAGTCGTTTGCATTTCGGGTGTCAAGCTTGATATATTGAAGGTATATGTTGCGAGGGCGAATCCGCCGCAAGGCGTTATGTAACCATGGCGGTACTCTTGGTCCCATACATGGCTTCGCACGTCAAAAGTTGCTAATAGAAGGCACTTCGACGGTTAAGGTGGTCGGATGTATTACTGGTGATTGCAAGACGTGACCTGCCTACACGTTCAGGGAGGTGTTGGATGGTTGCCTAAACTGCTTTGAGGGGTGTTGGGCAGTTCTTCAGATACTGTGTTTTTTCCGCATGCATTTATATGCTGTTTGATGCCTGCCGTAGTGGCTCGTGACATAACCACCCTATACCATTACACGGTAACACCTAAACTCTCCAACCAAATAACCAGTCATGCCGGGAGAAGTCAACTGAAGAAGGGGGGAATAAAACAACTGGGCCCCTGACGCGCTACCCGTGCCCTCTCACGCACTCAGCTAACCTGCTAACACGCATTACTGATGGCACGGCAACGGACCCAATCTGCGTGGCCGGCTCCTATCCAAGGCCCACGCAGAGACAACCCCCCTTTCCCTATCCCTTATCACATCTGCTCTACCACCGCCCGCCTGACCGCCACTGACTTGCGAATGTACACATCTACGGCCCGAGACTCCCACCGCCCGTGCTCCTTAATGGCCTCTACGCTCACTCCTGCATTAGCCGCCCGGGTTCGTGTTGACCGGAGCAGCCCGACCAGCAGCTGAAGGACGCGGATGGGTAGCGGTGCCTTCCGGCGTTCAGAGGCGCAGGCGTCTGCCGGTCGACTCCGCAACGCCTGCGCTAGAGTGCGCTTGACCCGTGGGTCTGCGCTAATTGCTGCCTCGGCTTGGAGCCCCCGCGCGCGCTGCCAATCCGGCAGAGCGCTCACGGTCCCAATGAGTGTGGACGGTGCCAATAACGGCGACGAGTGGGTGATGAAGAGGCAGACCAGGAAGCGGTTGAGGTCCTGGCCCCATGGGAAGGCATCCTGCTCGCTCAAGGCGCAGAACAACGACGCAGAACCTCAGGAACCGCTGGCGCCCCGCCTCATAGGTGGCCGCAGACCGGGCCGCCACCGCGCTGCCTGCCTGCACTACCCATCGTTTGGCGAGTCTGCTCACGTAGCCCTCGGCAGCCTCCGCCCCAATGCCTGCCGCCGCCAACACGCAGCCGGCGCAAAGGTACCACCCACCCGGGTAGTCGCCGGCTGCCAGCCCTAAGCAGCGGCGGTGCGCCATGCGGTGCTGAGCTGCCGGCTGAGGCGATCTGCGCGCACATTCTCGACGCCCGCGATATGCTCCGCCCATGGAGCTCAAACCCCTGCCGGATCGCAAGCTCCACCATCTGCCGGCTGACGCTTCGGCCCTCCGGCATGCGGGTGGAGCCGTGCCTGATCGCAGCCACGGCCTGAGTATTGTCGCAGCGGATCAGCACACGCCGCCCGGTGAGCCGGGGCGCCCACGACTGCAGCGCCCTGCGCACCGCCTTCAGCTCCAGCCAAGCAATGTGTAGCTGCTTCTCCTACGCTGACCACGGCCCCTGCAGCTCCGCGGGGCCCCAAGGCCGCGCCAGAGCCGCAGCCGCTGGCGTCGGTGAAGATGACTGCACCACTGGGGCCCCCAAACTCCCCCCTCACCAAGTCGAGGTCCGCTACAGCGCACTTCTTGACGCCGTCCCACACTGACGAATCCGACCGAAGGACCCCCCCACCAGAACTCCAAGTCCTCTACGGCCTCAGGCGTTAGCTGCACCAAGCGTGGTGGTGGTGTAGTTACCGTCCCGCTGCTCGCCCCTGCCACTGCACCTCCCTGCGGCGCTGCAGGCGCCACGGTGCTGCTGCTCCCATGTGCTACCGATGGCCTGCCGACTGGATCTGCCATTGGGGACCGCCCTCGAGCCGCCGCGCTCGCCTGACGTGTGGTCGGGCATCTAGGCCGTGCCTCCCCTGGCTGCGCCGTGGCGGGCACTGCTGGGGATGTCGCCACCGGCTGGCCATGTTCCGCCACCATGGCGCCCTGTCTCGGGGCCAGCGCCGCTGCGTGCAAAGCCTCCAGGGGCCCTACCAGCGCCTCTGACCACCGGCCATCCGTCTCCACCACGTGTCCCAACAGCCTGCTGCTGTTCACTGCACGAGCGATAGGGAAATGGGCCGGAGGAAGGGGAGGAGGCCCATAAGATACCCACTTCGCCCTGGAATTGGGTTGTTATCGCCTTGGGTGGTACACAGGTATCCCACTTCGCCCTGGGATTGGGTTGTCCCATATCGCCTTGGGAAGGCACAAACGTATCTCACTTCGCCCTGAGATCGGGATTTCCCATTTAGCCTTGGGTAGGCACTAAAGGTCCCACTTCACCCTGGGATTGGGTTGTCCCATATCGCTATGGGGAGGCGCCTAAGTATCCCACTTCGCCCTGGGATTGGGTTTTCCCATTTAACCTTGGGCAGGCACTAAAGGATCCCACTTCACCCTGGGATTGGGTTGTCCCATATCGCTATGGGGAGGCGCAAAAGTATCCCACTTCGCCCTGGGATAGGGTTGTCCCATTTCACCTTGGGGAGGTCTAACGTACGGCCCGCCCTCGTGGTGTCTCCCACACCGCCCTGGGGTGGCCTACCTGCATGAGTGTCGCCCATGCCGCCTAATGCGCCCGGCAGCCTCCCCGCGCCACCGCCCCCCGCGGCGGCGGCGTCTGGGCACCCGCCATGTCCCTGGCGGGCGCATGAAGTTCCTAGTTCCTCCGCGGCATGCGCCTGCGCGCCGCCGCTAGCTTCCTGTCGCTCTCATCCTCCGGGAGGCCTACCAGCGTGGGCCAGTGGCGGAACCTGTGGCCCGTCGCGTCGCAGACAAAACAGCGCTATTGTGCATCGCCGTGGCTGCCTGCGGACCCGCTGCTCGGAAACGGGAGGGGCGCCTCCCTAGCCGCTGCTCGGTTGCTGGAGGTGCCTTGACCCGTCGCACTGCGCAGGATGTCGGTCAAGTCCTCCTTGCTGAAAGAGGAGAGGCCGCGCAATAGGTTGAACTTATCCGGGTCTCCCTCCTTTAGCCAACGCATGGCCCTGGGAAAGGTAGTGTAGCGCGTGAGCTTGCTGACCTCGGACTGGACCTGCTGCGCCTCCTGCGCCCGCTTGTAAGCTGCGGTGGCAACCATCAAGCTCCGTGCTTGCTCGTCCGTAGTCTGCGCCCTCGCCGCCTCCTGCAGCGCGGCCTCGCCCAGCGACACGCTAGCGCTGATGACGCTCTTGGCATGACTGTTAAAGATGTCTTGGTTGGTAGACAGCCGCTGCACACCCGCTACCGTTAGCAACTCGCTCATGAATGGCGCCATGGCCGCGGTGTCCTCCATGTCAATGCTGGAGGTAAGGGTCTTCTCGCACGGTCCCAGCGCCGACCGTTGAGCCCCCGTTGCCGTCATGCCCGCGCCCGGCCCCGTCGCCAACGTGTCCAGCCAGGAGTCCAAGATGCCGGCGCCCTGGACCGCCAGGCGCTGGGGGACCTTGCTTGGCGGCAGCACCGCCGCCTTCAGCGGACCTTCCACCGCCCTCCTCACTCCCCTTTCCGGGCGCTCTGTTTCGACCCCTTGGGGCGCCGCCTGTCTAACGGGAGGGGGCGCCAACGGGCCTAGTGTCTGAGCTAGGGCCGGGAAGCCCTCGGTATCCACCTGTTCCTCAATATCCAGCACATGTTCGTCTTGTACGGGCACCGTGGTTGCTGCTGCTGCTGCTGCGGTTGCAACCTGCCTCGCTGCTGCTGCCGCTGTTATCGGCTGAACTGCTGCTGCCGGTTGTCCCAACCCCGCTGGTCCCTGCCCCGTTGCCCCACCAGCCGGAGGCTCACCTTGTGGGACCGGCGCCAGCGCACCGTGTCCCTCCTGGGTCGTAACGATCGCCCCAGCCGCGAAGGCCTGGCTGAGCTGTGACTTGCGCATGAAGATGGCGCGACATGTGTCTTCCCGAGCCCGAAGTTCCAGATAAAATGGCTGCCTGCGCTCAATATCTCGAATTACTTCTGCCGTGGCTTTCTTATAGCGGGCAACCGACTGAAAATACGCCTCTTTCGTTGCTTTGGTCTTGCCACGCTTGAGCAAACTTATAGCGTCCTGCTCAACTTCCTCGGCTTCAATAATTAAGCGTTCATAGGTAAAGAGAAAAGAAACTAGACCTCGGTAAGGCAGCAAGCCCAAGCTCTAGATAGCGAGGGCTATCCCCAATTGACTAGCGTTGACTACAAGAGGCTAGCCGCGACTGGACACAAAACCAACGAAGTTCCCCGGAAGAAAGCCACGCAACGATAAAACAACAAGGAAGGCAACCCTCAGAACGCCCTCCGACGACCAAGGCTCAATGTACGACAACTCATGCACTCGCCCCTACGGGTCCTCAAACTAGATTTTTAGCTACGCCAAAAATATAATATTAGCGAGCGGATTTGGGAAGCAGCGTCGGTTGAGAAATATGAGGGGACTTCCCGGGTGGCGCCCACATAAAGACCCGACACTGCTGCTAGGGATCGCAGGTCATGTGCCTGTCATGTGCCTCCAGCAAGGCTTCTGCCCCGCACAATCTGGAACGCAGTGCTGCGACACACGTGCGCCAATTGCAGGCCTTGTACTCTGTCTGCTAAATGCTGCTAAGGAATCCTCCGAGGCCTTGCTACACTGGCTAAGACAGGTTCAAATAGGGCCCGCTGTTGGGCACGGCTTGGTGGTGTGGGGATCCGCAGGGGTGGCGAGGTCGAGCATACGGCGGGCATGGAAGGCATGTTGTGCCCCGTACACTGTACCCTGTTTGATGCCCACGTGCTACGACACTGCTAGCGGCCATTAGCATCGGTTGTTGCCCGTCTCAGCAGTCAGCGTAAAGTTGCAGCAACAAAAGTAACAGCCAATCCTAGTCCCCTAGAGGCCTGGTCCGCTTGTAGCCCGTCGCCGTTTCCCAGCTTTAAGGTGCAAGGGGTGTTGGGCAGCTCAGGTAGCTTTGGCAAGAAGAAGAGGAGCGCGGCATTCCTCTCCAAGAAGGGATTAACGGACCCCATACTCAAGCTCAAATAGTTGCGCTTTATTAGGATCGACAAGGTGATTGGCGACAAAATTAGACGCCACCCATTCCTGTCCAAAACCAGTAACCTGAAGCGGAGCACAATGAACCCCACACCAGCCCATGGCCAAAATGCACGGTTGGCCGATGATGGGAACACGTGTGTTAAGAAAACTGGCCGTGAGTGTACATGTGTGTACACCTTGGCATGCCAAGATGGCCCGTGTGAGAGCGCTAGCCACTATTCAATTCGGCGCCAGAAGATTGTAGACATAGTATGCCCCCGCCGTTGACACCCGTTGAATTCCGTACCGGTAATTGTGTGTGCTGGAGGGTACAGGCCACTGTCCTGGCAAAAGGATGCGACTTCTGGCATTCTTGTCCCAACGCAAAATTGCCAACCGTAAGGCATCAGGCATGCGCCTTTTGGTTGCAGTTGCCGTACAATACATTCCATGAATACAGAAACACACAAACCGCACGTTGCTGCGGTGGACTTCAACGCTGCACGTCTCCGGGCAAACGTTTGGCAAACTTCCATGTGCGCAACTCGGACCCAAGCGAGCTGACATGCTGACAAGTTTGATACCTGACCGGTGACCGCAATAGGTGCCCGGCCGTTTGGACCCGGGGACAAACTCTAGAAGCCGGGAACGCACCACCATACCCGTACCAACGCCAACCGGTTTGGTGCTCTTTGACCCCTACCAACGCTAACGGGGAAAATGTCCCTGGGCCCAGCGCATGAGGCGTACGTTGAATAGCTAGCTACTACTGCTGCTTTGAGTGCAGTCGCGAGTCTGGTGTGCAAAGGGACAGAGAAGCTCCAAGGTCCAAGGCAAGCAAGTATCAGCGTCATAGAGGACCTGACCGATCTGGTTATTCCCGGGCGGCGCGGACAGGGCAGGGTGATATCACTGTGAAGCCCGAGTAAAATTGTAGCAAAGCTCAGTAATCTAGCGGGTCACTATAGATGTTTATACGTAACCTTGTAATCGAGTGTCTTTGTTCTAATTGGGGGCACAGGCAAAAGCTGCCATCATGAAGGGCGCGTGGATGCCTTCGGCTCACGCTTGTTGCTTATTTGTACTTCAAGTTGGACATCAACGCAATATAGGAAGCACGCTTTGCTGGCGATGTCTTTTATGGGCGCAACGGCGCATACAGGGGAGGTTGACGCTTGACGGGTGGTCTTCATGGGACGAGCCCAACGTTGCAAGTACAAAAAGGGCTTCGCAGTCCATTGTTGCGCTTCTAGCTTTCTTATCATATTGCTACAGTAAAATCTGAATTTTTACTTGCTTTGGATATATCCCCTGACGGGACATACACCATTTAACAACTGCTGTGTCAGAATCTTCGCGACCCTGCGCCGTGCGCCGCTGGAGCGGCCGCCATGGCGCTACCAGGCGTTCAGCAGAAGTGTTACATTTGTTCGGATGCAGTTACGGAGGCTGACTACCGTAGGTGCGTTTGGCCGCCGTTACAAAGTGCACCGGTGGCTCCGCTGATTGTCTACACATGCCTGGGCTCTTGCAAAGTGTGCTGGCTGTGGCTATGAAGCCTTGGGCCCGCGTCCCTGCTGGAGGGAGAGTTATAGTATAATCCCTGGTCATGCGATTCTTGGCAAGCGACTTTGTGTCATACCTTCATGTTATTCGTGGCCTAAGAATTGTGTGTGTCCCTCCTTGCGGTGAACGCAGAGAGCTAACGTGCAGTTACGGGGGATGCCCTGGAACAGACCACGCATACCATGAGGAGTGTATCACTGAGTATTTGCGCAAGCTTAAATTTCCTACCAGCCGATTGGTAAGCGTTTAACGCATCAAGATCGCTGGGTTACGTGTCTTGTATTGTATCGGCGTGACCAATCCCCCCTTGCATCCTTGAGTCCGTGGCTGCTTTGACATAATAGGCCTTGCCAGCGTACGGGTTTCACGTTAGCTCTTGCATGTTGGCACGCTTGTGCTAGGCGCATCCCTTATGGCGTGTTGTGCGCTTGTACACACGGCTCGCTTGTGTTTTTGGTCACTGGGAAGTCCAGGCACCATTTTGCCCTTGCAGCTGACCCCATACTACTGCATCACCACGCGCCGCTAGGGTACCCTGTGCGTGTCTCAACCTTGTGCGCTATCCCCGGTGCTCTGCAGATTGGGTATCCTTGCCCTGTGTTACTTGACAATGGACGCCCATGCACCGGTCGTATCACGGCAACTCATCACAAGCAACCGCTTAACCAGAAGAAGAAGCAAAAGCGTGTTGAAGCTGCCGCAGCTGCCGCAGCCGCCACAGCAAAGCTAAAGCAGCCCGCAGCCAAGGCTAAGGATGCCAAGGGAGCCAACGGCGTGGGGGCTGCAACTGCGGCCATGCGGCCGGCGGGTGAAGCTGCACTGCGTCAAGCGGGGGTAAATGTCGCAAACGTGAAGTCAGGTGAGGTATTAGTGGAAGCTCCTGACGGTCTTTGTGGAAAAACCCCATCGCACCATTACAACTGAGTGCCCTAATGGTGTGGATAGTGCCATAATTTCCGTATCCGAGGGATGGCCTGCTCCCCACATATACTAAGGAATTTGCATGAACGCAGCTACGATCATCGAGCTGGCCTCTCTATAATGCATTGTGGCGGCTACCAAACTTGATAAACCCCCCTCATTCCATTCACGCGCTCCTCTGCCTTTCTCCACGCGCTACTTTCCCCTCTGCCCTTCTCCACAACCGTAGTTGCGTCATCTCTGCCTGTTGTAAAGGGTGCGAACGTTATGAAGACCGTTGCGCCTGGCAGCGGCGCCGCTGCACGACTCTCAGGCGCAGTCAGCAACAACGTCGCCATGGCTCCGGAGCGTGTCGTGCGGCAGCGTGTCATCCCTGGCTGGTCGCCGGGTGACGAGAAGGCGGCCAAGATGTCCTCCCTGGAGCAGCAGCGGGCCATGGTAGCGGCACTGCGGGCGGAGGCCAAGAGCGCAGTGGGCCGCAGCAGCACCAAGGGAGCGGTCGGGGGCGGTGGCGGCGGGGCGGCAGCGGCTGCGGGGCGAGGTGCGCTGCCGCCTGCTAGTGCCTTTGGGATTCTGGCGGCGGACGCCGGTGCTAAGGGCAACGCAGGTGCGTCTTGTTAGGTTGGCGGCTCTCGTGTCTTGTTGGGTGCTGTTGCTATCATTATTGTTAATAGAATAGGGATATCAGTAGTATTTTAGCGATAGCATGGGCTGTGCCTATCATCTTTGGACAGGATTAAAATCCAAGGGTCTGGGAGCTTGGTGACATAGGTCGAGTACGAGGTGGTGGGGCGCTTACCGCTCCTTGTTGTTCCTCGCGCACGCAGGTATGCAAGCCCGTAGGCAGCAGCATGAAGACGATGATGGCAGCGGTTCTGGTTCGGATGACTCTGATGTCCATGCCTTCTCCACTTGGCGGTAAGTGCTGCGGATGCGTTTCGAGATGGGGTCTAAGGGTTTTTGGCTGTTCATAAAGAATTACAAGGGGTTTCGGCGAGGCGGTTGGAACAAAAATTGAGTATCTGTTCCTTAGTTAGCATAAATGGATATGCTGTCATACCAGCAGGTAAGTATGGTGATATTCGGCTGGCATGTGCGTCGGACCCAGCATACACCTAGTGGAAACCCGAGATGCATGCCACTTTTGGCGGAGGAACGTACATGCATTGACTACGTATTCATGTATTTGCCTCCTTTCCCTCAAGCTTCCTGCTCACCTATCACCATGTCACCTATTGTCACCTTTCCAGGGACGGCGACAGTTCGGACGATGGCTCCAACATCTTCGCCGCTCCACCTCAGGACTTCAATTATATGCAGGAGGACTTCCCAGCCTTCCCCACCTCGGCAGCCACACAGGCAAAGCCCGCCGCCCAGGCCGCCAAAACTGGCGCCGCAAGCGCTGCTCCCGCCACACCCGCTGCCGCCAGTGAAATCTTTAGCAGCAGCACTCAATCTCCCGCAGCGTCACCTCTTGCAACGGCGTCTCCCTCCGCCACCCCATCCGAGCTTGAGTCTCCGACCGCGCCCGCCGGCGGTGATGCCGCTGCTTCTGCCTTGGAGGGCGTCGAGGGCTTTCCCGACGACGAGACTGACCCCATCGTCCGTACGGACCCTGTCTTCGCGACGGAGGACGGTACGGTGGTGGTGCAGGATGTCTACGGCAACTATGTACGGATGGAGGACGTGTACGGGCCCACGCCGGAGTTGATTGGCTTCAGCGATGAGGCCGGCAACGTGTCGTACTATGTGGTGGTACGGCAGTCGGCGGAGCTGGCAGCGCAGGAGCACCAGACCTTGGCGGGCGTTGACAGCGGCTTGGTGGTGGATGGTGTGGTGACCACCCCTGCCAGCGTAGGTGGTGGTGTGGAAGGACCACATGAAAGCAGCTGTGACGTTGAACTAAACGGCGCGTTCGCAGTCGCTTCCAACGATCAATACCTTGCAGTGGTCGACCCGCCGGCCGCACCCGTTTTAGCGCAACATGCACAAGCGCCAACGGCCACCCAGCCACAGCAACCGGCCCCTCAGGAGGAAGGCGACCTGAACGACCTATTTGCGCTTTGCCTGGGCGGTGGCGGCGGTACCGAAGCCGAGCGTGAGGTCACAGCTTCTGCCTTTCCGTCAGCGGAGCAGCCATTCTATATGCTAATGCCCGGTGCACCGTCAACAGCATCAGCAGCAGGGGCAGCCATCATGCCAGCCTCATACGGTATGTACGGCAGCGGCGATGGCGGCGCTGGATTTAACGCTTACGGGTACAGCGCAACGGCAGCGGCGGCTGCTCCTGCAGGCGCTGACGGCTACACGGGCAGCATGCTGGAGCCGCAGCAGCCGGAGGCTGATGACGTGGACAGCCTATTGCAGCTACTTTGCGTTTGAAGACGCGTGGAAGCAAGCAAGTAAGCTTCATGTTTGACTAAGACGCACGGCGCTGCGCATTCCGGAGGTATTAATATGGCGCAAATGCGCGCCGGTTGGATGTGAAGATTGTAGCGCCTAAACGTGCGTCAGTTTGCATGGTTGCTGTTTTTACATGAATGCTGCTTTCTTGGCTATGAAGCTCAGCGCTGACCTGGCAGACCCACGTCTGCTATGGTGGAGTGCCTGACATGGGATGCGATGCAAGACATGCACGCAAATATGGAACCGGATTTCTCTATTCCTGTCCGGTTTTGTCCCATTCGACATATGTTGACCCCACAGCCGGCCGATGCCCGCCGGAAGGGTGTCCGCAGCCGTTAAACATATGAAGAGCGGTTGTTGTTACATTCTGACTTGCCCCGTTGGTCTTGGTGCACAGTCTGGGTTGGCGCTTTGAACGGTTGGTTCCCAACTCCACCGCCGCTGATGTGCTTGGGAGGTTACAAGCCCCTTATGACTATATGCTGTGTTTGCTTGTTGCGCTTCCTGACTATGTTTAGAATACATCGCGACACATTGAATGGACTCCTGTCTTGTCTTAATACTGCCGTCGTGTCAGAAGGGCATCGTATTCCGTACACCGCTTTGCGTCATGCCTGCCGCGAGGTATATGTTATTGTGCCGTATCAACTTCTGGCCATGTAGCTGTCTTTTGCAGAGCCAGTTATTGTTTGGCATACTCTTCCCTGCGTAACATGTGCAACGCCTGTCCACGGAGATACCAATAGCGCTCAATACCAATAGCGCTCAAGCAAGTCCTGTAATCCAACCACCCGAAAGAAGCATCTGCTTGTAAAAGCTATTCCGTGTGCTCGTTGACTGCTGTATCCAAAGAGCAGGAGGATGGCAAAGCAATGCCTTCTCTGCTCAAGTGCAGTGAATGCGGACGATCACTACCGGTGAGTATTCTGTAGACCTGCGTATTTATTTGTTCGAAGTTGGGTATTGGGAGGTCACACAGAGCAACTTAGCTAAGTAGATCTCTCCTGCGTTGGCGTCGCGAATCGCCGCCTTGCTTTATTTATTGCAATTGTTTAAAGCTAGCTGCCGGGGGACGAAGCTCGTGCTGGTAACCTGCGTCAGTTTGGTCTGCGTTATGCATGCTATGTGCTGCGGTCATTTCACAGGTACTACTTTCCGTTGTCCTTGCAGGGACCTGGACTGCTCGTTTCGGAAATGTCCAGGCGAGAGTTACCATGAAGATTGTATGACGCGTTACCTGCGAAAGAAAGGCCACGGCGGCGAACAGAAGGTGCGCATCGACGCGCAGTCTTACTTTAGCGGGCGTTTTCTCGCTGAATACATGAAGCTCTATAGACATGGCTGTGTTATTGTTTATTCTTCTAAGGGTTAGGGCGCATTGCTTTGCATAAATGTGCTAAGGTTCCTCTCACCAACTCGTGTGTAAACCCTATCCCTTGCTTTGCAGACCGGGTTCCCCTGCCCTGCTATCCTGAACAATGGAGACAACTGCCCTGGGACCATCATGAAAACCCATATCAAGTCCCACACTAACGTAAAGAAGAAGGAACAGAACAGGCTTGCTGCGGCAGCTGTTAACCGCTTGGTGAACACAGCGCGCAAGGATGTGCCCGGCAAGCCAACCCCTCCACGCCGTGCCGATCAAGCCGCGGCCATCGCAGCTCCAATACGCAATCCTGCCGCAGCCAAGGCCCTAAGATCCGCGCTGCCAAATGCCAAGCCTGTCATCAACCGTACGACGCAAGGGTTACATGTAAAATTGCATTTTTCGAACGCCAAGGGACAACATGATGACGTGGAAACCGAGACTGGTGTGACGCAACCTGCGAAGGGCACCCTAGCGGACTACTTACCCCTGCCAAAAGTTGTGACAGGTGGGATTCGGGGCCTAGGCACGAGTCGGAATGCCTTGATGCAAGCAGGTTGCAGGCACTTGCACCGAAGTGCCTACTACGGGTTAAGGGCACATCCGGAAGTTTGGTAGGGGAGTAAGCACGTGATTTTGTCATGCCGACGGGCACAGCAGCATGGGGATTGGATCTGGATCGGCCTTGTGTCTGTCGGGGCCAGGAATGAAGTGAAACTTACGACGCATCACAACGTCGCATCACAACGCGAGACCGTGGGGGGTATTGGCGCAAGGTCGTATCCGTAGCCCTTGGTACAGGTTTGTGCTGCGCTAGGTGTCTGTGTTGGGTCGGAACGCAGCCTCGGAACACAGCCGAAGCAAATTGCATCTGGGTTTGGACGAGATGGGTTCAAGTAACTTGGGACCATTGCAACTCCATATGTGTCGAGGGTTTTGAAGTTGGATTTGGGTGGCCTCGCCGTTTCATTGCGATTAACCCCATACCGTACGCAATACCGTACCCTCAGTCAATTCTTTTGCCACGTAAGTGTCACGCGCCTATTATATTATATCGGCACGTCCTTCACCCGCAGGCCGAAAAGTGCAGCAGCAAGAACAGAACCAGGTTAAACATGAACTGCAAGCACCGTGGAAGCAGCAGCAGCAACCGAGGCTGCAACCAACTTACGTCAGCGACGACGAGGACAGCACATGGCACAGGTGGGGGTTGGGGCGGTATGGCATGAAGAGTTGGGCGCTTTACGGTGCAGGGGGGTGCCGTCGGATTTGGGTGTCGGAGGTGAGTACCGCATGTGGTTTGTTTGCAAGGACATGTGGCCTATGAATTCATGCAAGATGCTTAGGATGAAAGCACAGGGCTTGTTTGAGCTTTCCATGAACCATCGCAACATCCAAACGCCGTCACTGCTGTTTGGATAAGGCGTGGCCGCAAATGTTGTCTTCGTAGACCGGCGCATCCTCGATTGGGAACCACCGCAAACGCCCATATCACCTCTCCCTCATTACAGAGTCGGCAAACGGACAGGAAGCTCCTCAACGACGAAAACGAAACCGCACAACGGCGCCGCACTGGCGGTGGCCAAGAACTGCGCCATGGCTCCGGAACGTGTCGTACGGCAGTGTGTTGGCTGGCCGAGCGACGACGACACCCCTGCTGGCGGCGGCAGTGGCGCGGACAAGGGCAAGCGCATGAACAGCAGCAGCAAGGGCAGCCTGGAGGAGCAGCGGGCGCTGGTGGCGGCGCTGCGGGCAGAGGTACGCGGAGGCGGTAAGGCAGCTGCCGCCGCCGCGGCTGCTGGTCATAAGAAGGCCGCAGCCGCAGTTCTGGCTGCTGAGAAGCCAGATGGGCCTACGGCGGATGTGGCGGCAACAATGCTGGAAAGGGCCGCGGGTGAGGGGGAGGGAATGGAGTAGGGTTCGAGGGTTTGGGGGTTGCCTCCAGTGAATGGGACACAGGCACACAGCTTTTGGTGTTTGTGGGCGGGGTTAATGAACGGTTGCATAGCTGCGGTACCGGGAGTGGATCTATCACACGTGTTTATGGAGTACGAACCTGACTGATTAATTATGAATGCGCGTACCGTACTTCCAACCGGACGTCTACCCGTTGGGGTAGAGTTGTCAGGTAACGCTCCTTCCAAATCGTTCCAACCACGTCGCTTACAAACTGCTGCCCCGTTGTTGCCATTCGTCTCATGCCGTCCCCACCCACCCAAGGCTCCCAAGCCAGCAAGGAACACTCGGAGCCGCTCTCCATGTGGAATGTGGAGGAGGCCCCCGGCAGCCCTGGCGGCAGGAGCGACGCAGCCTATCACGACACCTCCTCGACGCCAACCAACACCAAGCAGCCGTGGTCAGGCGATGCCTCCGCCGCAGCCCCTACCACGCCTCCTGCCGCCGTCCCCTCCGCCGCCGGCAGCTCCGACTTCACAACTCCCGATTCCACTACCTCCGCCGGTGCCGCCACGTTTGGCGCTTTTGACCCCGATGCCGCCGCAGACCAAACGACCGACGCTGCCACTGAGGAGAGCGCAGCCACCTTTGACCTGCACGACTTCGACACGGACCCCGACCCCATCGTTGAGGCCACCCCGGTGTTTTCCATGGAGGACGGTACGGTGGTGGTGCAGGACATGTACGGCAACTATGTACGGATGGAGGATGTGTACGGGCCCACGCCGGAGATTATGGGCTTCCAGGATGAGGCCTCGGGAGAGGTGTCGTATTATGTGGTGCTACGGCAGTCGGCGGTGGCGGGCGAGGCGACGACGGAGCAGGTACGACACGAGGAGCAGCAGCAGCCGGCGGCCGTAGTCAACGCGGGTACGGATTACGGCAAGGTGTTTGGCGCACCGACAGCGGCGGTGCATGTGGGACTCCCTGCGCTTCAGGAGGAGCAGGGCGCTGGCGAGGATGGGGGTGGTGATGGGGCTGATAACGACTTGGATGACCTGCTCGCGCTGTGCTTGGGCAGCTTGGGACTCTGAGTGGGTGAGCGCGGTCCTTGAGTGGTGCAATACGTAAAGCGTTACGGTACATTGGTGGGTGCAACCGACTCTATGCGAGGCTTGTTGGAAAGCGGTATCGTGGCGAGCCCGGGGGGTTTCGGGTTTGGGGTTGCAAATTAGGACCAAGCGGTCATGCGTGCCGGTTGTGATGATGGTGCTGAAGGGGTGCTGGGGCCACTTTAACTCGCACCCGTATTGTGGCTGGCTATATTGGCTTGGCCACCGAACATTTACGCCCCTTTCCCGGTAGTATGCGTGGGTTCCTTCCTAGGTCTAAGGCTCTCCGGAGCTGCGGATGAGGTAAAGGTATGCGTGGTTTTAAACCTAAAGAGACTCCGAAAAATTAGGGCCCATCTATGACAACTCGTCTGCGTTTGGATGGCAGCCACCACCGAAAGGATGCTGTTGCTTTGCTGTTTGGCACTGCGGTGTGTGGTATTGGGCACAGGGGCAAAGGGTCCTCACTAGTCAATGGCACAAATTCTCCATGTAAATAATGATGTATGCTTGGGGCAACGTGATAGGGCCCAATGGTTGTGACACATTGCATATTTGATCGAGTCGTATGGCATTTTCATCTTGGCTGCGCTGCATCCCATGCCCGGGACCAACTGCGGAGCGTGTCAATGGGGTTGTACGGCTCCACGAACATGGGTTCGGTTCGCCGGTTTGTCATCAGGCCCTCAGGAATTCTCGCTGTGTTACGGAGTTACCTGTGGATTGCTACCAGGTGGCACGATAAGGCCCACACCCATGCAAGTAATCGTAGCCAATCTCAGACCGACCCACATGGTAAGGTGGTTCAGGACATCCATGCTTGGATACCAGGTGGCACGATAAGGCCCACACCCATGCAAGTAATCGTAGCCAATCTCAGACCGACCCACATGGTAAGGTGGTTCAGGACATCCATGCTTGGCCACAAGAGTACCTCTCCCTGAAGTGCCGAATGCAGAGAAATGGATTTGGACAGGTGCTACTCCTATCCAGCTGGGTGTAGGGACACAAAACGCCCCCTGGGGGGGCGATACTTCATTGGGGTGCCCACATGCATGCACAAATGCATTACAGCAACTGAAATTCTTAAGGAAACCATGTCTGCTAGGCCGGGACGCCGGGTGCCCGGGTCGACATAAGTGACGAGCGAAGCCAAAATGACGGGTTCCGGGGCCTGTCCAACGTCGCTGACCAATGCAACCGTAATGTCAAATTGTGCTTTCATTACTTAATTAAAAACGAGGCTCATTTGCAGATCTGAGAGAGAACTACAACGGGGTTTGCATACAACTACATTGCCCTATTCCAACCCTACGCCGTCCTCGCTAGGGTATTCTATTTCAACCAGCCGTGTTGAGGGAAAGAAGCTTGTGTCTTTTGCGGTGTACGTTCGGACCACGCGACTTTCTCCGTTAGCGATGCCGGGGTCAGCTGCTACCAGGGTCTGTGGTCAATGCAATGAACCCGTCACAGACGTTGACTACTACAGGTAAGGTCTCGGCGACGTGCATCCTTCACCAGGTGTTAACTGCATATGGGAACGCCAGATGCTTCCACTCTCCGGTTGCCCAATCGTTTGGCGATGAAGCGGCTTTCATCTTATGTCATTCCACTGTGCGTCTAACTTCCTGTTGCTGCTTTCCGTGCTGTGGTCGTGCTGTGGCAAATGGATGTTATGCATCTATGACTACTTAAGTTCGGTCAAAGGGCATTTCCGCAAACCGCATCTCTGCTCCCATGCAGACAGCTGGATTGTTCCTTTCCGAAGTGCCCTGGCGATTGCTACCATGACGAATGCATGGACTCCTACCTCCGCAAGAGGGGACGAGGTGCCGGAACGGAGCAACGGGTACGAAGTAGTTCAGGCATCCTACCGATTTGTGTTTCTGTGAGGGAAAGCTCTGATGTAACCAGAAGGCCCGTGGAGCTGTAAGCAGGGAGTATCAGCGGCATGCAATCCAGCGGCATGCAGTCCGACTTCTGTTAGCTGCGATGCAGCGACCCGAGCCAAATATTGCGCAGTGACCACCCTGCTTAGCAAACCCGCAACCTTGCATCTGTGTACGCTCCTTTCAAGTGCACCATGCTTTCATTCTCACTCGTACCTTTTCACCCTGCAGACCAGGTATCCCTGCCCTGCCACCCTCGCCAACGGCGAGCCCTGTCATGGTACCATTCGTGGCACGCACAACAGGGTCCCCACGAACACCAAGAAGAAGGAGGCGGCCAAGGAAGCAGCCGTCACAGTCGCTCGTGCAGCCAACACCCCACGCGCCGCAGCTGGTTCGGCTGCCGCAGGCGCTTCAGGCGCCACCGCCGCTGCTGGCATGAAGGGAGCCGCTACTGCCGCTAAGCCATCTGGGTCAGGCGCTACTGCCAAAGCTACAGCTGCATCCTTATCCTCAGCTGCGGCCGGCTCTAAGATCCAAATCAAAATCCGCAGCACGGCCTCCTTACCGTTGGTAGTGGCTAGTAAAGCTCAGGCAGCGCCCGTGCAAGCGGTCAAGCCAGCAGCAGCAGCGGTGCAAAACGCTTGGACTAGGACTGCACCCGTTTTGCTGCCGCCGTCGCAGCAGCAGCAGCCGCATGAGCCGCTTCTTGTGGCCAAAGGTGGGAAGAAGGGGTAACGTGGAGTGCAAATGGGAGAATAGGCTCGACATCTAGTGCTCCAGTGCTGTTGGCATGCCGAGGAATGACAGCAGGGGAGGATTGTGATGTAGACACGCTTTTCGGCCGAGCCGCATTCCGCCGTGCCATAGCCTCCTCCTAATGTCTTCTATATGGTCGGTGTTCTTGCAGCGGCCGTCCCTGACGACGCAAAGGATGCTAAGAAGGTTCCCAGCGACGCACCGCAACTTAAGAAGCAGCAGCCTCAACAGCAGCAGCCTTTGGACAAGGAGGAGGAGCCGCTCATCCCAGGGTGGACCTGGGCGGGTGCCAAGAAGACCAAGAAGGCGGGGGCTGCCGGCGGTAGCAAATCCAAGGCCGGTGAGCCGCGGCTGGGTCGGAGGGGGTCTGTCTGGGTTTGTTACGCCTCGGGAGGTGTAGCGCGCTGCATCATGTCACCCTTCGCTGTGCTTGGGGAGCTCTACCGAGTTGCCGTGCAGGACACTGCTCTGGGGAGCACTACACCGTATTACTCAAGTACAGTAGCACTTTGATTGTTGAAATGTCTTCTCCTGCATCCTGTCACGCGTCTGCTTCAAATGCCGACACGCGCCCTAACACACTTCGTTGACCAACTTTGAACAAATGCCATGTGCTCTTATGCCTCCGCAGTTACACGCCCGCAAGACAATACTACCAGCACTACGAGCACTAATTGCTGGACCCACGGGTCACAACCCGGCCGGACTGCCTCGGGTGTACCTCCGAGCGACCCCGACGGCAGCGACCACGCGTCCAGCAATGGAGATGCTGACGCCTCGACGCCCCAGCCGCCCCCGGCCGCTTTCACTCTCGCGGACGAGGACTTCCCGGCCTTCGCTCCCTCCGCTGCGGCAGCCATCACTACTACGAAGCCGGCTGCGTCCGCTCCTGCTGACGCCCAGAAGCCATCGTCTGCATCACGCGCCACTGGAGTTGCCAGCAGCGCTGCTGCCTCTGACAAGGTCCCAGGCGCGTCGCCTGCCGTCACGCCTCCGGTCGTCGTCAGCGGCGCTGATGGTGATGCCGCAGCACCATCTTCCTGTGCTCGCAATTGCTCCCCTGCCACGCCACCAGCGCCATCTGAGGTTGCGGACCCTACCCCTGCCATTGCCGCCGACGTCGGTGCAACTGCCGACGAGGACGACTCAGACCCCATCGTTGAGGCCACCCCGGTGTTTTCCATGGAGGACGGTACGGTGGTGGTGCAGGACATGTACGGCAACTATGTACGGATAGAGGACGTGTACGGGCCCACGCCGGAGATCATGGGCTTCCAGGATGAGGCCTCGGGAGAGGTGTCGTACTATGTGGTGCAGCGGCAGTCGGCGGTGGCATCGGCAGCCGTACAGCAGCCGGAGGCGTTACCCCTGCGAAGCTACGAGTCTCACGTAGCAGCACCGGCAACGGCCTACGATTACCAAGATCCCAACCCTCGTTGTGCCACTGCCGTGTTACCATCCGCAGATCAGCCCTCCCAGACCGCAACCTTGGCGCACGACGCCTTTTTGGGCAAGCAGCAGTTGCCGCAGCAGCAGTGCGTATTTGATGTGGGCGCAGGAAACGACGACGACGATTTAGACGATCTCTTGGCCCTGTGCCTGGGAGGAGTATCCTGAATAGGCCTGGTGAGAATAAATTGCATCACGGATTGCGCTTTGTTGTAGGGATGAGACTTGCAGGGACTGCACCCCGTTTTAGGCGTTGCTGCGTTGACCTTATTGTCCATCTTCGTTTGGGCGCTTGGTTGCCGTGTTAGGGTTTTTGCACTCGTAGCTCTAGATCGTGTGCCATGTCTCATGTTGCTGGTGCTTAAAACATTTCGCTTTGAGCTGTCAGGCGGAGAGGTATACACCGCAGGACTCGGGGCTTGGGTTTTGAGTTCCGTATGGGGGCGAGCGGTGCTGGACCCATTGGCTTGGGCTAAATTTCGGCACCAAACCTCGTTAGGAAAGAGAGATGTTCGCCTCTTCTACAACGTCCCTATGTAATGTGCTGTTTTGTGGGCGCACTTGGTTACCGTCAGTAGCATCGGTGCGACGACATTTTGCGTTGCACTCATCATACGCCAATAGATGTCGAACGGTTGCGCTGTCCTGTTTAGCCTGTGCTACACTCTATAGACTTCGCTTGCTGCACAACACGTATCGCCTGCTGTCCACCTCGCTCCCGGGCGCAAAAACGTGCAGCCTGAACTTCGATGCCAACCATAGCGCGGCCACCACCCACCCAGGCCAATAGGGACACCAAGTAGCTGCTACAGCATTTTGGAGCCATCGCGTTTTGGAGCCCCCGGTCCCGTCCTCACCCGCCACGCCCGCCTGGTGCTTCCGAGAGACGTAGTCGCCAGCGCTTGGCAAGCGTGTATGTCTTGTTAGCCATTTGTAAGCCCCCAGTGAGAGGCCACCCTACCCAGTCCCGTACCAGGATGTACACAGTTCACCGCATCTGACCACCAGGCACGTGGATCCAGCTGCCAGGGCCACACCACTCTCGGCTTTCGCTGCTGCTCTCCGTTGCATGTTCTGAATGCGCTGCCCCTCTCTCATCCCCTTCCTGCATACCTGTAATTTGCACCCCGGGGGGCTTCTACCTACTGCTTCTCTTCCTGCCCCCCCTCCCGATCACCAGCGGCATAACGGTCAGCCCCACCCAGCTAACATCCGGGTCTCAGCCTCTCAATTAAGAACGCTCGCTCCTAGGTACATGCTGACAGGGAATAATGGCTCGGTCTGCCGGGTTTTAATAATCGATGAAGCCAACGAGACGCACTCGCACATGCCTCTTCTTCCCCTCTTCTCCAGAAAAAACACTTCCATGGGCCACATGTACGGCATGCACAACGTGTACGAATATGTGCGGCATGTACGGCTTTACGATTGTGCGATGTCCTCCTCAGTCGTTGTATGTGAAGGCGGTGGAGGGCCGGCCTGCTCCTCCCGCCCCTCCCGGTGCCCCTCCTGGCTGGCTGGAGGCGGTGAGGGCCTTCCAGATGCGGCACGTGTTGTCCTTGGAGCCTGTGCGTGGGGGAAAGGAAATGAGACGTGAAGCACAGTCCCATGTACCCCTCTCCCCGTGTGTGGGGGGGAGAAACCAATTCGTCCCAAAGGAAGCCACAAGTGGAGGGGTTGCAGGCTTGCAGCCCCCTTGCGGATTTTGCCGACCCAGCCCCCTCCCTTCCATGCCCTCCTTTCCCAATGAACCCGCCCCGCCTTCCCCGCCAGCCCCTCCCGGCCTCCCTACCCGTGATGATGAAGTCCCCTTCGTAGTTGAAGGCGCAGCTGAAGATCTCGTCCGTGTGCCCCTCCAACACCTGGGGGGGGGAGGGGAGGGGCCCGGCGGAAGAGAGGAGTCAAAGATAGGCCAAACCGCCAAAAAGGGGAAGGTGGGAAGGTGGGAGATGCGTGGTCGGCGCAGAGGTTATTGCAGGGAGGACGGTACAGGAAGCTCAGTGACGCTCTACCTGGCATCCGGGCTACCGCTTCTCATGGCCAACCATCAGGCACCCCTGCATCACACCAGTACTGACAGCGTACTCCTCCCTCCCCGCCTATCCCTACATACAACCACCCACCCCACCCCGCCACCCACCTGCAGGCAGTCTCCCGTCTCGCAGTCCCACAGCCTGCACGTCTTGTCCGAGGAGGCAGTGATCAGCCGGGTGCCCTGGAGCCGGGGGGAGGGAGGGGTGGGGAAGGAGAGGAGGGAGAGGGGGCGGGCAAGAGGGGTCAGTAACGAGAAACATAATGGGGCTGTGAGGGGGAAACCTGGGTTAGGGATTGCGGGCGTCAGCCGGGGTTGGCCGCGGAATTATGGCGGATGTCGACAACGAACTGAAGACGATTAAGATGGAACCAACCCTGCTCCCATCCAGACCTCACACCCTCCCTCCCTCCTCCCCCCTCCCTCCCCGCCCCCCACCTGCGGGTTGAATGCCACCTTGCTGATCTCCCCCTCGTGCCCCACCAGCGAGTGCTGGCACACACCCGTCAGCGTGTGGTACAACCTGATGGCGGGGCAGGGGAGGGGAAGGGGAGGGGAGGCGGTAGGTGGCAGGGTGGCAGCCTCTGACACGAAATCGTACAGACACACAGCCGCACAACGCGGGAATCGAGCGCACTCCTATGCGTCGCCGCCCTCCCCCCGCCCGCACCTCGCTGTCCCATCTGCCGACGCAGACACGAACTTGGTTCCCGCCGAGTCGAATGCCACATCCAGCACCTCGTCCGTGTGGCCCTGCGCGGTGTGGGAAGCGGGTGAGCAAGGGCCATTGCACAGGACCATGAAGCATCTCGCGGCCCCCAACAAGCCCCCCAACCACAACTGCGTGGGGTTTGTTCGCAGGTTGCCCGGCCCTAATCCCCACCCGCCATAACACTGCCCTCGCCCCTCCTCCCCGCCCCCCACCCAGGTATCTGCATACTTCGCCACCACCCCCGTGCCCCCCTCCCACCTGCTTCACTGACAGGCACCTGCCGCTGCGCACGTCCCACAGCCGCGAGGTGCAGTCGATGGAGCCGCTCACCACCAGCGTGCCTGAGGGGAGGAGGAGCCGGCGGGGAAGGGGGGATAAGAGAAATGAAGTGCAAAGCAGGGGGGAGGCGGGAGGGGGGCGGGAGAGGGTGGGGCGGGAAGGAACGAGGAGGGTCATGACATGTGCACGCAACAAATACATGCAGGGAGTTAATGCGGCGGTGTTGAGGTGTTCCCACTCCTGCCGCCTACCCGCCCACCCATCTTTCCCTCGCCCCTTCCTCACAAGCATGTCCCCATGTATCAACAGCCTCCAAATCTGTACGGTATACCTCATCCTCTTTACTCCCCCCAACCACCTCACCCGTCGTTCTGACTCACAACCTGGCACATTTGCAGCCCCTCATCCGCCCCACCCCGCCCACCCCCGCCCCATCACCCCCCCCAACACGCCCCTCACCCGCGTAGTTGAACTGCGTCGACGACACCTCCCCCCGGTGCCCGCTCAGCACGTGCACGCACTGCCCCGTGCGCACGTCCCACAGCCGCGAGTCGTGGTCGAAGGAACCCGTCACGATCAGGTCGCCGCCCGTGTTGAAACCCAGGCTCACGATCTCAGCCCTAAGGGGGGTGCAAAGATGCACCAAGCCATAGGAAACACAAGTTGGGCAAAGCAACGGGAATAGGAGGCGACAGGGTGCCACAAAACAAGACATGGGCGGAGGAGGGGGTTGAGGGGGGTGTGAGAGGGGGAGGTCGTGAGGGTCGCGAGGGCAGGGCATGGTGGCACGCGGGCGGGGATGAGGGCGGTTGTGGTAGTGCTGGTCGTGCAGAGCCCCACCTGGCCCCCTCTGTGCTACATGACTGCCTCACGATGCTGCCCCGTCCCCATACGCCCCACACACGCCTTCCAATCCTGAGCTATAGGCCGCTTACCCCGCAGCCAACGCCCCCTGAGCCGCTCCGCGTCCCGTTTCCCCTGACCCATGGGTCCCTCTTATTCCCCTCCTCCCATGTCCACCTGTGCCCCATGAGTGTCGCCCGCTCCTGCCCCGTCTCCACGTCCCACAGCTTGGCGGTGTTGTCCATGGAGCCCGTGGCGATGATGGTGGACTGCAGGGCGGGAGGGGGGAGAGGGGGGGAGGGGCGGGGTTGGAATGGAGTAGGATTAAAGGTGTGTGGAGAGCAGGAACGTTTGACCGGAAGGAGAGTCCGATGATACAGGTATAGCCGCCCCATTCCCAAGCCCCGCGCCCAACTCCCACCACAGCACACCTCCTCCCTCCCTCCCTCCCCCCAATTCACCTGCGGGTTGAATGAGAGGCACACGATCTCCGTCTGGTGCCCCTTGAGCGTGTAGTACAGCTGCCCCGTGTAGGCGTCCCACAGCTTGCACGTCTTGTCGAAGGAGCCGGTCACGATCTTGTCGCCGTACGGGTTGTTGAAGGCGATGGCGTACACCTGGCGAGAGTGGGGTGCGGCAAGGGGGAGGGGTCAGAGCTCAGAGGTATACCAAAAACACAGGTTAGGGCAAAGGGGAGCAGTTTTTCCGAAACGAAAAAGAGGGTTGGTGGAGGGAGGGGACCAGGACAGGACTTTGTGGGGAAAGAGGTAAGAGGCCTTGAGGCAATTGAAAGGGCGTCCTGGGGTGGTGGTGGTAGCAGGGATCACGTCACGGCGCTCACTGCGCGACTGCTGGGAGCCATGCTGTGTGCTGCTGTCCTGGGTTGCAGCTGACCGGGAGGGCCCCCGCGGGAGGGGCCCCGCTGCAGCCCACCTGACAGCCCCGCTGCAGCCCTCACACCCCACCCGCGCCACACCCACTCCGCTGTCCACTGCTGCTGCTGCTGCTCGGCCCGCCGCATCGCCTTTCAGTCGAACCGCCCTAGCCGTGTCCTCCCCCCCTCCTGGAATCTCCCTGTCCTGCCCCCCCCCCTACCCACCACGTTTTTGTGCCCCTCTAGCGTGAAGATCTCCTCGCCCGTGAAGGTGTTCCACACCTGCATGTGGCGAGTGGGGGGGGGGCACAAGGTGTTGCAGGGGCGCAACAGGGTTGGAGAGGAGGGAAGATGAATAGATGATGCATGGCGCGGCACATGCTAGCGGGTTGGGGAGCAACGCGTGTTAGAAGGTTGACGCATGTATCCCCCTCCCCCATCACATTGCACATGCGACCGCCATACACCAACCCCCGTTTCTGCAATTGCTCCGTCTCTGTTCCGGGCCCTCCATTCCGCGCACTCCATTTCGCTATTCTTTTTACCACACCTTGCATGAGCAATTGTGCAGGTAATGGTGTGTCGCTCCCATCCTCTCCCACCCCTCCCTCCCACCACTGGGCTAGCATACAATCCTCCCTCCGCCCCCCCCATCCCTCCCCCCACCCGCCCCACCTTGCAGGTGCGGTCGTACGAGCCGGTGATGAAGCGGTCGCCGCTCTTGTTGAAGGCGCAGTTGGTGAGCGGCAGGATGTGCGCACGAAGCACCTGGGGGGGGAAGGTTTGAGGGGCGGACGGGGCACGGGAAAGGAAACACCGGATCGGGTAGGAAAGGAGCTGGGATGGAGGGTTCACAGGTGGGCGGTGCAGCCAGTTGCAGTGGGGGTAGGGGGTGCTGGCTGCCGAGCCAGCACAGCTCGGGGTTGGGGTTAGGTGGGGTGGAGAAAGGGTCCTCCCCTCTGTCACCCTCTTTCCCCCCCCCCCGCCCTGGCAGACCATGCCTGCGGGTCCTCCTCGCATGAACCGCTTCCCAACCTGAGCCGCATGATGAATGATGCTTGCAACCGCACCGATGCGCTCAGCAGCATGCAGGCAACAGCCCCACTGCCCGCAACCACACCCGGCAACACGGGGATACGGTCAACAGGCGCTGCAGAGGAGTCGAAGAAGCTAGACCTTTCAAAGAGGGTCCCGTGGGTGCAAGCTTGCCAGCAGTCCGAGGAGCAGCCCTTTACGGGAGTCCTTGGAAGCACAGTCACCGTGCACGCGGGCAGCGCAGAGGCCGTGTAGCGCCACCCCCATACTCCACACCCCAGGACCTTCATGAGCACCCACTTCAACTCGGCCCTTGGGTCCTCCCCTCCAGGACTTGGCAGGGGTGTTATGGCTGCAGCCGCAACATGAGTGCGTAACTAGACATACCGTCAAACCCGTACACTTGACTCATTCTAAGCTGACCAGCTCAGGGGGTAGGCAGGTGCTTTGGGCAGCAGTCTTCCAAGGAGGTCGGATTGCAAAACACCCTCCTCCGCGCAGCGGCCTCAATACCAAGACGTGACCTTTGGTTCGCCGGCTGCAACCCCAGCCCCTGACAACTGGCTTCCCCAGCTTTCACTGCTGTGTCAACATAATTATATATAGATGACCTAAGGAAGCGCGTGGCCCCGTGCAAAGTCCAACCCTATTCAAGATCCCCCACCTTGAAGAGCGTGAAGCTGTGGTGTTGCTGCTCCAACATTTTATCGATCAACCGATGTATAAGCTGCCGGAGCGCTGGTCGCCGATTTTCGCTAATTAGCGGCTCCTGGCGAATAATTTGTGATAGCAACACCTGAGGGGAAAGCGGAAGCGCCGAAATCAAATTTTATGCTGCTGTGGACCACAGACCAGTCTTTCTAAGCATATGGGCCACACTTGCGGTGGGACAAGACTGGCGACGCTTAATGGCATGTCCAGCTTCGACACCCGAACAGCCAAGCTGCCCACCGGGCACGCACCTCAACGTCCACATCTGGGGTAAGATCCAGCAGATCGATTGGCTTCTGCTTCATCACTCCCTCCCGTTCATACTGCAAGATGATTCCAGGCGGATAGTACCGAAGCAGGAACTTCTTCAGTTTCGCTGCCATTCTTTTAACAGCTGAGAACTCCCAAGCGTATAGCGGTAACAAAGGCTGATCTAATTGTTGAGAAGCAATAGCTAGGGTGCAAAACGGGGGCGGCGGTCCTAGGGCAGGAGTCAAAGTGGGCCTGGCCCCGAGAGCACTGCTGTATGGAGGCCAGACCCTAAAACGAGAGTCTTTGGGTTAGGAGTTGCTGTCGCAGCTAGTGGAACAGCGAGGTAGAAACTGAATGAAAGGCTCTTGGGCGTGTTAAAACAAATGCGTATAGTATAATAATACAGCTAGGTGTAGACGTTTCTTTATGTGCCACAATGGTTATGATCTGGTGATAGGACTTGTACTCGCTGATCAAGCATGTTGATGCCCATGAAACGCTTACAAGGTAAAAGCAGCTTGCATCTCACGGGCGTGCATTGTTCCTACGATTCCATAGTAAGGTTTTCTTTCACATTATGCAATTCATTGAAGACCGTTTAACACTGCGCCCAACCTAGAGAAACACTTTGTGAATAGAAGACGACTTAACATGTTGCAAGCGAGCCACCGGCAAGCTGCCGGATCATGTTTTACGGCGCGGTCGATGCCGCCTGCGCGGCGTTTGATGGTGCAGCCGTGGCGTTCCTCGGCGCAGCAGCATCGCGTGGTACAATGCAACGCAGCGGAAATGCTCATTGGCGTAGGAAGCTCAGTACCAGAGACCTTCCTTACAAACCACGACTTGGAGAAGCTCGTTGACACAAATGATGAATGGATTGTGACTCGCACCGGCATCAGGAAGCGCCATGTACTCGGCAAGGGCGAAACGCTGTCGCAGCATGGTATAACATCCGCTAAGCGCGCTCTGGAGATGGCTGGGATATCTGCACAAGAGCTGGACCTTGTGTTGTTCTGCACGTCATCCCCAGACGACCTTTTTGGCTGCGCATGCCAGGTGGGCCGCCGATTGTAACGCTCACAGGACCAAGTTATGTGTCCATGGCAGTAGGAACAGCGTTTCGAGGTTCATTGGATCTTAGTAACACACATCTGCCAAGTATGTTGTTTTTGCTCCTCAAAAGCACTCCCAGAAGCTGCATGATGCCGCCATCCTTTGCTAACGCCTCCCGCAATTTGTTTCCAAAGTTGTGCTACTCGTTTTGGGTTCGAAATGGGGCATGCTTTGGGTTGGACTCCTGTGACATAACGCAAGGTTTGACCAGCGACGTGTTGCGGATGTTTAGGGCGAAACTGTGCGTAGTGCTGCCACAGGGCCATCGCTACTGGTGGAGGAAAGGCCGACATGCAGTGGATGCGCCATGCATTGCATCTCACTTGCGCCGGCCTTCCTCCCCGTTGCGTTCCAGCAAGGCCCATTGCTCATTCCATCCTTCTCCACCTCTCGCGTCAGCTGCATGTCACCCTCTATGCCGCCCTTTTTTCCTCTTCCTCCTCGTCCCCTTCAACCCCTTATTCCCTACCCGTCTCCCCTTCCCCTCCTGCTCCTCCTTGCCACCCCTCCTCACCCCTCACTCGCCCCCCGCCCTCACCCCGCCCCACTCCCCAGGTCCAGGCGGGTATCGGCGCCTCCCGCGCCGTCGCCTTCGACCTGACTGCTGCCTGCAGCGGCTTCGTGGTGGGGCTGGTGACGGCGGCGCAGTACATCCGCGCCGGCACCTACCGCAACGTGCTGGTGCTGGGAGGGGATGCGCTGTCGCGCTTCATCGACTGGCGGGACAGAGGTGGGCTGGGACAGTGAATATGAAGGGATGGCATACCGGAGTGGTTCGTTGACTTTGGAAACAGCGGGGTTCAAAGGGGGAAGGAGTGGGGCTTGGGGCAGCGCGGCCGCGACCAGGCTGATGCCAGGTTGCCTCGTAACGGAAATGCGGCTGAGGCGGTGGGTGAGGTAGCGGAGGGTGAGTGGGGGGTGCAGGGGGGTCGAGGGCCCCCCAAGAACCCCATCCGGGTCGGGGCGCTCTGGTCCCTGTCCCGTGGGGCAGGCAGACAGGGCATTGACGAGCAACTCCAGCGGAGTGCACCTGGGGGCCGGGGAGCGGGCGCTAGCGGCAGGGGCAGCAGCGGCGGCAACACCAGTAGGGACCGCATGTGTGCTTCCTGGGGCAATGACGGTGCTGGGAGGCAAACACACACTCGGCCAGCAGCATTGCCGCTGTGTATTGCCGGAAGGGAAGGGGGCTGCTGCAGCAGTGGGAGCGACCCAGCCGCCACACGCACACCGTGAGGTCTGTGACACCTGGGGCCTCCTCATGAGCCCCTTGAGGTCCTTGGCATCCGCCCTAACCACTGCCCCGCTCCTCTTTCCTCACCTTGCCCTCCACCCTCGCTCCCCGCCTCACCCCCCGCCCCCTGCAGGCACCTGCATCCTGTTCGGCGACGGGTGCGGTGCAGTGGTGGTCAGCGCCAACCCCGACCCCGCCGCCCCCGGGGCGCTGCTGGGCCACGACATGGGCAGCGACGGAGCGGGGCGCAAGCACCTGTACTGCGATTTCACGGGTGGGTGCGGATCGGCGGGAGGGGGAGTCTGCGGGGGAGACGGGGTAAGGGGGAGGCAGCCGAGGGGAATGGTAATGAAGAAACCCACTACGGTGATGGCCGGGCAAACCAATATGCCACTACGTGGGAGAAGCTAGAGGAGGTGTGGCGTGTCCCCACGGCGTGCGGGGTGGCGGGTGCCCGGCTGAGCTGCGCGGATGTGCAGGGAGGGTTCGCCGGGCCGGGGGTGGGATGGGCAGGAGGGCGCCAGGACAGGGGTGGGTGGATCACATCTGGTTGGCCACATGAGATGGGATGGGGCAGGATGAAGCCAGGAGTCACGGAGCCTGGGGACGGGGGAGGGGACTGGAGCCCGCCATCCCTAGGAGCAGCAACGAGCCGAGAGCTGGGACTGGGGGCGTAAGGCGGGCAGAGGAGGAAGCAGTGGAGAATATACCAGCAAACCAGCATGAGGCGGCGGGGTTGGGCTTAGCTGTACGGCTGTATGACTTCGGAGGACACCGTCATGTCGTGTAACGCTGGGGACCTGATACGAATGTAGGGTCCTGCCGCCCCGCATGCTGCCCCTTCCGCGAGCGCGCCGGCACACCCGCATATCCCTCCACCTCCCTACCCCTCCGCCTCCCTAAACCCGTCCCTCATCCCGGCGCATTCCCAACCCTAGCCAAACAGCGGACCCCACACCCCGCTATGCCATGGTGTTGAACTGGCCACTGGGGCCCCTCGCTTCTGCCCTGTCCTCTCACCCACCACTACCTCACCACCACCCATACGTGTTAATGCAAGCCCTGATAGCTAGGAAAGCCCCAGCCCCCCTTCACCAGCCTCATCCCTTCCCTCAAATGGGATTGATACTCCGTTGCTGCAATTATCTTTAATTTCCCCCCACCCCCTTCACACCCACCTCTCAGGTGCGGATTTGAAGCCCCTGTCCGAGGGCGCAGCGCCCTCCTCCCACGCTTCGTACGGCAACCTGCATATGGCGGGGCAGGAGGTCTTCAAGTTCGCAGTACGAACAGTGCCCACGGTGGGAGGGGGTGCAGGGGGTGAGGGGCTAAGGAGGGGGCCCGTGTGATTCTTGGATATGCTATGGGTGTGTTGGTGGGGTGGGGTGAGGTTGGCGGCGACCATCATGTGATGGCGTTGTGGGTATACTGGTTACCCTTCGTCTGAGCCGCGGGGAGATCCGCTGGCGGGGACAGTGGTGCGATAGATGGGGTATTGGGGTTGCGGTGTAGCAGGCGTGTTTGCAGGGAGCTGATGCCCGTTCATTCCCTCAACCCTTCCACCCCCAACTTTAACCTGCGCTACACACCCATCCTCAATACCCCCTCCCCCCGGCTAGGTGATTGACAACGCTCTCGCACGGGCCAACATGCAGAAGGTGGGTGCAGCAGCTGCAGCGGACTCGGGACGGCTGGGACAGTGGGCCGGGGGTATAGAATAACAAAGAAGGTCCAAACTCCATGGGAAACGCAACATGGGCAAGTCCAGGGATGAGGGGAGCGGTGCCCTGTTGGGCTTGTGAGGGGGCCGGCATGGGTACCCCTGTTCCCCAGATCGACCGTTCAAAGCCCCTGCTACCCTGTGTTCAACCCCAATACGGCCCGCAACGTCTGTATCCTACTCCATTGTCGACGCACAACCCCCGTAACCCCTCACCAACATTGTTAACACAATGAACCCCTCGTCTACCCCACCCCTCCCTCCCCTTCCCCCCAACCGTCTTCAGGAGGAGGTGGACTGGCTGGTCATGCACCAGGCCAATCAGCGCATCCTGGACGCAGCGGCGCAGGTGGGAACGGGAGGGGAGTGGGGGCGGGAGGGGGTGAATAGAATAATGCTGCGGTGGTGAGGACATACACCCTCTGGTTGGCGGTGGTGGGCTGCCGGAGGTGAGCGGTAACAGAGCGAAGCCACCCAACAGGTGCGGGCAGGCCGCCACGGGCCAAGCGTACCCGGTTACACCTCCACTCCCCATCCTTTCCTCCCCCTTCTCCCACCTCACGGGTTGGGTGCCTCTTTCCCGTCTTCCCTCTTCCCCCTCACCTCTCCCAGCGGCTGGGTCTGCCCTCGGAGCGGGTGGTATCCAACCTGGCGCAGTACGGCAACACCTCGGCCGCCTCCATCCCGCTGGCCCTGGATGAGGCGGTGCGCGAGGGGCGCATACGGGCGGGGGACAAGGTAAGAGGGAGGGAGGGGGTATTGAACGGACAAACGGCAAGGGAACAAGGGGGGCAATGGAGGGTTGCGGGATGGTAGCGCAGCGGGGAGCGGGAGAGGGAGGCGGTCTGGGGCGGGGGGTCTCTCTTCCACGGGCTTTTACCGTCTACCCCTGGTCCCGGCTCGCCTAGATCCTATCCCTTCACCCCCTCCCCGCTTTCACCACACCTTCACCCCATGCGGCCCCCTCTAACCCTCCTCGCCCCCTCTTCCCCCTCAGCTCGCTATGGCTGGTTTCGGCGCGGGGCTCACGTGGGCGGGAGCCATCGTGCGGTGGGGCTGAGGGTGGGCGGAGCGGGAGAGGGGAGGAGCAAGGAGCGGAGAGGGACAACGAAAGAAGGGATGAGGAGCACGAGGGGCAAGGAGCGAGGGGTATTCAACCCTATGAGCTGCAGAGCTGCGTGCAGCTGGGAGGCGGGGATCAAGAGCACGAGCCATAGGAGGCGGTGCTTGCAAGAGAAGGCATCCGCAATACCGGGGGCCAGACTCTGGGGATAGAGCAGGGTAGGCGGGTTAGGCCGGGCGTCACCCCAACCAAGTGCTAGTAAGATAGGTTGCGAAGGAGTGGGTGCTGTGATGTGCATGTCTGTGAGCACGGAGCTAGTGGGTAACAGGTGGTGTGCACCGAAGGGTGAAGGAGGAAACGCCGCCATCGTTTCAACCGTAGCGGTGTTGCTTAGGTGAAAAGCATCTGGGTCGGCATATGGGTGCTTTCCGGGGTGTGTTAGGGTAGGATCAAGGATAGGGGTAAGGTTAGAATGGAGCACGGGGTTGTGTCAGTGCTTCTAGTATTGGATGCGATGTCATGATCGAGGGCAGGTCAGCAAGCGGCTACCTGGCGCAACTAGGAGAGAGGTATGCTAGCGACAGTGGGAGGGGTGCGGTGGTAGCTTCCCCCGGTTGTTGTCGTGACTGATATGGGTTATGCTTCGAACTGCGTTTCAAGTTCGGTTGATGGCGGCTACTGAACAGTTATGAATGTACTGCCTGCGCTTAAAGATAGTGCTTGGTGTCATCGCATGGGATGGCCCCCTTCCCTCACAGTGCTCAAGGCGTTCTGCTATATAACATTTGTATTCGCCCAATGCCTCGGAGCTCAGGCGTTCCGGCCGTATAGATGATTCGAAGGTTGCCATACGGCAGTGGGTCGGAATCCACTTATTTGGTGTGTGTTAAGGAAACTGGCACTGTGTCCGTGCCTGTTCCATCTTGGTTGACTAGGTGCGGCAGCTGGAAGGTTGGCGGGGATGCGGGAATTAGACGGGTTCCACCACGGTCTCAGAGCCCAGCCATGTTGCTGTGTATATCAGGCAGACCCTTGGCTCAGCCGACCTATGAAAAAATGAGGGCCTGCCTGCCATCGCCTGCGAGTGTAAGAGGCATGCAAATGCATGGACATTAATGCCCACGTTGGCTCTTCTGGTGCGTCTACATGCAATACACACAGGAGGGGCACCATCCCAACCCTAACCGCTAGAGCGTACGTTTTGCCACACGTAGACTTATCTCCTTCATCTTGGTATTGGTGCATATTGCGAGGAAGCACCGTTTGTTGGCTCAAGGACCGCAGGGCACCCCGAGGGCCCAGCGACATCAACTGGCACGGAAGGTAATATTTCCAAACCAATTGTGGATACCTTGTTTCCCTAAGAATATAGATGACTAAATTCTTGTATTGTACTGACCCCAGCATTTCCCTCGGCTTCCTGCAAGACGAAATCATCAGTCTTTTAGTGTCTCGATCTCCTATTTGGTCATTCTTTCCCGTTCTGTTGGGTTTATCTTGCCTCTGTTTGAAAAACGGAACCGTTTCCATCACTTTCCTTCGACCACTTGACCTCTGAGCTTCAAGATTAAAGTGCAATGGGCATACAGGGTTCAGCCTTGACGATGGGGTACAGTGAGGGACACTTTGCCACGGGTGAAGGACCTAAAACCACTTTACTGCTATCGGATCCATGAATTTTTTTGGCGCCTAGTACGGCAAACGCACACGCTTATAGCTAGTACGGAACGAACACGGTTGGCGGGTTATATAAACACCCGAGGCCATTGATGACCTCAGCTATCAAAGCACTCGTGAGCAAACTTAAATATTCCATTTGGGACGCAGGTCATTAAGCCTCGCGCCACCCAATAGGACCACGCGCCCTTCCTTCTACCTTTTCTTCAACTTTCGTCCTCCAAGTCAACCATGCGTGAGGTTATCTCAATCCACATTGGACAGGCCGGTATCCAGGTGAGTTTACTGTTTGAGACCTTTCCTCTCTTACGCTGCTGACGCTTGACATCCGCGCCCCGCATCCCTTTCTGCTCCCGATAGGTCGGCAATGCTTGCTGGGAGCTGTACTGCCTTGAGCATGGTATTCAGCCCGATGGCCAAATGCCCTCGGACAAGACTATTGGCGGTGGCGACGATGCCTTCAACACCTTCTTCTCGGAGACGGGCGCCGGCAAGCACGTTCCTCGCTGCATTTTCCTGGACCTTGAGCCCACCGTCGTGGACGAGGTCCGCACGGGAACCTACCGCCAGCTGTTCCACCCTGGTGAGAACGATTGCTCGGTTTGTTTTCGTCTTTGCTAGTACCGCTAAAGTTTATCGTTTCTCTCGACAACCACGGATATAAAAACACAAACGTGTAACGAATATTTCCTTTTTTCCCCTGTATCCTTTGCTCCTTTCAGAGCAGCTGATCTCGGGCAAGGAGGATGCCGCCAACAACTTCGCCCGTGGCCACTACACCATCGGCAAGGAGATTGTCGACCTGGCTCTGGACCGTATCCGCAAGCTGGCCGACAACTGCACTGGTCTGCAGGGCTTCCTTGTGTTTAACGCCGTTGGTGGTGGCACTGGCTCTGGCCTGGGCTCTCTGCTGCTGGAGCGCTTGTCTGTCGACTACGGCAAGAAGTCCAAGCTGGGCTTCACCGTGTACCCCTCGCCCCAGGTGTCGACTGCCGTTGTTGAGCCGTACAACTCGGTGCTGTCCACCCACTCGCTGCTGGAGCACACCGATGTCGCTGTGATGCTTGACAACGAGGCCATCTACGGTAAGGGGTTTGTCACGTGTTTATCGCTGGGTAAATACGCGCGCCATCTTGCTGCCCCCGTCTTGTTGCCGTCGTCCTGTTCATATCCAATATGCTTACCCTTTGTGTTCCCCTTCTGTCCAACGCAGATATCTGCCGCCGCAGCCTGGACATTGAGCGCCCGACGTACACCAACCTGAACCGCCTGATCGCCCAGGTCATCTCGTCGCTGACGGCATCTCTGCGCTTCGATGGCGCCCTGAACGTCGATGTGACTGAGTTCCAGACCAACCTGGTGCCCTACCCACGCATCCACTTCATGCTCAGCTCGTACGCCCCCATCATCTCGGCTGAGAAGGCCTATCACGAGCAGCTGTCGGTGGCTGAGATCACCAACGCCGCCTTCGAGCCCGCCTCCATGATGGTCAAGTGCGACCCCCGTCACGGTGGGTTTTCTAGTGGCGTCTTTGTGGCCTTATTGGTGGTTGGTACGCCTCTCATGCGTGTTTTGCAAATGATACTACTTGTCTTTGAGACGGGTTTTCCTAGCATTGGTTTGACTCGACTTATTTTTTATTCCTGCAGGCAAGTACATGGCTTGCTGCCTGATGTACCGCGGTGACGTCGTGCCCAAGGATGTGAACGCCGCTGTGGCCACCATTAAGACCAAGCGCACCATTCAGTTCGTCGACTGGTGCCCCACCGGCTTCAAGTGCGGTATCAACTACCAGCCTCCTACCGTTGTGCCCGGTGGCGATCTGGCCAAGGTTCAGCGCGCTGTCTGCATGATTTCGAACAGCACTGCTATTGGCGAGATCTTCAGCCGCCTGGACCATAAGTTCGACCTCATGTACGCCAAGCGTGCCTTCGTGCACTGGTATGTCGGCGAGGGTATGGAGGAGGGTGAGTTCTCTGAGGCACGTGAGGATCTGGCGGCACTGGAGAAGGACTTCGAGGAGGTCGGTGCTGAGTCTGCTGAGGGCGCCGGCGAAGGAGAGGGCGAGGAGTACTAACTCAATTCGCGACGCAAACAGCATATTGCGGTCTGAGCTTGTAACTGCCAATTGCTGTGTCCTGGCTCACCGGGTAATCCGTAGATCCCTGCCAGCACATAGGGATCGGGTTATGGGTGTCTTAAGAAATCTCGCGGCAATGTAATGGCAACATGTCAGGTGTAATGCATGCTTCAATCAGCAATGTTTCAGCCATAGCCAGCAACTGGAAGCCAAGCCGCCAACTGCATAGCCATAACTTGTTTTCACAACGTTTTTTGGTTGCCATCGTTAGTCCTGTCAGAAACACCCCCTACATGAACATGCGTCCTGCCATGTAAATGAAGGCCTCAGATGGCTGCCATGATTTGGAAAAGCAATTCATAACTTTGAGATTTTACCTTTTAACTCTGCCTGCCATCGCATGTTTAGCATCTAAAGGCAGCATCCCCTAGCGCGTGCCACTCTGGACAGTGTAACCGAAACTTGTAGGAAAGGTAACAGTTGTGTGGCGTCGCTATTCGCACGCCTAATGGTAGCCCATGGGCCATCTTCCATCATCCCAAAACTCGGTTAGCCTGCACGCAAGTATGGCCGTTGGGACCATATAGAGGGCGGGCTAAACTGGGGTTAACGGGGATACGGTGCTGCACGGCATTTGCCGTACCACATAGTTACGGCACCTAGCCCATTACACAGCACCCAAAAGTCCCCTGCCCTGGGTCCCGGAAAAAGGGGGAAAAACCTGAAACAAAAAACCAAAAAGGCTACGCCATGCCAGCGACGCCGCTACGGCTGAACGGGCGACCAGTCCTCTGTCAACGTTCGGGACAGGAGAGGCGAAACACGACACCTCGGGAAGGGAGCCGACCCCAAAACGCACAACGGACAAAAACCGCTCCCCAAAGAACAAAAAATGCTACACGAGAAAAAAACCACAAACCTGACCCTAAAGGGGGGGTAAGGGGTTGGGTACAATGGGAGGAGGAGGTGCATGATGGGAAGGAGGGGAAGGGGCTGTGAATTGCGTGCGGACGGGTGAGCGGTAAGGAGGAGAGCGGGGCAGCAGTTCAGTGAGAGGGAGAGTGTGCGGCACGGGATGTGGGGACAACGGCGCTGAGTTGGGCAAAGTGCGAGGTGCGGTACGTAGGTTAGGGCCTTGGGGAAGAAGGGGCGTTTTTCGATGGGAGGTGGGGCTTGGGGCTGCATGCGAGGGGAGGAGAGGAGTTTTAGACAGGCGAGATGGGGAAGATAGCAGTGAGTAAAGGAGATGAGCCTTAAAGATGCCGGCTGCATCTCCAAGAGTGCAGAGAGCTTGGAGATGAAGGACCACCCTGCTGTGGGTGTCGAATTTGCTTTGCAGCGGGCATAGCGTGTTTTAGTTATGCCAGGCGGCATCATCCAGTACACAATCCATCCTAAGCTGGAATGTGTTGTGTCACTATATGCTTTGTGCCGAAGTCCTAAACCTTCTTTGCAAGCGGCTGACCCGCTCAAAGTGCGTCATCGGTTTTGGACTGTGATATATACTGGCATTATTGTATTAGACTGTATCCAATAAAGACGGTGTATGCCGGCTACTGCAAAGTGCCCCGAGGCAATGCGCTCCCAGAAATTGCCATAGTCACTCGTGATAATCCAGCCATGAACTCTTTCCTAATTTATTTTGCGAGGTGAAAGCAGCAGCACTACGTTTCTTTGTGCAGGAAACCTTGACCTTTTAGGTTATGCATTGAATCCTAGTTATCCGACAGCTACGACGCGCAATGATCCAAGGACGGCCCAGGCCGACCGAGCAGTTGAGGGTCTGGAGCTAGATGTGTGACACACATACTTACGTTACAACTGACTATCTGTCGCGTCTAAAGGCGAAAATGCCAGCCTGTGACAAGAGAAGTCCTTGTTACTCTTTATATGCTCAACGGTTGTAACAGGATGTCAAAATCTGCTTTTGTTTACAGCGGGACTCCGCTGGCCCATAGCAGCAATTCAGCGACAGCTGCACCGAGAGCTCCCGTCAACTTTCCTGCCGCGTCGTCAACCTCGACTCCATGGCAAAGTCAGTCAGCCAGCAGAACTGTTAGGTTTCCTTCCAGTCGCAGATTCCTATGGGACAGGACGGCGCATGGTCGGGCGGAGGTCGTTGAGCTGAAGGTAACCATGCAGGACCGGTTCCGCTGCGTAACTGCTCCCGGAACTGGCATTGTATAAAGCTGTATTGTGGGACCAACACAGGACAATCTGCCGGTCGTCAGCATCCCTTGCGACTTCCACCGTCGTTTGGAGCAAGCTGAATCGGCAGTCGCCATCGTGTCCTGCCCCAATGGCCGCAGACTACACGTTTCCTTGGTGCCCGAAGCACGCAACCGTGAGTATGCACACATCACCTGCCTTACTTCCGCCTGCGGGCCCTAACCTATCTGTTTCACAGCAGCAGCCGGAGGGGAAGGCGCCCTGATAGTGCCGGTGGCGCTAGCGGCTGGGGCGGGCTCGGAGCAACAGCAGGCGCAACTGCAAGTGAGTTTCGGACCAGAGAGCTGATCGCATGGAGTTACAGCTCGAAGACAGGATGGGGGGCTGTTGATGTTGCCTGGCCACGGCAGCCAAATGACTGCCTTACCTCCCTTGACTGGTACCGGGTGCAGATCGCACCTGCTTCAAACACACCACGCCATGCCCAACTACTCAGGCTCGTATGGACACACTGCACGCGCGTACAGACTGTACCGCTAAACGCCATGTTTATCTCTCCCGCATGGCCGCCCATTCCCTGCCCCCATAGGAGCGACTGGCCTCGCTGATGCAGACCCTGCAACACGGCTTGGATCGCCGGGGACCCGCCTCCCTCGCAACTGGCTGGGCCCTGGGCGTCACCCTCAGCTCGCAATCGCAACCGCCCACAACTGCTGCGGCCGCAGCATCAGCAGCAGCGACCTTTGTGGCGTCATTGCTGCTGCCGGCAGCGGCGCTGACGTTGACGCCGCTTTACGGCAAGCGGCTGTGCGATGTGCCCTTCGCGCAGGCGCTGATGATAAGTCAGCAGCAGCAGGGGGCAGCCGCAGGAGACGTGGGAGCAGCAGGGACTGGCGCCGGAGAGCTGCAGGTGGGTAGTGCTGGGATTGGTGTAGCATGCTCGCAAGGGGCCTGGCGGAGGTGCGTGCATGTAGAGGACAGGGGAGCTATCAGAAATGGCAAAGGCATGGAGGCATGGGGAGGGATCGCATGTTCAGGACTGACGGTGCAACGCTATGACTGCGGGTCCGCGACGGGTGATAGTAGTTGGGACTGGTTGCAGCTGATTTTGGCTGAGATGCGGGGGTCAAAGACCATACCATACCATAGGAAGCCACAGGTTAGGGCAAGCAAAGGGGACAGAAGACGGCAGGGTGCCATAATACAAATGTTGGTTAGTATTCCCTACCGATACCGAGTCCGCGGTGGCGTTGAACTGTGGACCCTCCAGCGAGCGGGCGTGGCTGAGATGGGGTGGAAGGGAGGGCGAGAGCCCCGGCGCAAGACTTCAGGCTGGCCGCATGGTATCTCGTAAAAGCAACCTTCGCCTCCTTCTATCACAACTTTCGCCCATGTGCCATTCCCTCGGTTTACCTAATCCCTCGTGCCTACCCCCCTCTCCCGCCAGACCGGCTATCTGTCCATGGACCAGGCCCGCAGCCTGCTGCCGCTGGCAGCCGACGACGTCAACGTGAGGATGTTCTTGGGAGGAATGGATGAGGGGAGAAGACAGGGAACGTGGGGAGATGGTGGGGCAGAGGAAGAGAGGGAAGGGGGCAGAGGAGGTGAGGGACAGCACAGCCGGTAGCTATGGGGTCCGGGCACAACCTCTCGGTTCCGTTGACTTGGAAGCCCCTCCGCCTCCTTGTTACCCCCAGGTGTACAGCATGCCCCTGGTGGGCGTGTGGGTACGTGGAGCCCGCGGTCCCGAACACCCCCTGGTGTACTGCACCGCACTCAAGTTCGCGTACGGCACCGTACTGCCGGACCGCGTAACGCAGCCTGACGGGTCCTTTCTGGTGCTCCTGTTCACCGGAGGTGAGGATGGGGTAAAGAGGAAAAGACTAACGAACCGTGTGAGGATGGGGTGGGGGCTGGGGATGAGGCTGAGGCTGAGGCCATTAAGGGTGGGGCTGTAAGGAGCTGGAAGGCGCGGAGGGTTAGGGAGGGAAGACGCCGGACTCAAGGTATGGTATATGTAGAGGGACGGGAAGGGCCATTGCAAGACCTGGGGTTGCCGAGACCTGGCTTCACAGCACCGTCATGACCCATGCGGCCGTGTTGTCCCTCCATCACGTGGCCGGACAGGGCCCTGCTTTCCTTGTGGGCTGGGCATCTGATTTTAGTGGTACTCGCGCTCGCCTTCGTTGGCGATACGGCACGGATATGAGAGCGATATTGTCTATTCCCCCACGTGCTGTCCTGCTGTATCTTCTGGACTCGGCCCGCCCCACACAGATAGCCCGATGCCTCGCTGCTACGAGGCGCGCTTCTCCGACCCAACCGCACCCAACCAGCAGGACCTGCAGCAAACCCAAGCCAACACCGCCGCAGCAACCCCGGGCGGAGCCGGTATCGGGGGTGGCAGTGGCGGTCTTCGGCTGCTGCCGTACGCGGTTTGTACTGAGCTGGCAGCCCCGCCGACCTCGGCCCCTGCTGCTGAATCACATGCCCTGCCTGGCAGCAGCAGAGGCAGCGGAAAACCTCCGCAGGATCCTGCTTTCGTGGAACTGAGGCCGGTGCTCGACTCCTCTGCAGCAGCACTGGCGGCCTCAGGAGCGAGAGGAGGAGGATGCCTGCTGATGCTGCAGCCGCCGCAGGCATCGCTGCCAGCAGTAGCACCCGCGCCCCCGGCGCACCTTCCTGCGGCGGCTACGTCGCTTCAAGGGGGCTATTCCCAGGCCCATGGCGGCGGACACACGCAATCCTCCCGCATTGGACACGGTTATAGCCGCAGCTGGGCAGGTGGCCAGTTACCGTCCCGCTCGCACGTGCAGGAGCCGGCGCAACAACACGACCACCCGCTAATGCGTCAGACCTACGCAGGAGGAGCTTCCTGGTCCGCTGCTTTTACGGATACCGCGGAGGCGAATTTGGGGGCCAGCGTAAGGGGCATGGATTTCGGCTTAGGTCTGGGCGGGCGCCCTGATCCTCACAGTGCTGTACGACAGGGGACGCTGACGGCGGCCAATACCCCTGGTGTTGCCGCCGTAGATGCTAGTGTACAAAGGGGTTCCTCCTTCTACGGCGAGTACGGTCTGTATAGCGAGTGCGGAAACGTGTACGACTTGCGCGGCAGCGGCAGCAAGCTGATGACCAGCCCCAGCAAGGCTATGAAGGTTCTCAAGGCGGGCGGAGGAGGGGCAGCAGCAGCAGGAGGAGACGCAGCGGCTAGCGGACAACTTGGAGGAGCAACAGCGACAGCGTTAGGAGCAAGAGGGGCCGGCAGTTACCCCAGCGTGTCCGTTGGTCACGAGTACGCAGCAGGAGCAAACCCAGACGGAGGAGGAGGACCCACGGTGCCCCCGGGGCCCATGTACGGCAGCGCGACAGTAGCATCGGCAGCTGGAGCTGGAGGGAGGAGGACGATGACGTACGATGATGGAGGAAGCGGAAGGGGATGCGGACCTGCTGGCTTTCCTCCGGTTCGCGACTCTCCTCCGGTGCCTCGAACAATGGTTGTGCCCACGCCCTTCAGGTCTGCCCGTAATATTGGGTATGGGTTTGGGGCCAATTCTGACTCAGCAGGATTTTGTTGGTAGCGGAGTTGAGCTCCGTTACGTGCTAGAGTGCGCTCGCCTGCCTTCGCTTGCCTCCCTCCAAACGTTGGCTTCCATGGATCACAGCGTGCTATGTTTTTAGCCGAACTATATACCAGCATGCGTCGGCATAGCTGCACCACACAGCTGCCAACCTCTTAGCCTTGCACCCACCTGATCCCCCACAGGCCGGTACCTGCTGCCGCTGCTGATCCAGCCCGAGGCGAAGCGGGTGGTAGCGGATGCGGGGGCAACGACGAAGGCACTGTCGGTGCGCCCATAATGCCGCGTGACCCCAGGTAGGCCCATGGCTCTGTGCTACGGTGACATGGGTGAGCGCAGAAGCTATGTGTCTTTGTATGCAAATGATGGGAAAGCTCTTGCCGCTGTTGCCGGCCTTCCTTTGCGTGCCATAGGCGTCGTCGTTGGGGGCACGTACCTTCTTCCCCATTCCATTCAATCAACCCTTTCAGCGCGCTTTCATGTTAACCTTCCTACCCCATTCTGTCATGTCGCCCTCCCCTTGCAGGCTGCAGCACAGGGTTTTCACTGCCCCATCCGCAGCGCCCCTAACCGCCACACAGCTTCCGCCGCCCTCCTCTGCCACCGCAGCCTCTGCGGCGGATGCCACAGAACGGAACCCCTTCTCCTCCACTTCGGCGCCTGCCTCCGGCTCCACGGCTCCCGGGTCCTCCACCTCCGCCGACTGGGCTGAGGCGGTGGGCGGAGTCATGCACACGCCGGCAGTGGGGCTGAGACCGGCACACGCCTCGCGGACAGCTGCGACAGTAACACCAGGGCCGCATGCAGCCTACGACAGCTACCAAGCCCAGCAGCAGCAACAACAGCCATACTCCTTTTACCATCACATGCAAGAGGAACAACAGCAGCAGCATTCCCAACATCAGTGGCACTCAGGTTCTGGACTTACCGGCGCCGATGATGTCAACGGCGGCGGTAGCGTCAGAGGAACCGGGGCTGCAGTATCAATGCAGGCACCGGCCCCGCCACCAGCGGGACCCGCGGCAGCAGCAGTAGACCCTTTGGTGCAACCGGGGAATAGTGCCGCGACGGATAGTGCTCCGGTGGGTAGGCCCCCTGTGGCCTCATCAAGGGTGCGGCAGTTCCCGTACGGCATTGATCTCTCTCGCTACGGTATTACATCTCGAGCGGCCATCGGCTCTATACGGCAGCAGCAGGGGTTGCATGTCTCCGACGGGGCTGTCGGCACAGACGAAGGGAGAGGCCCCCACGACCTGTATGGAGTCGCCCCAGCCTCGGTATCGTCGGCGCCATCAGCAACCCACACACCAGCAGCAGCTGCATCCGCGCCCGTAGCCATCAACCAGAGCCTGGACGCATGGCTGAGGGACAGCGCCTCTGCTGCTGCAGCAGCAGCAGAGGACACTGCAGCCACCACTGCTGCTAAGAGCAATGTGGGCAGTTCCGGTGGTGGTGGTGGAGATAATGGGCGGGCTGGGGCAGAACCGGCAGGACTGCAGCCGTGTTCGCTGGATGCCAATCGACTACACCCAGACCAGCAACGGCAGCCATGCGAGGGAGTTTGTGTCGAGGAGTCGTCAGCCTGTGTCATGGGGTCTGTTGGAGGAGCTGCCACTGCTGCAGCTGCTATGAGTGGGAGTATCGGCGCGGATGCAATTGCTGCTTCCTTCGCTGCCGGTGGCGACGAAGGCTCCGGCCTCTCCTGGGACCCCGCGGAGCTGCGGCGGGAGGTGGTTCGGCTCCGAAAACAGGCAAGGACTCCGGGCTTGAACGCGCAGATGAGGGGTAGGGGCATGCAGGGCTCCGAAGCTATGCATTGACGCCACTTTCTGCATACAGGAACCGGGAGGAGAGAGCGGTCATTGGGATCTGTGCTGTTTAAGGTTCGCACGCACTGTCCCTCATCACATTGTTACAACTCGTGTCCTAAGCTGCTTTTCTCAGCTCCTCCGCCTTTCTTGCCTTCCCACCACAGGTCGCCTGCCTCCAGCAGCAAATCGCCAGCTTGACGGCTTCCTCCGCCCCCTCTTCTGCCTCCGCTGTCATACCGCAGCCAGCACCCCAGCCATCTGACCTTAGCCCCTCCTGTTGGGCTTCCCAGCATCAACAGCACCAGCAGCGACTGCAGCCACCTCCCCTCGAGGTTTCCGCCCAGCATGCTGCACCCGCCCAATACCAGCAGTCACACCAGCCCCAGCAGGCTAGGATGTTGCCGCCACCCCATCACCCACAACCCCCCATTCGTCACCACCAGCCCATGTCCGACGTGCCACCGTGCAGCAGCCGCGCTGCCAGCATTCTGCCCTCCGCTCCAGAGCATCCGCCGCTGGGACCCGCTAGGGACACAGCATCCTGGAGCAACCTGGCAGCGGGGCCCGGGGCAGCGTGTGCGGATGGGAGCGCGCCGGCAAGCGGCTGGCAGCAAGAGCATGCAGGTCTCGTAAGCTCGGCACATGCTGCAGATACCTGTTCCTCGCCGCCTCAAGAGCAGCACCAGCAGCCGCAGCCGCTTTCGCAGGTAAACCACTGGCAGCAGCGGCAGACGGGAGATGCAGCTGCAGCGGCTAGTGCACTGCAACACAACGATTCCAGACCTGCACCTGCGGGGCAAGCGCTAAGTACTGGTGAACTGCGGACAGCATCAGCCGCGGTGGCGGTGGACGAAAGAGCAGAGAGGATGTCGGTCTCGGGTGCGTCAGAAGACCGGGGGAGCGTCTGGAGCATGGGGTCCATTCGAAGTTCCCTTATGTCGTACCAGTCGTACAAGACGCATGGCAATATGGCAGCCGTCACCGTCACTGGCGCATCCTCAGCTGCCAGTGCCTTTGCTGCTGGTACGGCCGGGCATGAGAGTACTGTCGACCACACGGCGAAGATGCACGCTGCTCCTCCTGCTGCCTCAGCTGGAGCGGGAGTAGCGACGATGGCGGTGGCGATGGAGCCGCACCGGACCATCGTGCATAGCGGATCGGCTGGGGTCGAGGCGATGATCCGTGTTCAGGGTCCTGACGCGGAGTCCTCCTACGGCCAGCACACTGGCCAGCAGTGCCGCAACGAACCACAGCCAGAAGAGCCCTTGCAGCGGGAGCCTACGCTCGGGGGCCTGGCCACAGCGCCGTCCCGACCGGTGCATTCGTTGCGTACAACTGCGGGCATGGTGTCACCGGCGATGCCGACTGGGTTAACGGCAAGGCCTGACCTCTTGCGACATACAATAGGAAGAAGCGCTGTCAGCATCGGTCGGGGGCGGCGGCGTGCACGGCGTACCAGCAGCAGCAGCAGCAGCGACACTGAGAGCAAGGGTTTGCGCTCTATGGACTCGGGTACGTTGGCGGTGCTGTCGGATATAAGGTGGTTACTCAGATCCCATGGACAAGCAGGGGAGGTATCTTTAGTGACTGCCACCAACTTTGCATTTGTTGACGGTAGGAAGGCTTGCCTCCTGTTCGCCCAATTGCAAACCCCGGCTGTTCTGACCTTACCCTGCTGTAGATGAGGACACGAGGACGTCAAGATCTACAATTTCATGCGCCGCTTCATCTGTACGGCTTGCAGCTGCTGCGACTTCTGCTGGGGCCCCCAAGGATGCCTGGTCTGCAAAGCACGGCACGGCTTATGGGGACAGCGCCGCAGCCAGCCTCGCAGGCCTCCCATCGGTTTCAGAGGTAGGTTCTAGAGCCTGGCGCACGGCTTCATCACCTCCATCACCATCGGTTTTGATACAGCAGTCGACCGTACGGTCTGCAGCGCCGCTGGCAAGCGGCACGCTGACGGCGATGACAGCATCCGTGTCGACTGGCGGACTGGGCATTGTTCGTACCAAGTATGTGCCTCTAGAAGATGACAGTGACAGCAGTGACTCTGAATCGGAGATGAGGTTGATGCAGAAGTACGGTATTCGTGATATCTAGGCGGGGTAGGTACCATCGCGATCAGGTGACAAATCCAGGCCGGGAAGGGATTGACGGATATTGGTGGGTAATATGTACGCGGAGCATGGTACCACGCGTCTCAGATGTATGGGTTGATGGTGTCTGGGGTAGTGCTGATTGGGGGTGCATACACCTGATCAACCCAATACCGCATAATGCGCACCGGTAGATGCGTATACCCTATCAAGGCAGTAAGCGTCCCTGCGCCAGCACACACTTAACTGCTGACTTGACGTACGCAAACTTCAATGTAATGTGTGTTTGTGAGTTATCATATCTGGCTCCGTGTATTCCAATGAGATAGCCGGCTAGGCCCCTGAGGAGGTAACGAAAAAAACTAACCGTGGGACAAAGCTCCACCATTGGTTGCATCATGGTTGGTGTGTGGTGTGCTTGGTGAACCGTGGTCGCATGGGCGTCCTTTCGAGGTCCCACGAGTTAATGGCATATTTTGATGCCTGCCGTAGTGGCTCATGAAACACCAACTCTGGACCCTTACACTGCAACAACCAAGCAAACGAGATTAAACGCGCCGGGAGAAGTCAACTGAAAAAGGGGGAATAAATCACCTGGGTCCATGACGCGCTCACCCGCACACCCTTCCGCACCAGACTAAGTTAATAACTCTACCAACCAATGGCACGGTAGCGGACCCAATCTGCGTGGACATGTTCCTACCCTTAGCCCACGCAGAGACAACCCCCTTTCCCTATCCCGTTTTACCGCCGCTCTACCATCCCCCGCCTAGCGGCTTACAACTCGCGAAAACCACACGTCTACGTTGCTAACGCACACATCTACTGCTGACCCTTCCAGCTGCAGCTGGACGAAGACCACGATGGGGACTCAGCTCCTGGTTGTTGTGCCGCCCCCCTCCCTGGCAGCGCTGAACCGCCGGTCAAGGCGGCCTGCCCGACCATACTCAGCACCCGTAATGTGCTCCACCCGGAGCTCCAACCCATGCCTGATCGCTAGCTCCACCACCTGCCGGCTGACGGGCCGTTGGTGATCACTGCCGCGGCCTGCCTGTTGTGCAGCGGACAAGCACCGCCGCCCCAGTGAACCGGGACACCACGACAGTGGCGCCCTCATCATGCAATGCGCGGCTGCCGATTCACTACTAACCACGGTCCCAGCAAAACGCCTCGGGGCCCCATGTGGTGCCGAAACCACCACCGCTGGCCTTAATGCAGAAGACGGCGCCAACGGGCCCCCCCACTAAACTTTCCCTCTCACCAAGTCGTATCCCTGTGCTGTGCGTTAGTTGACGCCGTCTTACACCTGAAGAAGCCGACCTAAAGACCTAACAACGTAAACCCGAGTCCTCAGCTGCCTCGACTGCGGCGCTGTAACTGCCGCTGCCGCTGTACTGCCGCTGCCACTGAACTGCCGCTGCCACTGAACTGCCGCTGCCGTGTACTACCGCACCACCATAGTATGCTGTCAGGCTTTACCGATCTGTAGCCGCCACACACAGCCGGGTCATGGTTGGGTGTCTAGGCCGCGCTTCCTCTGGCTGCGCTGTGGCGGGCACCGCTGGGGATGCCCCCACCGGCTTGCCAGGTTCCGCCACCATGGCACCCTGGCCCGGGGCCAGCGCCGCTGCAAGCGAACTCCAGAAGCCTCCAGATCTGGGTCATCTCCCACCTCGAGCGTCCACCAGCACTCCCTTGTCACTGTAAAACGGCAGGAAAACGGGCCGGACGAAACGGCCCATGACTATCCCACTTCGCCCTGGGATTGTGTTGCCCATATCGCCTTGGGGAGGCGCATAAGTACCGGTATCCCACTTCGCCCTGGGATTGGGTTTTCCCATTTAGCATTGGGCAGGCACTAAGGTGTCCCACTTCACCCTGGGATTGGGTTGTCCCATATTGCTATGGGGAGGCGCACAAGTATCCCACTTCGCCCTGGGATTGGGTTTTCCCATTTAGCTTTGGGCAGGCACTACCGTAAAGTGTCCCACTTCACCCTGGGATTGGGTTGTCCCATAACGCTATGGGGAGGCGCATAAGTATCCCACTTGATCCGTATCTGTGTTAATAAGTTCCAGCCGGGCGTAAGTTACCGGCGTCTTCTACATTCGAGGGGATGCGGACATGTTGGGTGCCTAACCGAAGGTATCAAGCACAGACCACCCGATTAGCAAAATCAAGCCCTTCTTAATTAGAAATAGGTGAAATAGAGCGCACAAAAGTTTGCATGCGATACCAGGTCAGCCTCATATCCGTACAGCTGCTGTGATGGAGCCATGGAGGGATGCCGTCAAAGAGGCTTGTCCAGTACGGGCATTTTCCAGCGCACGTGTACCACATGGGCCTAGCTGCTTTATTATTGCTTATTTCTATTCATTTGGCAATTCTATGCATAGATCAAAGTTCGTCCTGGCTGTCCGTGGAGGTGCGAGCAATGAGCTGCATAATTGAAGAGCATTCTCGTTTACGCTGCTGCACAACGTTTATACATTCAGCCATAACTTAGGACCATATCCAGAAAGCTATAACGTGTTATGCAGACACGATGGAACGTGTGGTGACGATGACCCTTTGCGCTGGGCTGTCCCTAGCCAGCTGCCCTTGCGACAGTAAAATTTTAGTCTGTGGTGCTAGTGTCGGGCAAGAAGCTATGTTTCCCAGCATAACGTCCAGTGACCCTAAAGGGGACTTTGGGGTGTCGCGCGTGTCGGTGGGTTTTGCGGGCCCATCAATTATGCATGGGATTTTGTGGGACATTGGCGCGTATTTACATCCGGAACCCTCGTTATGGTATTTCTGTACATAACGCGCATACAGAAAGTTAGTGATCATACGTATGTATAAGCAGACTGTGTATAGGTGCGCATTCGCCATGCGCACGCAACGTTACTCCCTATGAAAGCTATCAACGCTGTCTGTATCACATTAGCGCTAGCTGTTACCATGAGCAGTGCAGTCCTACGCACTAGCCTTTCGTCGCTCCGGGAGCTTCATTCCCAACTTATCGGTGTTGCACCATCGTCTGCTCTGAACAACGAACACAATGTTTACCCTACGGTACCAGCATCTATTTCGGTCTCTATGGGCAGTACTGTTCTCCTGCCTACCGGAGCAGTAGTAACTGTGAACCAGGACACCATCCGACAGCGCATCGTCGACCCAGTTCAGGTTGTCTACGACCGGAAGTCTGGCGGTACCAAGCATTCATGGGCGGGATGGAAAGATGGTGCTGGCCGATTTCTTATGGACCTCTTGCCTAGGATCCGGGACAAAATGCCCGTACTGGACAAGCCTCTTTGACGGCATCCCATGGAGGTCGTGATGATGGAGCAAAGAGCTAAACCTGGGATCCGTTGATGATTTGTGTTTCCTTATGTACGCCAACGCGCGCTTGTTTAGTTCTGACCATTACATCGCTTTATGTGGTGTTACAATCTAAAACCGGTGCCCCAGAGAGAAAGCTCCTGCAGTCAAGCACATCAAGCCAGGATACTGGCGTACTCATGTTGCGGCCAGCAACTTAGTATCAACAGCTTACGCCGAAGGGCACTCTGGAGCCACGATGTCAGAGCAAGGTAATAATGGCGATACTGCCAGTCAGAGGAGTGGTGCTAGCGGAGCTAGCGGTCTCAGTGAAACCTCGTCTCAACGCTCTGACGTAAACTTTTTAAAGAAGCGGTAAGTCATGGCTGCCGAGGCGTGCTTCCATTGGCCAGCTGTCGACACGTAAACTCCTTTTTTTTTGCGGCCAGGGCACATGCTACACATGGCAACGAGGGAGAAGAAACAGATCTTTTGGAGCAGAGGAGGAACATCCAAGAAGGAGTGTTCGCATGTAGGTGCTAGGTCGGCTGCGACAGCTCCTCTTCGCGCTCGTTCATAGTCAAATTCTCATAAAGGAATATATACAGACTGCTGTTTATGCAACTTGCAGGCATGCACACTTTGGTTCGACAGACAGCGCTTTCGCATTGGAAATACGCCGTCTTACAGGTTGCGCTGGAGTTCCTGGTATGTCCTGCTTCTTATTTACATATGAAACTCTCCGCAGTTATTTCCGGCTATGGGCAGCACAATCCTTTGCTTGGGTTGTATGCCCTAGTGTCGCAGCTAGCACACACACGCGTATGGTGGCATGGATTGTTTAACGGTCGTGAGGGTCTATTACCGTAATGAGGGTTTGTATAGTGATGTGTAAGATCCGCTTAACTTCGCCCTCCTTTGCACCTGGCCCGACAGATGAACTTTACTGTGGTCTTCAATCCAACGTTTCCCTCATGGCAAATAGACACGACCTCACCGGTCTACCAAGTCATGCGCTGGACAATTTGGCGTGTTCCCATTGTGCGAATGTACGGCTATCGTATGTACGGTACGTCCAATGGAGTCCCACTTTCTCCCATGTATAAGTGTCAGTGCGCGCACGGTGGGATTGCGGATTGGATACATGTGGGGGAATTGTCGTTATTTTACCTCCGCATATGGTTCGTCTTCTCCTGCGACTTCCTGCCAGACTTCCATTCCCCAACGCACAAAATTCATGTCGTTGTTGCCACCCACAGTAACGGTCATGTATGTCATGGCGGTGACCGTGTTTCTTTCCGTGGTTGGGCTGGCGTGGCTTACGCTGGCCATGCGGAAGCAAGAACAATCCAAGTGGCTGCGCACGGCAGCCATTGGCATTCATGTGGTGTACGACATCATGTACTCCATGTGCTACGTTGCGTTTTTTGGTAAGTAGACGATCTCCAAACTGGGTTGGGAAGGTACGCACACTATGGGGCTGACCAAGGGTGGGGTAATGCCAACGGTTGAAGGCGCAACCCTAGCATTGCGTTTTATATCAATCAAAGATGCTTGACCTCAATTCCTCAGTAATCCTGAAGGAGCGCTTTGCGAGGAATGGTACTGGCATAGGCAGCAGTACGGAATAGTCCTTGGGGCTATCACGGTGCCATTCACGCCCCTCCACTCGCTCATAATCCCGTTAACAGACTACTTCACCTTCATGGCGGACTGCGACTTCCTACACAGCAAGAAACACATGTATTTCCAAGACGTAGGTAAGTGGGAAGCGGGGATATCGCAATGCAAAGTGTAACCATTAGGGGTATGGTGTGTTTGTTGTCAGGGATGCAAGCTGACAGTGGACTAGGCGTGCAAACCTGAAGGACCAAGAAGGTTGAAACTGGGGTGCATGAGGGTAACATCGGCTGTTATGACAAGACGTGCCGGAGAAGGTCGGCGCGAAAACGAATGGTGTTCTACAGGACGTACCTTTTCCGCTCATGCAGCATGGATCTCCACCTGCCTTGTAAAGTACCTTGTCCCCTTACTGCTGCGCTCCTATGTACTTCGCACCCCTGGCCGGTGAACCTCCCCTACCCAGTACCTTTCGGCGTTCACCCGCCTCTCCACGCCCAACAACGACCCAACAGCATGCTTGTTTACCCTCAACGTCGCCTCAACCCCCGCTCTCCCTCCTCAGACTGCCTGGCGATGCCCCACCTCCTACACATGCTTGTATCGCTGGGCACAGCTTTGCTGTTTCTGTGCGTGACGGCGCTGATGGTAGTGGCCTCGTGCAACCTGGACCCCGTGTCCAAGGGATACCTCTCTTCACCGGCAGCATATGCGCGACTGCGGATCCTCATCGCCAAGGCCGTGTTTGTTGTGCTCGCCAACTGCGTCGATAGCAACCCCAAACCACAGAGCATCGGCATGCTTATTGCAGTGGCACTCATTTGCTACTGGAACCTTAGGGAGGTGAGGGAGGAGTCGGAGGCGGGGCGGGCAAGAGGAGTGCCGTGGGGGTCGGGTACAGGGTAGTGGGAGGCAGAGGGCCATAAAGTGCTGTTTAGCCGCTTCCTTCACCACTGAACATTCACAGGCACGCCTACCCGTGCGGGATCCCCATGCAAAGTTGCTATATAGATTGATGCCATGCCATACCTCAAACTGCCGTGACGTCCGCCCAACCCTCCCTCGCATGCAGATGCCATTCTACCGGCGTGTTGTCAACGTGGTTTGGACTGCTCTGTGGTGCGGCGTGTTGTACCCGGTTGTGCTGCTGATGATGCTGGCCTACACGAAGGACACGACAGACCAGTACCGCAAAGTCATGACAAAGGCAAGCGGAAGGGGATGGGCGGGGTTATTGGGGTAAGCCACCACATGGGGGCATGGCACTTTGCCGGCCCTTAATTGTAGCTGCATATAGCCGTCCTTCATGGCTACATACAACCCCAAGTTAACCCCAATCCCCCTCAACGTTCATCACCTTACCCCAGAACGTGTTGTATGGCATCTTCCCGGTCATCCTGGGATCCTTATGCCTCTGCTACATCATCGTGCGGCTGTCCTCCCGCCCCGCGCGCAAGTTCGTTGGACTGCCCCCGGATGCGAAGTTGCGGAAGATCCATCGCTTTGAGTCGGTGCATGAGGTGGAGCGGCTGGCTCGGGTGATGCGGCGGTTTGACATTGACGGGGTGGTGGACGAGACGTCCGCGGCGCTGGGTGAGACCATCATCAAGGCCGGCATGCAGGTGTTCCCCAACTCGCCGCACCTGCTCATCCTCTACGCCAACTTCATGCTGGAGGTGCGCAAGGACGGCCCCGCGGCGCGCACGCAGCTGCAGCTGGCGGGCAAGCAGGCGCCGGGCCTGGTGGAGAAGTATCAGGTGAATGGGGAGCATGGTATTGAGTGCATCTACTACAGTACCAGGTGGGGTACATAGGTCCGGGGATTGGGGGGCGACTGGAATGGGGTGACTGTGCGGAGGACGGGCCTTTGGTTTCATATGGGAACTCTCATCCCGCCCTTGGCGTGTGCGCGTACGTGTTCTCATCCCGTAGGCTCTTGCTGACCCACATTAGCTTCTTTGCCTTTATTGTCCTCGTCCGTCCCCTTGTTCTCCAACATCTGACCGTTGTTCCCTACCGGCACCTCCCTCTCCCTCCTTCCCTAACTTAAGATCTTTTGCACGAACGAGGCCTCGAAGCGCCTCAAGGACAGCCAGGAGGGCGGCATGGACCTCCAGGCCTACATCGAGTTCAAGAGGAACTTCAGGTGTCGAGGGGACGGGTTTAGGCCCCAGTGCCTTGAGGGCGTGGGCAAACGAGGGGCAGGATAGAGGAAGGCGGTAGGGCGTCAGGTGGACGTAACATTGCACACGCGGGCGCAACATCCCTGTAGGCTACGTTTATGTGACGTTATATGCGACGTTTTCACCATCTCCGCCGTCCCCTCTTGCTTCCCGCCCTCCTCCATCCGGCTGTCTCCCTCCTTCACGTCCGCCTCCCCTCCTCCCTGCAGAGCCGTGCTGCGGGTGCACCGGGAGGTATTGGCGCTGCAGGCGGAGCTCTGGCAGATGTGCATGCGCTCCTCGCTCCGGGTGGCGCAGGTGGGGGGGTGGGGGAAGGGCTTTGACGTCCGTGGCGAACCAACCAGCCGAATGAAGGGGCGGATTGTTGCGGCAGCGCATGAGGCCATGTCCTCTTGTGCCTTCCCCATGTGATTCCATGCTTGCCGCTGTTGTCTTGCTGCCCCAAGGTGGATGATGCGCTAGAGGAGTTGGATGCGGCCGCGGCCAGGGCGCACCAGGTGTACAAGAGGTAGGTGGTGGTTGCATGCACGAAACCCTGGGGTGCGAGCATGCATGCATGGCGGGAAGAAAGGCGGAACTTGGAGGTCGAACCGGATACCCAGGGCTAGCTCCATGCAGTTGACTCTTGTGTGAGGTCGCGTACCGTCCGCAAGCAAACAAAAGGCATGAAAACCAGGCAAGGACACGCCGTACCGGTAACAACGGAACCTGTTGTATGCGTGCAGGGTTTTGGAGCGCTACCCAACCAACGGCAAGCTCTTGCGCTGCTACGGCAAGTTTCTGGAAGACGTGCGGCATGACCAGGTGAATGGTTCGAAGGGGAAGATAGTTACTGCAAGCTATGGTGCAGCCTAAATCCCAACACGCCGTTTGTTGACCTCCTTCAAGGCTACGTCTCGGTCCGCCCCTAATCCAGCGCGCACACGGTTTGCCTGGGTTCTCAGGCTTCTCTTCATGCGTGCGTGTCCGTGCCTTGCTCTTGCAGATTGCGGCTGCTCGCGCCTACGCCGAGGCCAGCCGCAGTGTCGGCAATGCGCTGCTTTCCCTGGACCTGGCTGGTGGGGCCGAGGCAGGAGCGGACGTGGGCGGTCCCAAGCGGCCCGAGTTTGTGACGTCCATGTCTCTTGAGGACGATGCAGTGGTGGTGATTGACGCGGAGGGAACCATCATGATGGTCAGCCAGGTGTGGCAGGATCTGGGATAGACGGGGCAAATGGGATTTACGCGAGAGGCACCCGAATCCGTTTGACGTTGCATGCAATTCGGGGCGAGGTCGTTTGTCCGGAACGCCGAAATTCGCTTACCTTGCTGCCGTTGCAGCCCCCACTTAGCTCGTGGTCCGGTATCCCCCTCCTCCTCACACAGGCGGTTCAGTCTGTGTTTGGCTACTCCAAGAGCGAGCTGGAGGGCGCCAACGTGAGCGTGCTGATGCCCCAGCCCTTCTGTCAGCGCCACCCTGGCTACATGCAGCGCTACGTCAGCAGCGGGGAGCCGCACATCCTGGACACCGTCAGGGAGCTTGTGGCGCTGCACAAGGTGGGAGACGGGGCGGGGGGCGGGGAATGGCTAGAGAGGCAAACTGTCTAAGGAATAGCAGGGGCAGCGGAGTTAGGGCCTAACATGCGGGCGATGACCGGCTGTCAGGATGGCTAGCTGTTAACTCCGACTCGCCTCCTCTTGCAGGATCGATATGTGTTTCCAGTGTCGCTCGGCGTTACAAAGCTCAGTGGCATCGGAGCGGACAGGTAGGGGTTGGAGGTGCTGCTCATCGCGGATGCCTATAACCCTATGAAGCAACCGCCATGCAGGGCTTCCCTTCCTGCTGCGCCAAAAGAACTCTCAAAAGAACTTGTAAGGAGTAACACTTTAGCTCTTACCCATTCCCTGCCTTCAAATCTGCTACCCCTCAGCGTCTTCCTTGGCGTGATCCGTCCCCAGTCGTCTAGCTTGGCGATCCTGCGCGTCTGGCTGTCCCCCAACGGAGTCATCCTCTGTGCTGATCAACAATTCTCCAGCGCTGTTGGTTACGTGGAGGGAGACCTGGTGCGTTTGGGCTAAGGGTACAAGAGGCATGGCGCAAAGCGGCGTCTCCAGGCGTCGACTGTTACGCATGCTTGGGGCGTTAGCACATGCACGTTGGGCGTCCCTAGCTGCAATGGATCAAACCCTCCGCGCAACGTTTTCACTTCAATTCCTGTCCTGTTAACATCTCCTGTACACGCCTAATTCTCCCCCAGGTGGGCCACACCCTGTCCTCGCTGGTGTCGGGTTCCCCCGAGGCGCTGGAGTCGCTGCTGGAGCGCTGCCGCGCCGCCAGCCCCGAGCAGCTGGCCTCGCAGCGGGAGGGCGAGTGCGTCACCGCGCAGCTGCTGCTGGCGCACCGCTTCCTGGAGCCGGTGCTCATGGACATCACCGTGCGCATGGCGGGTGAGCGGAATGGGGGAGGGACTGGGGATGGGGAGTTAGCCGGCAAGAAAGTGGGTTGGAAATTGGGAACAATGGAGGAGCCCATGTGGTATGGTGAAAATATGTACTTACCCAGCGAAAAGGACCTTGCTATACTCGCCAGAAAGCTGGCCCTGTCTGGCCTTAAGCATGACTCGGGGTTCCACTGCTTCATCCTCTGCTTCTGCACCCCTTCCCTTGCTTCCCCTCCATGGAAAGGCTCCGATGCGCAGCGCATCCTGGTGCTGCACTGCCGTCGCTGCGACGGTCTGGAGGGCGGTTTGCTGGCGGTGGACAGCCACATGCGCATCCGCTTCGCCTCCGCCGAGGTGGCGCTGCTGCTGGGCTACTCCATGCGCAAGCTGGCCAGCATGCGGCTGGACGCACTGCTGCCGCAGCCGTTCAACACCATGCACGCAAAGTGGCTGAGGGTGCGTGGATCAGAGCGGGGGCAACGGGTGTGGGCGGTGCTCTGGGCATGCTGTGTGCGAGCCGGGCCAAGAGAGGGGACTTGACATGGGGAGCGGCGAGGAAGGCACACACTGTGGGAGGCGCATTAAAACGTGCAAGTGCACGTACCGAACTAGCGCTTATCCACTCGTCCCTCCCACAGGACCCTCCCCACCACGCGCCGCCTACCAGTTGCCGCTCCGGAGCTGTCGTACACCTGCTGTCCGAGACTGGCACCCAGGTCCCGGTGCGGCTCAACATCAAGACCGACGTGGAGGCTGCCACGGCCGCCGCCGCTGCTGCTGTTAGAGGAATGACCGGCGCCGGCACCCTCTACCTCGTGCAGGTAGGCGATGACGGCGGGGCAGCAGGCGTGTCCCATGCTGACGGTTTACCAATAAGTCACGGATTGCTTTTGCACACGAGTTTAAAGATGTGATGCGGCTTTCGTAAGGCATACATGTCTTATGTCTCCAGGTGACCAAGGTACCGGCGGAGGAGATGTTCGTTGAGAAGCGGCTGGTGCTGACTGCCGACTTCACGGGGCGAGTGCTGGCGGTGTCGGCGCCGCAGTCCACCCTGTTTGGCTTCCCCGGCTCCGAGCTGCTGGGCAGCTGCCTGGCGGACTCGGTCGACCTGTTCGCGGACTGGCGGGAGCGCAGCGGCGAGGGGCAGATGCAGATGCTGCTGCTGGCCCTGCTGGACAAGGAGCAGGAGATGCCGGGTAAGGGGGGTGATCGGCTGGTTCAGTGATAGCAAACTGTAATGCTGTCGCCGCATCTCTGCATTCTACATGTTTTCCCTCTACCTCGCAGGCACGTCCTGGCGTGTGCGGGTGCATGCGCCACCATCCGCTCACGAGGGAGAGCTGCCGCCGCTGCCGGGCCATGTACGAACCGCCAAGGCCAAGCTGTCCTGCTCCGCCTGCCTGCAGGTGCGAATGCATGTGCGGATGCTTGTATTGGTAGTGCCGCGGGGTGCCCGTTTCAGACCGTGTCATGTGTAATGTCATGTGCACTTGCGCGCGCTTTGCCTCCATCACCTCCATCCGGAGGCACCCTGTGGGATTGGAAAGGCTTGCCCACCAGGGCCGGCACGACAACGCCTGTCTCTCAACCTTGCTCTCCTCCCTTCGTTCACCCTCCGCCTCTATCCCAATGAAGGTTGAGCTTGATGAAGACGGGGACGGCGGCGCCATTGCTGACAGCAGTGCAATGGGAGCCCTTGGCGACGACAGCAACAACCAAACCTCGTCCACGGAAGAGCCCGTTGTCGGCCCCTCCGGCCCCAGCCCCCCCAGCACCAGCGGCGGCAGCCGGCTGCACATCACCCTGTGGCGTCGCGACCTGCTGAGCGGCGTGTTGGAGCTGGACGAGGATCTGGTGGTGCGGCGCGCCTCTCCGCTGGCGGGCCTCATCACGGGGCTGCCCACCTCGGCGCTGCTGCGGAAGCCGCTCAGCCGCTTCCTGGACCTGCCGCCTCGCGCACCCACCTGGGATGCCCTCGTGGCCGTTGCACACCCGCACACACATGCGCACCAGCACCAGCACGTGCACAAGAAGAGCGCGCTCAAGGCCACCAGCGACCGCGGCAGCATCAGCCCGGTCATGGCATTCATTGGGCCGCATCCCGACAGCGGTACCATGCGGCTGATCGTGCAGGGCGTGCAGACGCTGGGGCCCGGCGGCAGGCCCAAGGTGACGCTCACCGTGCACCCGGACACGCTGTACGTGGGCGCGCATGCCAACCTCATGCGAGTATTGCGGCTGGAGGGTGGCGCGGATGACAGCCACCGCCACCGCCGTAGCACGGATGGCGCGACTTCAGTGATGTGCGGCCGCAGCACGAGGGCGGTGTCCCCCATGGGAGTGGTGGCGGTGAAGAGCAAGGGGCTCCGGGTGGCAGAGGGTGCTAGTGGTGACGGTGACGGTGATGGCGACGGCGACGGGGTGCAACCACGATCCGTGGGCACTAGGCAGCTGTCCAAGCTGCAGTCCCGGGGCTACAGCCAAGGGGGAGACAAACCCGATGAGGACGATGCAGGTGGCGATGGAGAGGACACTGGTGCTGGTGGCGGTGCGGTTTGCGAGGGCGACGCCAATGATGACGAGGAAACGGGAGATGACACCGAGCCACACGTCAGCTTGCACCGCCAAGCGACCTCCAAGTCCGAGTTTGTGGAGCAGTGGGTGCGCTCGCTGACCAGCCAGATGAGCGGCACAGGCGCCAACGCGGGCCGACACCACCACGGCCATCATCACGCACACCTTCACCACTCGCACCAGGACTCGGGCATTTCGCAGCAGCCCGCGCCCCAGTCCAGGCCCGGCAGTGGGGCGCATACCGACTCCGCTGCTACTGCTGCAGCGCCAGTTCCTGCTGCTCAACCTGCTCGACCTGATAGCGGAAGGAGTGACGGCCTGGGCGGCATGTTAACATTGCCCATGTCCATGCCGCAAGCATGCACCACACCCCTTGCGCCGGGAGGCAGTCAGCTGGCGGCTATTCCCGAGGCGCTTGCGATGCTTGACGTCGATGGGATTGCCGCAGTGGAGGTTCGGCCAGCCGGCGGGGTGAAGGGCAAGAAAGTCGACACAGAGCGAGCACGGCGCACCGTCAGCGGTGTTGCCGTGGCAATTGACACTCTTGTCAGTAAGCTTCCCTCGCGGGATGTCGTGCAGTCTTCCCCGGATGGGGAAGATATTGGTGGGAAAGGCCCAAGGGGAGGCCAAAAGGTTGCGGACGACGACGATGACAAGAGCGACTTACCGAGTGAGAACGACGCGTCAAGCGTTGGGGATGGAAGTCAGGCTGCCAGCGCGTATTCAGGTACGGTGACCGCTGGCTGTCATTCTTAACTGAAGTGGGCGTGAAGGCGGGCTGGCAGGGGTATGTGTGCCCTTGGTTTGAGTCATACCCGGGTTAGGGGCTGCTGCCCGTTGGCGTCCTCCTTTTGGGGTGTGTCGTATCTTTCTTAGGCCCCCGTTCCTCAATTGTTTTGGAGTAACAGCGTTCGACACGTGCCCATTATTCAAGGGCCGCTCGGTGTCAACATGTGCTTCCATTGTGTGTTCGCCCTTGCACAGGCACGTCTGACCAGACGTCTGTCACGGATGTGGTTGTGGATGCCCGGCGCGGACGTCTGCTGCGGGCTCTGAACAAGCTGCTGCTTGGGCCCTCGCTGATGACGCACCTCAACCGCCTCCGCCTGGCCAGCTACTTGATTATTGCCATCATGTTCCTGGCGCACGTCATCTCGTACGTCGCCATCACGGACCTTATCAAGAAGCAGCACGAGTAAGCTTTGCGGAATGTTGCCTTAACGGCATTTCTGTGGACTACCGAGTAGTCACACTAGCCTCTTCGTATGCATTCGGGCACAACGCAAAAATGGGGGCGCATGCCTGTGGCTCATCGTGGTTGACGGCTGTAGGCCACTGTCTTTCCCGAGTCACTAATGCCCAGCCGCCCTTTCCCCACCCTTGCAGTAACGTATATGTCGTGTTTCGGCAGGCCATGGCGATGGATAGGTGAGGAAAGCGTGCGATTAGCGTAGCCCGTTTGTGCCTGTTAGCTGTCGGCTGGTTTACCTTAATGTTCTGTTACCCATGCCTACAGGTGCCAGCTTGTACTCGTGCGGACCTTGCTGGGAGCGTTTTGTGAGCGAGACAACGTGTCCGCCGTTTCAATCTGCTCCCGCAACCTCAACTACACGATGTCCCGTTTGCAACTTAACATTGGGCTGATGGAGGAATATCACCGTAAGTGGTGGGCCGCGTGCTTGCTACAGTAAAAGTACTGGTGACACGCATTGCCTCATCGTATGGAAGCTCGTGGGCGGCTACTGGGTCGTTGAGTCTTACTACCGCTGTCGACAATCGTCATTTGCAAACAATGCCTGGACCGGTGAACAACTTATGTATTTTAAAAAATGCAGAGGGTGTCTACTTGGGCTTGGATACCTCCAGCGTAACACCGCCTGCCGCGGAGGTGTACAAGATCTGGACAACACCCACGGTCGACTACCAGGGTGCGTCGTCCATTGCCAGGGACCGGAATTGCAGCCTGTTAGGCCTAGTCTGGCCCTCTCAACGCCTTGGAGGGCGGTTGTCTGCTGCCCTAATGGTTGCCGTTGAAGATGCCCTATTTTGCACCTGACGCCCGAACCCACTTTATCCTCACTTCGCCCAGTGTTTCTGGACACCCAGCCGCCGGAGGTCGTCACGCAGCGGGCCGGCGCCTGGCATCTGGGCAACCGCTTCCTCGCCGCAGCCAGGGAGTCGCTGTACCTGCTCCCGTTGCATCGGGAGAATTACAAGTATGTGGATACGGCTGTTTGTATGGAGCTTGCATGCTGTCCGCAAACGCAGGGCGTCCCATGCATCCAGCCTTTGCCTTCCCATCCTTCGACTTGCCAGCTGCACCCCATTCCTATACGATACCGAGCAGGTTCCACCGTACGTTCTCCTTCCTGCTCAATAACGGTCTTGGGCCACTCTTCGCGGTGTACGCTGACAGCTTGGACCACCTCATAAATGCGGCCTGGGAGAGCGTCAGAGTCCTGCGCACGGGTAAGATGATGTTGGGATTTATTGACGCTCGGTAATGGCATTGGGCTCTGAACTCTTGCGGGAAACGACGCAGGGCAAAAGAAAGGGAAGATTGTGTTGCAACGGGAACTTGCCTGTGTACACCGCATGGGCTAAAACATGCATGTTAATGGATTGCAGGGACTGACGTTCTGGATCCTGCTCCGTTCCCTTGTTCCTTTTCTTCGCTGACCGTTGACAGACCTTATCATCCTTTTGGTCGTCGAGGCATTGCTAGTACAATTCTGTTGTACAGTGTACGAGCTTGTGTTGGTACAAAAAACCGAGAATGCTCGTCTACTGGGTATCCTTGCGATTGTGGGCCTGCCGGGACCCGTGTTGCGGCAACTAGCGACCTCCGAGACCAAGGTACGCACACACGTGTGGGGCGCCACCTATGTGGTTGACAGGATGCCGTCCGCGTGCACGTGGTGCCTCCATGTGTGTATCTCTTATGCTTTGGCTACGGGCTGTGTACCGGGCAGTGTGCCTGACTGGTTTATGTGCGGGCCTGTGCACCCCTCAATATCTTCCTCTTAACTTGTCAAGCATATACAACTACCCCTGTCCCTTTCGCTTCGCACAGATAAGCTATGACAGCGACGACGAAGGGGACGATGATGGCAGCGTGGCTGGGTCAGATGACGATCCTCGTACAGCCCTAGCTGCTGGCACTGGAGGTGTTGGAAACGGGGCAGGCGGTATGGATACCCGCAGAGTACAGCCGTTAGCAGCGGATCTGCCCCAGCAGGATTCCAACAATAGCAAGGATGCCGGCGCGCGGAAGGCGTCGACGCCACCCGACAACATGAACCCCGCTGTTGAGGGAGGCGTCAACAAGGCCGGCACGGGGCTGTCTGCGGTGTCCGGGGACGAGGACGAGCCTGGCAGCGGCAGTGGTAACGCAAGAAAGGTACTGAAAAGGACAAGTAACTACGAACATGGTCTTTGCGTGGACCCTTCTTGATTGTGTTTGTCTTTCGTAGGCTGGTCTGGCGTGCCGCACCTTCAAGGTACTGCAGATGCAAGGCTCGAAGAAGGCAGCGACCCGTGGGTCGGCCAACGGCCGCAAGGCGGCAGATGGCGGCAGTGGCAACCAGCGGCTTCGCATTAACGGCAAAGTGTTGCTGCCATCGCGATGGAACATATCCAAGTTTACGGTAAGGAGAAAATGGGGCATGAACGGGCGCTTCATCCATGGTTGGCTCCGTGTCGGTTGCGTGGCTGCTTTCTCAGAAGCTTGTGGATGAAACGTCTTATAGACCAGCGTGGACGCCGGGCTGTTGTCAACCAGACCCACAATTGTCGTTTCAGACATGCTTGGATGAGTCCTTTCCTTGCCTCATGCACACAATTCATGACCGGCGCATCGGCGCGCAGGTTCCCTTCCTGCTGTGGAACCTGGCGGTGGTGCTGGTGTACGTAATCACGCTGGCCAAGCTGGAAGGCATGCAGGCGCCGCTGGCTTCCCTCAACATGGCCTCACGCGTTACCTACCGCTACACCCGCGTGCGAGCCATCACAATTGCCATGGTGACCCAGGATGATGCACCCTCGCGTGATGTGTGGCGGCAACTGCTATCAACGGAGCTCAGCATCTTTGAGAGCGAATACAATGCGCTGATGTACGGTGGCGAGCCGACATCCATGGTAAGCGGCAGTTGGGAAGTCAGGTCAACACAACGTACGCATTATATAGGATGTGGGGGTCGCATTCATACTCCGCAGGGCCCTAGACACCCGCCTTCTTGCTGCTTCTGCGCACGCACGCTTCTGCCTCAGTTCGATGACGCACGCTGTCCACACAGGTGAACGGATCGTTCCGCCACGAGGTGCCAGCGGGAACCTTTGCCTCCTCATCGTTTGCGCAAACCTTCTTCCGGGCCAAGGGCTGTCTCCGACTTGACCCCAGAGGCTGCCTGCAGCCAGGGGACCCATACTACGAGGTAAGGCACGGAGGAAGAGCGGGCGTGGCGCATCCACTTCCAGGCTATTTTGGGGTCAGGACTACCAAGAAATTGCGTCGAGGCTAAGCGATACTCATTTATGTGCCACCTTGTTGCCACGAACACCATATACGTAGGTGACACACAACGGCCTTGACACCATGGTTCGCCGCATGCTAACCGAGTTGCGGCTGCTAACGGAGGATGACGATGCCGACGCAACCTACGACAGCACACGGTGATGACGGGTGGGAGAGGTCGTGTTATCACGCAAGGGATGCCCATGATGCTTGGCAGTTCTCACTGACTGTATCTTCCAAACAGGCTCGGGATGTTCCAGCCAGCGTTTCCAATTGGAACATGTCGCGTCGCGCATGGTTATAGTCTCGAAAGGAGCCTTTATACTATAATGCAGCGCGCATGTAGCAGGCTTACGCAGTAGATAACGGTTTTTCTAATGCGCCCGTGTGCTTTCAGGTGTGCCTTCATGGGTGTTGTTGGCGCCAGCGACCTGTACGACGGGCTGCAGCAAGGGGCTCAGCTCTTTGTCGACTACTCCATTAACCAGTACAACGCTGTCACCAAGATGCACACGGTAAGCCACGCGCACACGCTTGGTTTTCGCTACGCGTGTCATGTTTCGCCTGGCGGCGGATAAGCAGAGGTTCACTACGGTCCATGCCAGCATGCGGAAAGCTAGTATCCCGTCCTCCAGCTAGCTGCACCCTTCTCGCGGTATCTGAAGTCAACGTTGGCCTAATGTGCTCTGTTTGCAGATCCTGCTGGTGGTTTCCATCGGCCTGGTGTTAGGCTTCTTCCTCTTCGTGTTGTGGCCACACAACGCCCGGCTGCAGCGCGACGCGGCCCGGCAGGGCGCGCTGCTCAGCCTGGTACCCGCGGAGATGGACGTGCGGGCGCATGTGAGGGGGGTGCTAAAGCGCATCGGGGCAGCGGGACGGCGGCGGGGAGGGAGGCAAGGAGGGGGAGGTGGAAGTGGAAGAACGGTGGGAAATTCGTCCGCAGCCGAGCGGATAATTTCCTCTGCGAGAGCGTAATAGGTTTGGGTAATGTAGTTTACTGCTTAATGCGAAAATCCACCTCAGGCTGTTCGTGACCTTGCTTGGACCGGCTGAATGCAGTGATAAGCAGTGTTATGGGACAGTGCTTTTGTACAGCAGGGATCGCTCTATAGTAATTAGCAAGACGGGCATACGTTGAGAATTCGTGATGCCGTTAATATAACAAGTGTATGATTCTATCCTCTCGTAGCTGTATTCCGTGCTAGTATGTGTTGCAGGCTGCAGCATGCCGGCTTTTTTAATGCTGTGCATCAGAGGCTCAAAGCCCCTTAGGATTCTTCCTAAAGTTTGAACTCAATCTTATCTCTTTGCAGTCCTTCCAATTCTTGGCGGCTTCAGTTTCTTGCGCAACAACCTTTCCTTTTGTTGCAATCGGCAGAGACTAGGTTGGATGGTAATGCTCACAATGCTACATGTGAACCCAATCCTCAAATATATTATTTTTGCGATGACCGTTAACATGGCTGTATTCGGTTTACTGCTACAGTCTAGCTTCTTGCAAATCCAAATCAGGCCTAGGCGATTACGAGCCTGTCTGCCTGGGTATTTTCGGTTGTTGGTTGGTGGCCCCTTTGGGTAAATATGCAGTTGGACGGTGGTTGCGCGAGGATTGGCAGGCACTAGCTGGGAACCTATTTGGGAATTATGAAAACGCGCTAGATCTTGCCTTCGCACTAATGGTATATGCTTAAAAAATTATATTACGGTGTGTCTTGTCCGTGCTATTCTAGGGCGGATATTGGCTAGCAGGAGTTGGTGTTAGGTCCAGCCGTAGCCGTTACCTAAACCGTATTGGCGCCTTTGTAGTGGCAACCTCGGGGGTAAGACATGTGTACTTCCCTAATTTCCTAGTTTTATATGCTTTCCACCTTTTGTATCTTTTGGTTTAAATTTCCCAAAAGTATGACATTCTTTTTGGATGTTTCCTAATATGCAATCCGGTACATCCTTTGATAGGCACATGGCCGCATGCAGCAACCGCTGCAAGGCTCTGCTGCCCGGGCTAATGTATTCGGGTCCGTAGTAAACCCACCCCTTTCACCAATGGTTCGTTACGTAGTATATTTGTGGTACATGCGTAGCCCATTAAGTGTTTAGGATAGAAGGGTGACTTACACGTGTCGTAGGAAAGGAAAGGAATGTGTACGGTTTGTTGGTTGATCATGCTACTTTGGTTTGGTGGGGCGGTAGGAGGTTAGACAGCTCATTCTCCCATTCATATACTTTCGGGGGATCATGGCATATTATTATGTGGAATAAAGCGTAACATGCTTGATGCTAGCACGCGACTACCGGTAATCTGTAGAGCGAACACGTATATACACGTCTGTCGTATACCGTAGTCTGTCGTATACCTGTTCCGTGTCCTCTGGACATCAATGTAAAGTCTCCTAGGACACTCAGACGTGGTCATCTAACACTGCCCTACTGCCGTAGGGGTCGGCATACATGTTCCCCCTATGCTTTAAAGTCTACGGTAGCAAACTACCCCTCATTCCTGGCGACTAACTCCGTACATCTCTGCACACAGTCACAATACCGGTACGTTCTGACTCGCGACGAGTTTCCATAACACATAGCCTTCGCCCCCTGCTACCGCACTGATAGATTCCTCCACGTCATACTACACTCCCTGCCTCATTGTGTTAAGGCCGCTCACGTAGCCAAGCTCCATAGTTGCTTTACGGCGACCCACCCGCGGCTGCTGGCGGTCTCGGCAGCCCCCGCATAACTGCTGTTGCCCCTGTACTGCCGCTCCCACCTCCTCCGCCACCTGCGATGCCAGCAGCACCGACGTTCCTGGCGGTATCGCATGTCGCACCCGCAATCGTCGTACCGGCTGCCCCCACCGCAGCGGCGGGGGCCGGCCCCATCCGCACTCGTCCCTGCGGCCTGGCTGCCCCTGATGCAGGCGGAGCGGGGTTACGGCCGCTGCTGCTGCTGGTGGTCAGCACCTCAGAGGTCGCCCTTGGCCGCCGCGAGGGAGACGATGATGAAGATGAGGCGGCTGTCCTACTTATTGTACCGGCAGCCGCTAACGTAGCAGCCGCTGAAGCTGCGGCAGCACCTGTTGACATTCGCCTGGTCGCAGGGGACTGGCGGGAGGTGGCGGGAGCGGGGGCGCCTGCTGCAGAAGCTGCTGTGCCGCCATGACCGACGGCTGTTCGGGCAGCCACTCCTTCACCTCGCCCGGCCCCACCCCTGGCAGGGGAGGTCCTCGTCCGGGCATCAGGCCCCTCCGCCGTTGGAGGACTAGTACGGCGATGCATGCAACCGTCATCCCCACCGCCGCCTCTTCCATCCCTGGCTCCCTGGCTCGCAAGGGCTGGCGACTCACGCGAGGGCGGCAGCAGCTGGTCCCCCGCCGGCCGAGCTACCGCCGCCTCCCCCTCCGTCCTGGGGCCCCTCCTGGCTGCTGGTACCGCTCCAGCCGCCTCTGTCCCCGCCGCTGCAGCCGCTGCCACCGCCGTCAGCAAGGGTGCTGCCTCCGGGTTGCCGCTGCCAGCGGAGGCCGCATGTTGCATGGGATCCGCTGAGATCGCAGCAACAGCAGAGGACGAGGAGGTGGAGGAGGGACGGCTGGACAGCGACGCGGCTGAGGGTGGCATGCCGGTAGTGGTGGGGGCCGCACTAGCGGGCCGTGACGCCAGCAGGGGTGCTGCTACACGCATGGGTGAAGACGTCGGCCCCGCCGTCGCCCGCATCAACGCACTCGGACTTGCGGGTCCGACTGCAACACCTGCCGTACCTAGCAGAGGTACGGCAGCGCTGGCCGGCACTGGTCGGAGCGCTCTTGACGGCCCGGCGGGAGACGAGGACAGCCCGGTGGCGGAGGTTGCAGCCGCCGAGGCACGCGCAAGTGCTAGCAAGCTGCTACTGCTGGGGGCTGGCTGGCTGCCATACTCCGTACGCTCCGTCCAAGCCCGCACACGGCCTCCGCTGGTGGCGGCAGCATCCTCCCTTCCAGCCAACAACCCCCCGCCGCCGCCACTGCTGCTGCTACTGCCGATGAGCGTGCCGAACCCTGCCGCACCAGTGCTCCCGAAGCTGACTCTGCCGCCACCCCCGCCACTGGAGGTGAGCCCCCGACCCGTGATGCTGCTGCAGCGGTGCAGCAGGTGGGCGCTGGCGACTGGCGAGGTGGGACCGGACGTGCTGGCGGGCAGGGGACCTGCCACCGCCCCAGCAGCACCATCACCACCAACAGGCGCCGCACTGACTGTGGGGTCGGTGATGGCGTTACGCCTGATGCCGCCGGGGGAGCTAGTGCTGTCGTCCCCACATGCAGCACCTCGGGGCGGAGCCGGTGGCAGGAGCTCGGAGCCGCTGTGTCGTACAACAAATGGGCCGCCGCCGCCGACGACGATGACATCGTCGCCGCCACCTCCGTCGCTGCCGCTGTCGCCCCGGCGGGTGTTGCTGTTTTCAAAGCGACCAAGCACAGACGGTGGACCTGTCGTACACGCGGAATTGAAAGGGTTCAGGAACGGGATTTTGGGGGAAAGCGCACGGACGGCGCCTACGTCATGTACACTAGGCCCCGCATACCATCCAGAAAGCGCTTGAGCCAGCCGCTTGGGTATTGGTTGTCCGCACGTCCGGCCCCTACCCCTCCAGGGACATATGGCCCCCCTTCACGCACCACCAGACACCCCTGCTCACTTCCTCCTCCGTCCACCCCGCGCATTCCCACATGCTTCCCTTACTACCACCACCCCATCCCGCCTCCCGCCTAGCTCACCCTTACGCCGCGCTGGCTCCTCCGCCTCCTGCTCTCCGCCTGCTCCTCCCGCGCCTCCGCCTCCCAGCCACTCCCCCACCTCCGCCCCCGCCAGCAGCCCCCCCACCCAGCCCCCCGACGGCAGCGTCCCCAGCAGCACGGTGCTATCCCGCAGCAGGTCACCTGGGCCCGCATGCACCGCCCCACTGCCTACCCCTGCACCCGCCTCCGCCCATGCATCCATCACCGCACCCGCACCCGCCTCCGCTGCTCCTGCCGCTACCGCAGTGTGCGGCCCCCCACCGGCATGGATATCCCGCACAAGGCTGCAGCCGTCATCCCCGCCGTCACCCCCACCCCCGCCCCCGGCCACCAATACGGCGGCCAGGCTGGTGCGAAGCTGGTGGCAGCGGCTGCGGCGGCTGACGGAGCCGGGCCGGGGTTGGGGGAGTCTGCTGCAGGCCCCATCACCAGCTGTTGCTCCCGCCGCCTCCTCGCCTTCCGCCGTCCCCTTCAGGCCCCTCGCCGCTTCCGCCAGCGAGCTGCGTACGGCATCCAGGTGGCGGCGCGCTTGTACGGCAGCCGCCAGGTAACCCGCCCCGCACAACAGCGCCTCACCGCGGGGGGGAGCGGGGGGCGCCTCTTGGGGGGCCTGTACGACGCACCCTTCCACGTGCCCTCCTCCTGCCGCCGCCCCCGCTTCGCCTTCTGGGCCACCGGCTTCTTCCCAGTCCACCCGCTCCTCCCCTTCCTCCGCCTCCCCCACCAAGTCTTCATAGTCGTCTTCTTCCTCCTCCTCTTCCTCGCCCTCATCGCTGCAGTCCTCTCCCTCCTCTTCGTCCTCCTCCTCCGCCTGCTGCTGGGGCGTAAGCAGCTGCCGTAGAACGTGACGTAGCTGGTGGGTGGGGAGGTTGGCAGGGGAGGGCGGGGGATGAGTTTTACTATAGGGGAGAGTGGAAACGAAATAGATCTTGCCGCAGGGGTGACGGAAGCAAAGACGGGGTTGGGGTTTGCGTACGGTATGTATAATCAGAAAGTACCGGTGGCGCCCCAGTCCGCCTGGTAACCCGCTTCCACACACCTTCCCCTGCCCCACCTGCTTCCCAAACACACTGCCCTGCTCCTCCGCCGCCTCCGCCGCCTCGAGCAGCTCCCCCGTGCCTCGCTGCAGCGCCGCTTGCCGTACGACATCACGTGAGAATACGGCGTACAGGATGCCGTGCACGTAAGCTCGAGTCTGTACGGCAACAAAGTGGGTAGGAGCAATACATGACAGCAGTGGCAGCAGCAGCCGGAGAGTGGCAGGAGTCGCATGCTAGCAGTGTTGAGGCCTGGGCGGGCAGCGCACCATCCGCAGCAGCAGCAAATCATGACATCATCATCATCAGCAGCAGCAGCAGCAGCAGCAGCAGCAGCAGCAGCATGCAGCAGCATGCAGGCAGTAGCAACGGCTCAGAGCATCAAGGCAGGTCGCCAGAGGAACTGCTTCCGGGGCATGTTACCATGGCCCGGCATGCCGGAGTGCACCACCAGTGCACCGCGAGTGCCTGCACACCCCACCGTCATGTACCAGACAGCTCCCCATCAGCATGACCACCCCCATCAACATGACCACCTCCATCAGCATGACACTCCCCATCAACACACGTGCGCGACACCGGGCCAATCCAACGACAGCGGGTCTGTCCTTGACTTGCCAGCCCAGCCATCCTTCCTGGCTGCTACCAGGTGTTCGTACGTCCCAATAGCGCACGCTTCCCCAGCCCACCTCCCGTTCGCCGCCCCTCACCCGCGCGTTGCTGCAGCCCAGCAATCCCTCACACAGCCGCAGCAGCGGCACCACCAAACCTCCCCCGCCACCGCCGCCCCCACCCGCAACCCTCCTGCAGCGGCCCCGAGTGGGGGCTGAGGCTGGTGAAGAGCAGGAGGGCGAGGAGGAGGACGATGTGGAGGAGGAGGCGGGCGGGTTCCCCCCGCGCACCACTGCGTCCCTGCCTGCTGCGCGCATGCAGAGGTGCAGCAGCAGAGCAGTGCCGTACTCCAGCAGGCGGGACAGCAGGGGGGCGGGATGCAGGGAGGCGGAGGAGCAGGAGGGGGAGGAGGGAGGGAGCTCCCCCCCTGCTGCCTCCTGCCGCTCCTGCTCCTCCTGCTGCTGCACCGCCAGCCGCCCCAGCAGCCCCAGCAGCCACCCCACCGCCCCCTCCCGCACCGCACACCTGCACCCCGCACCACCCGCACCGACCAGACGCCGCAGGGCTAGCAGGCCGGAGGGCAGCAGCAGAGGCAGCGGGGGGGCAGCGGAGGGGGCAGCGGCGGCGGAGCGGGAGGTGCCGGGTGCTGCGGACGCGGCTGCCGGAGGAGCCCCCCCACTGCCGGGCTGCAGCCAGCCCCTCGTCTGCCGCTGCAGCAGCCCCAGTAGTGCCCCCACCAGCGTCTCCCTGTTACCAGGGGCGCCAGCTGTGCTGCTGCTGCCGCCGCCACCACGGCTGCCGCCTCCGCAGCCGGCACTCATCCCGCCCGCTCCTTCCCCGCAACACGAAGAGGAGGGGGCAGGTGAGGCGGTGGAAGCGCATGGCAGCGCGCACTGCCGCGGGGGGGATGCAAGCGGCGATGACGTCACTGACGATGATGGCTGTGTACCAGGCGCAGGGGCAGGAGGAGAAGAAGATGAGGAGGCAGAATCATGGTTTGCTGGTGACGTAGGCCCTAGCCGTCGCTCGAGCCCTAGGAGGTACCTGCGACCCGCTGAATAGGCGGACATGACAGCCAGGAGGCGAACCAACTCGGTGGTGACCCTTGGGTCAACTTCAACTCGTTGGTCGGTACCATCAGGAGCACCGCCTCCACTGCGTGCCACCGTGCTTCCGTGGTTACTGCTGATGTCAAGGCTGCTGTTGCCGTAACCTCCTCCTCCTCCTCCAACAAGCAACTGCAACAGCAACGGGAGCTGCTGCTGCTGCTGCTGCTCTGCTCGCACATCCCCTCCTGCCGCCCCCTCCCCTGCCGCCCCCCAGCCCAGCACATCCGCCTGCACCAGCGACGCGAGGGCGGCTGCCCGGGGTCCCCCCCGGGGCGACCGCAGCAGCCGCCACCGCAGCGCCTGAAGCAGCCGCGCAGCCAGCAGGCGGTCCGGACCCTGGGAGGGGCGGAGGGGGGGAGGGGGGAAAGAGGGGGAGCGGGGTGTGGGTAGTGTGGTGGGGGGGGCCGCGGGGTGCCGCACATGCCAGGGGTGCAGGTGGGATCTCAGGGAAGAGCACGTGGGTTTGCGGCTCGGACCCCCAAGGTGCCGGGGCCACCACTCCTACCACTCCAAACCGGGGTAATGGGGCTTGTGTTCTTCGTTGTTTCACTTATTTATATTTTCCCCCTTCCCCCTTCCCCCACTGCCTACCTGCAGGTCCCTCTGCAGCCTGCAGTAGTCCAGCGGCGCCAGCAGCGCCGCAGCCAGCGAGCCACTACCACCACTGCCGCCACAGCAGCTGGGGCCACACACACCCTCGTCGTCACCGCTGCAGCTGACACCAACACCCCCTGCCGCCGCCACCCCTTCAGCTGGTGGTATGCCCCCGCCTGCCTCGTCACGGGCTGCCTCTAAGGGCTCAGCGTCAGCAGCGGCGGCGGCGGCGGCAGCAGCGGTGATGGCGGCAGCAGTGGCACGGCCGTCGTCATAAGGCCCCATTGTCCCCTCAATCAGCACCACACTCTCCCGCAGTACGGCAGATTCCGTTAGCCCCAACTGCCGCAGTGATAGCAGCGCAACCGAACAACGGCTGCTGTTGTTGGTATCTTCGCCGTTGCTAGCGGGGTGGTCGGGGTGGTGCCTGCAGCCGTCTAGAACACGGTGCGGGCTGTTGTCGCCTGTTTCATGGGTGCTGTGACCGTTGCAGCTGGGGTGGAGGCGGTTGGCGGTTGCGGGCGTTGTAGCGCAGTCGTAGGGGCTCCTGCGAGAGGTAGGGGAGGGGGGACGGGGGAAGGAGATGGGGTTCAAGGGAGGGGAAGGGAAGGGAAACGTAGAGAGAGGGCGGAAGAAGAAGAAACGAAAGGATGCGCAAAGGTAGGCACTTCACAACCCCATCGCCCCACACACCCCACTGCACCCCTGCCTCCGACCCACCCCTACCCATGCAGCCCATTCACCTGAGCGCCGCCTCCATCTCCGCCTCGTCAACCTCCTCCTCCTCCTCCTCCTCCCCTCCGGTATGCTCCTCCCCCTCCTCGCTGCCGTACAACTCCACCTCCCCAGCAGCTCCTGCCGTACTGCAGGCAGCAGCAACAGCCGCAGCAGCAGGAGGAGCTGCTGCAGCTACTGCAGCGGAGGGAGCGGGTATTCGCGAGCGGCCTCCCCCAGTGGTGACGGCGGTTGAAGCGCCTGTGCCGCGTTTCAGCGGCGGGAGTTGTTGATGCCGTTGCGGCGGCTGTCGTACGGACGCTGTTGCCGTACCTGGTAGCGTACATCTGGCTGTGGTTCCGCTCCCAGACGCCCGCATGTGCTGTTCGTACAACATGTACAGCAGCGGTACCTGCCCTCCTCCTGCTGCTGCTGCTGCCGTACAGTTCCCATCACCACCGCCGCCGCCACCGCCGTGCTTGACCCCTCCGCCAGCCCTACTCCCAGCGGCTTTGCCCGCAGCAGTACCACCCGCAGCCCCCGCGCCGCTCGCCAGAAAGGCCTTGAGGCGCTTGCGCTGCTGCACCACCCAGGCGGGCGGGGCGGGGGGCGGGCAGGCATGGAAGAGGGACTCGAAGGAGGGGTGCTGCTCGGGCTGGGGGAGAGGGAGAAGGGGAGGGTGGGGGGGAGGAGAGGACATTGCCGACTAGGAATTGTGCACAAATGGGGCAAATGGGGTAAAGCTTGTAAATGTTTCGGCTTTCGTTATTGCCGCCACTACCCGACTCTCAAAGCATCCCTTCCTTCCCACCAACCAAAGAGACACCACTACCCCCGTCTTCTAGGCCTTGCTGGTCTCACTGCTCCCTCACCTGTGCCACGTACGGCAACGCGTAGTACGGCAGGCACTCGGGATTGAGCGCCAGAGCCGCCCCGCGACCCCCCTCCAGGTAGCGCTTGAACACCTGGGGGGTGCGTGCGAGGGTGCGAGGGTGGTAGGGGTGAGGGGGTGGGCGGGGGCGACATACGTCAAGGGATTGATGTGGGTCATCAGGGGGGTGAGGAAGGCAGGCAGGGTGGCAGGGTGCGGGCCTGGCGGGGCTTGGGGCACACATGCCCTTCCCCTGCAGCGACCCGGGCTCGCCCCGCAAGCGGTTGCGAACCGCACACCCTCGCCCAGTCTTGCTTGTACTACTGCCCTGCATCTCCTGAAGCACACATGCACACACGCAACCGTACCTTCATGCGCTGCGCCAGCTCCTGCTGCCTGCTCCCCGCGCCGCCATGTGCGGATCCAGGTGTCGTGCCGCTTGTCGTACCACATCCCCCTCCGTGGCCGCCACCGGGCGCCGCTGTGGCGGCCGACCCAGGGGCCACCACCAGCACGGCGGACGAGGGCAGCACCGGGTACACGGCGAAGTAGACCTGCGGGGTGCAGTTGTCGCGTAGTGGCAGGAGGTTGGGGATAGGTGTGGAGGTGGAAGGAGGGGCAGGGCAGGAGGTGAGGCCCTGTGGAGCGTGGGGAAGCCCCTGGAGGGAACAGCCTTCCTGCGCGCTGATTGACATTAATCTTGCGCCACGCATGCTAAGCATGATGTGGGTCGGTGCCCCCCCTCCAACGCATAAACGTGTCACATAGGAGCCACTCCACACCTCCTTAGTGCAGCCCCTCCACGATCAAATCATCCCGCCTCATAGACCTACTATCCCTCGCTGCCGGGTCCTTGCACTATATAGCCCCGAACCACGCTCTCACCTGCAGGTGAAACTCCAGCTATACGCAGGGAGAGGAAGGGCAAGACGGGGGACGGGTGGCCAAAGTAATGAGAAACAAGGGGGTATTCCAGACGTTAAGACGCGCGTGTGGACATTTAAGCTATGTAAAGCAACTGGGTCGGGGCTGTAGCCGCGGCATGGCCCCAGCAGCATTCACATGACTTCACGGACCTTCAGCGTGTCAAGATCTTCTCCCAGCAGGTGTGCTGGCACATACTGATGCCAAAGAGCGAAAAACTCGTCCCTGCGACCCTCGTCGAACTTGCGAAGCTGCGAGCGATGTGTTGGCATGTCGTGTACGGTCACGTTAGGCAGCCCAAAGCAGCGCTCTGACTGCTTACCATATCTGCACGTAGCCTATCCCGCACATCCTTGCTGTGTGTCCTAGCGCTGAGCAACGAGGTTCGCAACTGAACGCTCTTAGTAGCTCGCTCTTCGACTAAGGTATGCACAGTTTGGTGAAATTGAATAAATTGCAGAAATTCTATTACTTGGTTCAGCAATTCACGGGCTCCTCGCTCGCTTATTGCAGCCGGCCCGTAGGTCAGGCCTTCGCTCTCACCCATTTCAGGAGAAGGTCACAGAAACGTGAGTCATGTTCCGTTATTTTATTATAAGGAAAAGCTGTGGCTAAGCGGAGCATTTGCCGTGCGTCGATCCGTACCGTACATGCGTTGTATTAGTCAATTGTTGCCTTTCTATCCTGGCAAGGTGCAAACGGGCGTCGCTTCTCCATCACCGCCTGGAATACCTGTTGAGGCCATCCCCGCTAAATGTAGAGATTACCCATACTACTCATACTTCTCCCGAATAGCGTCAACACCGCACGCACGCCCTGTCCTCTGTTGTGCATCTCCCTCTCTTGGAGCACTGACCTCGCGTCCGCTGTTTTGCGTTTGGTGCCGATATGTACCGTACGTAGAATATGGCCAGCCAGATATCGCTGACAGCCAGGGCGTGCATCCACGTGTATACAGCCATGCCGGCACGGGCACAGGAAGAGGACAGAACGAACATGGTTCGTCTTACGTGTGATGAGCCATATCTTGAGCCTTCACCTGACGAGTGGCTCCGCAGGTCGGGTTGATCAGGGCTACACCGTAGCGCGTTGCCTTCCCTCACTATGTGGCAATAACAAGTCAGCTGTCGCGTTGTCCGAAGCATACACGCAGGTTTTTTTCAAACGCCGCATTGCCTGTTTCCTGCAACTTACAATCCAGGACAAACCCGTAAAGATACAACAACCTGCGCCGCCAACGGGCGCAGAATCTGGTTGGCGTGGTGAAGGCTGTCTTGCCCTCGCACAATGCCATTCTCATTCGTTTAATCGAAACCATCGTACCACACGCGCCTGGAGGCGCCCCTCCTCCACCTAAAGCCTCTTTCCCCATCTTGTGGAGGCCGACTCGTGTCGTACCATGGCACACTGCCGTACACACAAAGGCGCACAGTACCGGACAGTCCCGTGACGGTATGCCACGGTATGTCCCTCGGGCCCAGCAGCTTCTTTTGGAAGAGACCAGCCAACTAGTTTCGCCTCGTGTGCTTCCTTCGCCCCTTCTGCCGAGTCCGTCCTGCCCCTTACTCTGCCCCCGCCATGTAACCCCTGTTTGCTACACTACTACCCACGTCGGACGGGTCTGTCCCCTACTGTGTCGTACTAAGTCCCGACACATGCAATCACTCCTAGCTCTCTCGTGTGGCCGCCCGCGTTCCAAGCAGCCACGGCTCCCCCAATATGCTAGCCAGCCAGCTACATCCCCTTCCTTGCGCCCCCCACCTTGCTGCCTGTTCCTTTTCCCGCCCCTCTTATTCCCCCCTGCCCCCCTCCTGCTCCCCCATTACTTCCAGAGCTTCTTGATGGACATGTTCTTGTCCGAATCCTTCTTCATCACCTGGGGTGGGAGGGGTTGGGGAGTGGGTGTTAAGAACGGAGGTTTCGAGGCGAATAACTAACCGGACTGGGCTCCTGCGCGCACTGCGCTCCTCTACCTCCCTTCTCCACCCTCTTGCCACCGCCAACCAAAGTCCCCATGTCACGTCCCATGCGCCCCACGCATCCGCCACTCCCTCCCTCCCCAACCCTTGTCAAAACACACACACGCACATCTCTCTCCCACCCCCCATTCCCCCGCCCCCCCACCTTCGCCACCGCCATCTCGAAGTCCTCCTGCGTCACGTGCACCCGCCGCTCCCGCAGCGCAAACATGCCCGCCTCCGTGCAGCACGCCTTCAGCTCGGCGCCGCTGCTGGAGGCCATCTTGTCGGCGATGCGCTTCAGGTCGATACCGCGAGTCAGGTTCATCTTGCGGGAGTGGATCCTGGTGGGGGGGAGCGGGGAGAGGAGGGGAAGGGGGGGATGTGGGTGATTTGGGTGCGAAGTGCCAGGTCCCAATGGTGTGGGAGATGGCGTGCAGGGCCGCTAGGGCGGGTTGCCCATGTGACAGGGTATGGGATGGTGAGGTGAGGGAGCTCGGGGTCATGGTAAAGAGGGGAGACTGGAAGACCCTTCTTGCGAGGGCAGGTGCTGGGTGGTCCACTGCTTTCTATATTCCTAACCTACTTTCCCCTCTTCGAACCCCTCCCCTTTCCCTCCCCCTCACTTGAGGATGTCCAGCCGCGCCGCCTCGTTGGGGTTGGGGAACTCGATCTTGCGGTCGATGCGGCCGGGGCGCAGCAGCGCGGCGTCCAGGATGTCGATACGGTTGGTGGCCATCAGAACCTGTGCGCGTGTGTACGGCAGGGAGGGAAGGTGCGGGAGGTGTAGAGAGCTGTACGACATAAGGTGGAGGAGGGCGCAGCCGCCCAAGCGCGAAACCGCCTCGCAGCCCCTCCCTCCTCCTGGTCCGTGTCCTACACACTAAAGCCCTACGTCTTAACTGGAGCTAAAACTCCTCATTGCGATTCCACGCTTCCTCTCCCTTCCCATTTGCCCTTGGCCTCCTTTGTACTCACAACAGGAATAGATTAATCATCATCCACTCCACTTCCCACCCCCCACACACAAGTCGCCCCACCTTGATCTTGTTGGAGGCCTCGAAGCCGTCCAGCTGGTTCAGCAGCTCCAGCATGGTGCGCTGGACCTGCGATCCAGGGGGTGGGGAGGGAGGGAGGGTTGGGTACGGCAGCGGAGGTGTGTCGTACGTTTGCAGGTCAACTGTGCGTGTCGTGCGGGAATGTTAGCATACAGAATCCGAATTCCTGAACCAAACGGAACCAAACTCCTCACAGACTTCTCAAACCGCACGGAACCTGCATGAAACTCCCAAAACACACACGCTCCCCCCCTGTCACCCCCTCCCTCACCTCGCTGTCCCCCCCTCCGCTGCCCGACTCAGATCGCGCCGAGCCGATGGAGTCCACCTCGTCCATGAAGATGATGGAGGGAGCGTGCTCCCTGGGGGGGGGGAAGAGGGATGCGGGTGTGTGTGACGGGGTGTGTTTGGGAGGAGCGTGTGCACGTCCAGGACGAGGAATTGATGAGGATATTGGGCTGGGGCATCCCTTGCAGCGGCTGGAGGGGCCAAGAAGGGTATCAGTATCCGAAGACTAGGTACAGGGGACGGGAGGGGATGGGCGCGAGCCGATTGATGGACATTTGAAGAAGAGACGTCGGTGCGCCGTGCAATTGCTGCAGCCCCTATGCCGTATACTTTCTTCGATCCACCACTGCCCTACACCACCCCCCTTTCACCCATAGCATGGTATATCCTCCCCCAACACACCTTGCCATTACGAAGAGCTCCCGCACCATGCGGCTGCCCTCCCCGATGTACTTCTGCACCAGCTCGCTGCCACTGACGCGGATGAAGGTGCAGTCGGTGTGGTGGGCCACGGCACGAGCAAGAAGCGTCTGGCAAGGGGGGGAGAAGGGGGAGGGCATGCAGGGGAGAGGGCGCGCGAAACACAGCACACGGTGAGACACAGCAGCGCGTACGGGATTGATATGCGGTGTGGAACTCCCTACACCTTCAGCCGGGGAAGCGGGAGTGATGGCGTAAGCTAGCACGGCGGCTGCAGTTGATCCATGCTTGTGGCGTGCCCCTCCTCTTCACCATCACGCCATGCAGCAGCACCGGGCCCCTCCCCCCCGCCACGCCCACCGCCCTTTCCAATCCCTGCTCCCCTAGCCGTCACATCCCTTCCATCTCCCTCCACCGCCAACCCCGGCTCCTCACCTTGCCGGTTCCTGGAGGCCCGTACAGCAGCACGCCCTGATGGGGGAGAGGGGGACGGAGGCAGAAGAGGGGTGAAGCGGGGGAAACGCAGGGCCTCCAGGAAGCCTGACGAACACACGGGAGCTTTGCTGTGCAGCAAACCCCTGCAAAGCACATGCTGTATGAATATGTTTCGTACATTGGCGCCTTCTATGGCTGTTCTTGTTTCTATTCCCAATTCCCAGCTCCCCTACCTACCGAACCACCACCGCACTCCCCGACCTACCTTGGGTTGAGCAATGCCCAGGCTCTCGAACAGCTCGGGGTGCTTCAGCGGCAGCTCGATCACCTGTGCGCGGACACACACACGCCAGTTATTTTAACACGCGCACACACATGGTGGTGGTGCAGAGGGTGCTACTGGGTAGTCTGAAGGTCAAGTACGGTCGACGAACAGGTGTTTGTGCTATGACATTAATGCGGGTTGCTAAGCGACGTGGTCTTGTAGGCTCCCGACATGCGAGCAGGGTGTGGCGAGTCAAGGTTTCGAGGAACCAGCCCTTCAAAGCAACCCAAATGCAGCTCCTTGGCCCTTAGGGGCTGAGAACCGCTGTCCCACCCCACCCCTTCACGTCTCCCTCTGCCGTATCAAAACCCCTAACCCCCGCCTGCCGTCCTCCCGCGTATTGGAAAATGGCCCCCCACCCATATCCCTACCCCTCCACCCGCCCCACCTCCTTGATCTCCTTGATCTGCTGGTCCGCCCCGCCGATCATGTCGTACGTGGAGTCGGGCACCTGGGGGGAGCGGCGGGGTGGGGTTGAGTGGGGTGACGGGGGGTTTCGGCGCGGTTGGGTCCACCTCGTTGGGTTGGGCCCACCTGAAGTCCCTGGATACGAGCCTGAAGCCACAGATTCCCGGGCTGCTGCATCCACCTTCCCTTCCCCGCCTCAGTCCGCGCACCGCTCACCCACCCGCCTCCTCCCTTTCTACCCCTCCCCCTCCCCTCCCCCCCCGCCCCCCTCCCCGCATCTCACCTTCTCCACCTTCATCAGGCTGACCAGCGGGTCCACCTTCGTGGGCAGCACCAGGTGCAGCGTGTAGGAGTCGTTGCGCAGGGCCACGCGCGCGCCGGGGTTCAGCTTGTCGATGGAGATGTCCTATGAGAGGGGAGCGGTAGGGGGTAATTTGGAAACGGTAGGGGGGGAGGGGGTGGGACAGGGGGCGTTATGCAAAGAAAGATAAAAGCAAGAAAGGGAAGACGGGGGACAATGGGCAAGGGGATGGGAAAGACGACACGCAAGTGTCGAAGCGTGATTGCAGCGACGCGAGTTTTGACGAGCATATCTGTCCACCCGCCCCGGTGAGAGTGATCTCGCTGTGCCTCTGCTGCCGATCCGACGTCTGATCTGACATAAGCGATGCCTGCTGCGCCCTTCCCCTTTACCTTTCCCTGCAAGAGCCACACAGCCCTCCGCTCATTGCCTCGCAACACATCCGTCAGCCATGCCATGTTCCCCACTCATCTTTGCACCCCTCCACCTGAAACGAGGTCGCCCGTTCCTAGCACCAAAGGCACAAGGCGGTTCCCTCGGGTCGGCCTCCCAACCAGTTAACGAGCACAGTAATGCCCTGACTCCGTCGCAGTACCGGTGCCCAGCCCCGTACACTGCACCCCGCCTCAGCGCCCGCCATTCCTTCAGGACTTCCGTTCACAGCGGTGCACCCGCTTCTTACACTGCACCCCGCCTTCCTACCAGCACCTAGTACCCCGCAGTGCCTCCGCACTGTTAAGCCCCTGGGTCCTTCACTGACAGGGACCCCTCCCGTTCACCCCCTCCCATGAACCCCAGCCAGCCCCCCTCCTCCTGACCTTGTCAATGTCCACCACGTACTTGCCCTCCGGGTGCACCTTAACCAGCACCTTGTTCTTGCTCATTAGCTGAACGGGTACGGGAGGGTATCAAGGAGATGGGAAGCCGGGCGATAAAGGAGAAACTTAGAGAGAGAAACCTTAAGAGACAACCGTGGGGTCGGCACATGCAAGATGCAATGCAACAACCCGAAGCACGCCAGGAACGTCATCACGAGCACACCGTTGCTGGTTTAGCAGCAGTCACGTTGTAGGATGTATGATTATCGTTGGCAGGTGTCCTCTGCGCTTACCTTTATGACTTCGCCAACATACGATCCAGGCTCTTGGAGGAGTTGCAGCTCCTCCTTCAGCATGCGCACTGCAATTGCAAAATTCGGAGGTCCAGGCGTGGTGCAAGAAATATTTGCATTGCATTGTCTGGCGCGTCGCTAAGAAGTAGGGCGCACCTTGTGAGTTCAACTCATTGCGCTGAGCCTCCAGACGACGCAGGTTGTGAGTCTTATCCTTAATCTGCAGCTCAAGCTCCTCGACCTTTGCACGGTAGTAGCCCTTAAGGCCTTCACCTCCGGGTCTGCCCATCCTGGTGCTGCTCGCCGCCCGCTAAATCCGCTGGAAGCAAGCTACTTCTGATCTAGCAAACACAATCAGTCCTGATGCCAAAGTGTCCAATCACAGCACAGGAGGAAGTTAAGACTCAAGATCGCGCCTTGTAATTTCAGGGCCTTAACTTCGAAGGTAAACGTTGGTCCTGTTACAAATGTTGTAAAACGTTGTGCCGTGGCAATAACTTCCCAGCCAACAGCATCCGAATACGCTCACATTCACGTAATGCTTAGCCGTACTGTACCTAACTAACCAACGGGATAGGGGCAAACGGCTTTATTGTTCCCCTTGCCGTAAGCGACCTTTTGGCTTTATATTACATAAAGTGGGTGTAGAAGGACGAGCTCATAGGGACGGGAGGGAAGTCATACCCATTTGTGTTGTTTCATGGGCCTGCCTTTCTGACCCTTATGCTATTTAATAGTTGCTATTGCACTTGCTTGAAAACACCCATGCCTACCTGGTTTCATTTACTTTTAGTAGCATCTGACAGCTGCAATTTGATGGCTCTATAACATACCGGCACAGCCTCAAAGTACATATAGCAATCAGAACTGATGCGCCTACATGCAGTAACGTCTAGCCACAAAGCGGTGCTTCCTTATACTGCCTACAGTCATCAGAAGGCGGTCGCGCCATGTCGGCGCGCACGGTTACATCCTGCGCGGTCTTCTGGCAGACTACTATGTAACAGCATCGCACCTGATGCTGAGCGCGATGTAGGGCCAACGACCGCAACTGGGACAAACCCAAGCTGGCCGCCTTCAACAGTCTCCTCGGGGACAGTTCCAGTGGGCTGGCCGGCCCTGCAGCCGCCATTCAGCTACCATGTGCGTAGGAGGGGGCCTTTGTGCACGGGAGTGTCGCTTGCATCTAATCCTGTAATGAAATTCTCCACGTTGATAGGCTCCCGGCACTGTCAGCTGGCGGTGCGTGCACTCGACGGAAGCTGCCCTCCCCGCCCCCCTTCCTCCAGCGCCACTCCCCGAACTTCCATACGCAGCATCGCACCTCTGCCTCCCCGGCACTCCAAACCATTTCCTTAGTATCGAGCTCTTCGTTCTCCCTTTCACTAATCCGGTCCCCCTCCCCCGCCTCTCCTCGTGAAGCTTACTTTCCTGTTTCCCCTCTGCTCCCCTCCTCCTCCCCTGCAGGCTAGCGCAGAGGAGGCTCAGTCCAACCAGGTGCCCACCGGCCTGTCGCCCATCTGGAAGGTGGGGTGGGGCGCGAGAGGGGTGACAGGGGGCGGGGGAAAGGGAGTGTGCAGGAGGAGGAGGGCGGGAGAGGGCGTCAGGGGCAGGTGACGCAAACGGGCATAGCGGGATGGGATAGGAGGGAGGTAGGAGGATGGCAGGAGGAAGTGGGAGAGGGCCCTGAGCTTAGGCGTTGAGGGGAATGCAAGAAGGGTTGACGGCAATGGGGCAGGGGGTGGCCGGTTGTCCGGGCAGGAGCACTCGCACCACTCGCAGCCATGTTGCGTGCTTGCATCACAGCAGCAGACGCCACCTGCATGTCCTCGCATACGGGGCGGCGGCAGGCCAACACAGGTATACCTCCCACATCGTGGGTGCTCCCTCTGTCGGTCCTCCCTCTGGCTTCGTCCAACACAACACCGTCCAGCCCTCCTTGTTTCCAAATGCCCCACCTGCCCGCCTTTTCGCTTCCCCGCCTCCTTCCCTCACCCTCTTCAACCCCCATCCAACACATTGGGTCTTCATCATTTCCCCTCCATCCCCTTATCCCCCCCTCCCAGGTGTTGCTGCTGAGTGATGGCTCCGTGACTCGCCACCTGCAGCTCCTCAGCGGCTCGCCCGTCACAGTGGTGGGTGGGGGGAGGGGAGGGGTGGGTGGGGGGAGAGGTTCAGAGGGAGATCAAACCATATGAACTTGTTAGGGCACAGCATTGGGGGAGGGCGGTAATAGGGAATGTAAATTCCGCGCTTGGGGGAGATGGGAGGAGAGTGAGAGGGGGGCCTCCTGGGGCCGTGGAGAGAGGAGTGGAGAGAGGGCGGGTCGCCGGGAGGCGGGGCGAGGTGGGAGGGTAGCTCCTTTCCATTACTGTGTTCGTGGTGGCGAGTGGGGTTTGTGGCGAGTGGAGAGGAGGTGAAGAAGATGGAGGGAAGGAGATCAGGCGGGAGGCGCAGGTGACGCTGGGTGTCCCAGGTTGTGCACGGTGTGGCGGTCATTACTTGGATGAAGTGGAGATGTGGAACCCTGGACGACATGGAGACACGAATCCCGGGCCCCCGCCGGGTCCATTTGCCGTACCATTGCATAACGCTGCCCGCGCCGTCTCATGCCATGCGCGTGTTCCTTGTCACTCCTTCTGAAATGGGTTACTTCTGGGATGGGTAACCCTGATGAGAACATCTCGATCCTACCCAACCCGCCCTTTGCGCCCTTACACCCTCCTTCCCCTTCCCCTCCTTCCCCACCCCCAAGGAGTGCCTATCCATGCGCAATGTAGGGTGGAGTACGGAGGGGCTACCGCCGGGTACGGAACTCATACCCGGGCCGCGCGTGCAGAGACAGGTGACGAGGGCGGGGAAAAGGGCGAGAGGAGGGATGGGAGGAAATGAAAAACCATGCCGTGAACGAAGAGGAGGAAGCAGGAAGGAAAGGAGAGGAGAGGGGCATGGAGGATGTAGGGGAAGGGGGGTGGTTACATGGCTGGGTGCATTGGACTGAAGGCACCGTGCCGAAACAAATGAATTAGGAGGGCGGCAGAGGGGCGGGAAGGAAGAGAGGAAGAGGGGCATGGAGATGTTCGCATGGATGGAAGGCTTATCAACAAGCTTATCTGCAGCTCTCCCTCGCCCCAAAATTCCGTGCAGGTGTTGCTGCGGTGCCAACCGTCACCCAATCATGCCTCCGCAAGTCCCACGTCCTCCCCTGCTGCCGAGGTAGGCAGCGGCAACGGCTGCAGCGGCACCTCTGGCAGCGCCGGCCCTGCCAACCACGGTGGGGGCAGCTGCGTCAGCAAAGGTGGCTCATCACACGCCCCTAGCTGCTGCAGTGGTGGGGGTGCAGTCACTGGCACGGCGAGTAGCAACAGCAGCAGCAACGGCAACAGCCACACAGCTTCCCACACAGCTAGCAACAACGTGGGCGCTGGGGCACGGTGTGGCTCGAGTGGTGCTGACAGCAGCGGGAGCAACAGTCAGAATAACCCTGCGGCGAGCTCCAGCAAAGGTAGGTAGCCTGCTGCCATCCAGATTATCCTGGAGCGAGTTCTCGCATGCGGTTAATAGCGGTTGGAAACCGACGGCTCCTGTTAACCCGTGCCTGTCACCACTTCAAGGGTTTTCATCCTCACGAGCTATTACTCGCATCCGTTGACACACAACATATACCATGTGCGAGGGGGTTGGAGGGGCAGGCGCCGGGGAGCTCGGCACTAATGACCCCCCCCATGCTCTCTTTTTCCTCTCGCGTTCAGACGCCCCGGCTGGCATCCCGCTGGTGTACGCCTCCTCCTGGTGGAATGCGGCCACCGTGGACGAGTACCTGCGGGACAGGTCGCAGCCCATCTGGATGTCGCTCAGCCAGGTGCGTGCGGACGTGTATGCGGGCGCCAGGCGGGTACCTATCATGAGTGACATGAGAAGTGTAGACGTGCAGCAACTGGAGGGGTGAGGGAGGGAGGGTGATAGTGGGCCGAGCTTTCCCTGGTGCGTGTGTGTGGATTGGGGTACGAGGGAGGTGTGAACTGCAAGCATGACGTAAACAGGGCAAGGGGGACAGACAAACATGCAAAGGGACATCAATGTTTGTGTTCACTTTGGGCGCGACAGTTCCGCCAACTGTCGCGCCGTTTGGTCTCTCCCTTGCCACGCGTCCACTTCACCCTGCACCCACACCGAATGCACCCAGGGCCATGTGGAGCTGTATCGGGAGGTGCATGCGCTCTTCCGGGGTCACAGCCGCACGCGTGCTTCGACCCAGCAGGGCCCCGAGGGTGCGCCGCGTACAGACGCAGCGCAGGGCACCCACTCACCACGTGGCTGCTCAAGCGGCTCCGCAGCAGCAGGAGGGGTAGCAGCAGTGGGATCCTCACAGCTAGGGGCACCTGATGGAATGGAGGAGGGCTCTCTGGAGGCCTTGCTGGGCTGTGAAGGGCCCTTTTGGGGTCGCCAGTATATATTTTGGAGCGGAGGAAAGCCGCTCACACTCATCTATGAGGTGTTCTCCCCCAGGCTACAGGAGTACCTGGGACCCATGCACATGCAGGCGGAGTGAGCGAATGACTACTGAAGGGGAGAAATGACTATCGAGAGTCGGGAAACCGAGAGATGGCTCAGGTGCTGTCCTGTGGTGCAGCCGTAAGGCATGCTAGAGTGTGTGCCCACACGAGGATGCCTGCATAGTTGCAGTACCAACATATGTTCCTACGGATATGTAACCAAGGCATGGTAGAAGAGCAGGAAGAGCCTATTGCGAACGCTTGGAGGTTGCAAACCCATTCTTAGGCCTGCATGCATGCATGCGAGGGTACGGGGAGTGCGGGGCAGGGCGGATGAAGGGAGCGGACAGGACAGAGACAGACGGCGTGCGTGCATGTCAGACAGCAGTGGCTGCGTTGTGGGTGAACCATCATACATGACTTCAAGATGCCGAACATACACACACACACACCCCACACAATTTGGCAATAACAGCAAGTTTTGCCTTGCGGCCAGATTTTCCAACAAACCCCACATGCACCTCCTCCCCATATACATAACCGTGATCCCCTCCCCCTTGTAAATTGCGTAAAATGCGAGATGATGTGTGTAACGGCTTGTTTGGTTAGGAAAACCACTAACCATCGAGCTGTTGTCATTGTCTGGGAGGCAAAAAGTGCACCCGGTGAGATTTGAACTCACGCAGCTTTCGCTATGGGAAAGCTCATTCTCTAGCTTGAGACCCACCCGTTAGACCACTCCGGCACAGGTGCATACCGATTACTCGGCAAGCTGAACGGCTTGTCAGAAGGTGGGAATTGGTAGCCCATGTACCAGTCTACGCCTGGGCCAGAAGGCCACCCTCTTCCGGGAGAGCGCGTTTACGCGCGCAAAGCCTCATGTATGGTGGGTCACGCCGGGAGCGAGCCGTTGGAACAAAACCCCTGGACCTGGCGATGGGCGCTGTGTCCTTGTTTGGGTGGGGTACGGTGGGTTGGCTGTCGTTTTGGAGGGAGAGCAGGCGCTCGTCTTTATGTGGTTCAGCTGTGCGCGGAACCAGGCGCATGCTGGCAACTCAGCAAAAGTTGGGCTGCTGTCTGGGTAGGAAGTTGCTGTCGTGGGCAAATCATACCCCTATTCACATGCATACGCATGCCCCTGTCGACATCTGGCCAAGGGGCCAGCACAAAGCACATGCATGCAGGGGCGACGGCATGGTGAAGTCAGCGGGCCTCCTGACGCGCACGGTCATGCATGCCGTGGGTGACGGAGACAGCTACATAGGCAAACCAAGCCACATACATACATGGGTGAATCCTGCCTGCTGTATCCTGACTACGGCTGCCTATCCCTCACACGCGTCCTGCATTTGCGGGAAAGGTGGGGGTAGGGGTGCAGGAAGGGAACGGGTGAGCGATTAGCAGGGGTGGCCGACGGAAGCAGCGGCCAGGACGGTGACAGACGGCATGCAAGGCTGAGAAGCTGGAGGCTGGGGTCGGGCTGTCGTACATGGTGCATGGTTACTGTGGTCAAGAAGGAGCATGCGGCAGTGAAAGTTACATGGCGACAGACCGCCGACATGCAGACGCCTATACAGGTCAGGCGCTAAACCACATTACACGGTAGCAATTAAAGGTCACGGCGCCGCCAACGTGCGGACATCACTTACCAAGGATTGCGCTACCGGCGTGCTCGCTCACCTCCCTCTACGTGGGGCCTGCTGGCGGCCCGGCGGCCACCAATGCTCTGTTCACTGCCGCCTACGGCTTCAATGGGGCGCAGAAGGGGGGTCCAACATGCATGCGAGAGTACGGGGAGTGCGGGGCAGGGCGGGGAAAGAGCAGGCAAGCACTTGGCGGGGGTGGCGGGGGTGGCGGGAGCGGACAGGACAGAGACAGACGGCGTGCGTGCATGTCCGACAGTGGCTGCGTTGTGGGTAAACCCGTCAGCTTCGCAGACACGAGGGCTCGCCCCCAAAAAAACGCGTTTTCCCTAACGGTATATCACTCTGAATGCAAGTTTCAAGGGTGACCGGACCTACATGCGAAAGCATGTACGACTATAATTGCTTTCACATACTCTCTTCATTACCACACATTGCTGCCTAACGTGAGATAAGCTGCATGTTGGTTCTTAAATGATTACTTCGTTCACGCCGCGCCTGCATATCGCTAATCGCAATGTTACCTCAAGCTTTGCATGACTACGCAGACTTGACAAGCCAAAACTACACAATTATGCCTTCACCATCACATCTTTATTTCCTCATTTGACATCCTCGCTGCAGGTACATACACCACGTACAAAAGGACAGGCATAGGACTGTTCACGGTACAAAAAGGACAAAAGGTCTCGGTCTGGACAATTAGGACCGAACGCTAAGACTACGCCCCATAAAGGGGCGAGCCAACCATCATACATGACTTCAAGATGCCAAACACACACACACCCCACATGCACCTCCTCCCCATGTACATGGCCGTGATCCCCTCCCCTTGTAAATTGCGTAAAATGCGAGATGATGTGTGTAACGGCTTGTTTGGTTAGGAAAACCACTAACCATCGAGCTGTTGTCATTGTCTGGGAGGCAAAAAGTGCACCCGGTGAGATTTGAACTCACGCAGCTTTCGCTATGGGAAAGCTCATTCTCTAGCTTGAGACCCACCCGTTAGACCACTCCGGCACAGGTGCATACCGATTACTCGGCAAGCTGAACGGCTTGTCAGAAGGTGGGAATTGGTAGCCCATGTACCAGTCTACGCCTGGGCCAGAAGGCCACCCTCTTCCGGGAGAGCGCGTTTACGCGCGCAAAGCCTCATGTATGGTGGGTCACGCCGGGAGCGAGCCGTTGGAACAAAACCCCTGGACCTGGCGATGGGCGCTGTGTCCTTGTTTGGGTGGGGTACGGTGGGTTGGCTGTCGTTTTGGAGGGAGAGCAGGCGCTCGTCTTTATGTGGTTCAGCTGTGCGCGGAACCAGGCGCATGCTGGCAACTCAGCAAAAGTTGGGCTGCTGTCTGGGTAGGAAGTTGCTGTCGTGGGCAAATCATACCCCTATTCACATGCATACGCATGCCCCTGTCGACATCTGGCCAAGGGGCCAGCACAAAGCACATGCATGCAGGGGCGACGGCATGGTGAAGTCAGCGGGCCTCCTGACGCGCACGGTCATGCATGCCGTGGGTGACGGAGACAGCTACATAGGCAAACCAAGCCACATACATACATGGGTGAATCCTGCCTGCTGTATCCTGACTACGGCTGCCTATCCCTCACACGCGTCCTGCATTTGCGGGAAAGGTGGGGGTAGGGGTGCAGGAAGGGAACGGGTGAGCGATTAGCAGGGGTGGCCGACGGAAGCAGCGGCCAGGACGGTGACAGACGGCATGCAAGGCTGAGAAGCTGGAGGCTGGGGTCGGGCTGTCGTACATGGTGCATGGTTACTGTGGTCAAGAAGGAGCATGCGGCAGTGAAAGTTACATGGCGACAGACCGCCGACATGCAGACGCCTATACAGGTCAGGCGCTAAACCACATTACACGGTAGCAATTAAAGGTCACGGCGCCGCCAACGTGCGGACATCACTTACCAAGGATTGCGCTACCGGCGTGCTCGCTCACCTCCCTCTACGTGGGGCCTGCTGGCGGCCCGGCGGCGACCAATGCTCTGTTCACTGCCGCCTACGGCTTCAATGGGGCGCAGAAGGGGGGTCCAACATGCATGCGAGAGTACGGGGAGTGCGGGGCAGGGCGGGGAAAGAGCAGGCAAGCACTTGGCGGGGGTGGCGGGGGTGGCGGGAGCGGACAGGACAGAGACAGACGGCGTGCGTGCATGTCCGACAGTGGCTGCGTTGTGGGTAAACCCGTCAGCTTCGCAGACACGAGGGCTCGCCCCCAAAAAAACGCGTTTTCCCTAACGGTATATCACTCTGAATGCAAGTTTCAAGGGTGACCGGACCTACATGCGAAAGCATGTACGACTATAATTGCTTTCACATACTCTCTTCATTACCACACATTGCTGCCTAACGTGAGATAAGCTGCATGTTGGTTCTTAAATGATTACTTCGTTCACGCCGCGCCTGCATATCGCTAATCGCAATGTTACCTCAAGCTTTGCATGACTACGCAGACTTGACAAGCCAAAACTACACAATTATGCCTTCACCATCACATCTTTATTTCCTCATTTGACATCCTCGCTGCAGGTACATACACCACGTACAAAAGGACAGGCATAGGACTGTTCACGGTACAAAAAGGACAAAAGGTCTCGGTCTGGACAATTAGGACCGAACGCTAAGACTACGCCCCATAAAGGGGCGAGCCAACCATCATACATGACTTCAAGATGCCAAACACACACACACCCCACATGCACCTCCTCCCCATGTACATGGCCGTGATCCCCTCCCCTTGTAAATTGCGTAAAATGCGAGATGATGTGTGTAACGGCTTGTTTGGTTAGGAAAACCACTAACCATCGAGCTGTTGTCATTGTCTGGGAGGCAAAAAGTGCACCCGGTGAGATTTGAACTCACGCAGCTTTCGCTATGGGAAAGCTCATTCTCTAGCTTGAGACCCACCCGTTAGACCACTCCGGCACAGGTGCATACCGATTACTCGGCAAGCTGAACGGCTTGTCAGAAGGTGGGAATTGGTAGCCCATGTACCAGTCTACGCCTGGGCCAGAAGGCCACCCTCTTCCGGGAGAGCGCGTTTACGCGCGCAAAGCCTCATGTATGGTGGGTCACGCCGGGAGCGAGCCGTTGGAACAAAACCCCTGGACCTGGCGATGGGCGCTGTGTCCTTGTTTGGGTGGGGTACGGTGGGTTGGCTGTCGTTTTGGAGGGAGAGCAGGCGCTCGTCTTTATGTGGTTCAGCTGTGCGCGGAACCAGGCGCATGCTGGCAACTCAGCAAAAGTTGGGCTGCTGTCTGGGTAGGAAGTTGCTGTCGTGGGCAAATCATACCCCTATTCACATGCATACGCATGCCCCTGTCGACATCTGGCCAAGGGGCCAGCACAAAGCACATGCATGCAGGGGCGACGGCATGGTGAAGTCAGCGGGCCTCCTGACGCGCACGGTCATGCATGCCGTGGGTGACGGAGACAGCTACATAGGCAAACCAAGCCACATACATACATGGGTGAATCCTGCCTGCTGTATCCTGACTACGGCTGCCTATCCCTCACACGCGTCCTGCATTTGCGGGAAAGGTGGGGGTAGGGGTGCAGGAAGGGAACGGGTGAGCGATTAGCAGGGGTGGCCGACGGAAGCAGCGGCCAGGACGGTGACAGACGGCATGCAAGGCTGAGAAGCTGGAGGCTGGGGTCGGGCTGTCGTACATTCTGCATGGTTACTGTGGTCAAGAAGGAGCATGCGGCAGTGAAAGTTACATGGCGACAGACCGCCGACATGCAGACGCCTATACAGGTCAGGCGCTAAACCACATTACACGGTAGCAATTAAAGGTCACGGCGCCGCCAACGTGCGGACATCACTTACCAAGGATTGCGCTACCGGCGTGCTCGCTCACCTCCCTCTACGTGGGGCCTGCTGGCGGCCCGGCGGCGACCAATGCTCTGTTCACTGCCGC